GCTATGAAAAATTGTGTAAGAACTCTAATGTCATGTCATCGAGAATTTCACATTTGACCAGATAAATGATAGGAATATATATTGACCATCAAGCCATCAACAACAACATATTAGGGCGTAGGCAAAATTCAAAAAAATCATCATATCCTTGTTTCTATTGTTCAATTTGTTTTTCCGTGGTCAATACACTTTGCACTTTGACCGTTTATACATGTACTGTTGAAAATATGGAAAATTTATCGATTTATTGAATATTGTTGTTCACAATATTTCTGTTTTTTTCCGTTTTCTGGCCATCATCACATCACTGCTAATATTTTTTTATGGCAAAAAATTCATTCAAAATTCGCTTGAATGAATCTCTTATTTGCCTGTTCACAACTTTTTTATAAAACGAGCTATTGAGCGTGGAAGATGTGTATGTATGTAGTTTGTAGTTTGTTGTTTGTAGTTTTCATGGTACATTGAATCCTGGCCCTCGTTCATAAACACACACACTCATCCTGGTATATATGGTTTATGTCACCAAACCATCGACTGATCAATAATGTCGAAAACAGAGATACCCGGCTACTACAACCACGATCAGCATTCATTTGGAATCAAAAAATTTTTTTTCCAAAATTTGAAATTCAATTTTTTTTGTGTCTCGTTTATTTGTCATTTTGAAATTCTTTGGTGGTTTTTCGTGAATCAATGAACCAATGATAAATTTGTACGATAAACAAATTTTCCCTCAACAACAACAACAACAACGTCGTCGTTTGATCCAATTTGATTAATTAGACCTTTAGTGCTGCTGCATTTGACATTGCTTGTTTTTTTGTACTACAACAACGACTTAATTTGATTAAAAAATGGAATGGAATGGATAAAATGAAAATTTGTAACATCATCACCCCAAACACAATGATGATATGGAAACATTTCAAGTCAAGCACACACACACACACACACACACATCTAGTTCGGTTTGTTGAACTCGAAATTTGGTTTATGTATGTTTTTTTCTGACTAGCTAGCCAGATGGTTTGGTTTGGAACCAATACACAATCACCCTCCTCATCATCATTTTTTATCCTTCCATTTCTCTCTTTCTCTCTCGTTTCGTTATTTTTGTTTTTACTGAATAAGAACGGTGGTGGTTGGATAATAGTGAAGAAGAAAATGAAACAAATCAATGTTCATTATTATTGTCGCTTGAATTTGTTTTATTCATTTGATTGAAAAAAAGGTGTGAAAAAAAATTATTCGTGGTTATAGGTTGAATTTAACGAAAAAAAATCATATTGATTTATTTTTTTTTTGCAAAAGACTAGTACTAGTAGTAGTAGTGGTAGGTAGTAGTGTCAAACATAGTACAAACGTTATATGATTGGCTTATTCACAACTATGAAGAGGTGTGAAAATTAACGCCTTTTCGTTGTGCACAAACACATAACATACACTAGAAAAAAAACTAGTGAACTAGCCAATAACACAGCATATAAACCAAGTTTTAGTGTGTTAGAACAAGAACACATGAATGAGAGAAAAAAAGAAAGCTTACTTTTCACACTATATTGGTTGTGTTTTTGGTTGATTTATTCATTCCCATCTCTTATTTCTATCCATCTCTCTTTTTGTGTGTATGGAATAATCGACACCTATTCTCATCGATGTGTGTGTGTGTGTTTTCATCTCGGACATTTTTGATCAGAAAAACTGATGATGATGACTATAATAATAAGATTCTTTTCTCATTAGAAACATCAAACACAGCATAACCAGTCAGAACGGCAACATTTTATTATCAAACATTAAAAGTTCCAATGATATAAATCTACATCATAGGACAAAATAGCTAGAAATACAAACGATTCTTGATGCGCATGATTCAACATCTAGAATATTCTTTTGGTCTTGAATTCTTCATTATTTATTGTACTGACAATGTACCCATCTTCAGAGCGAAAACATTAAAATAAAAATATCCAAAACAAGCTTAATGTTTTTTTGATAAACAAATAGAGAATAATGGTAAATGACAGTACTAGTTGTAGTAGTGTTAGTGTAGTAGTAGCTGCAGTAAGATTGTGTTCGTTCCTGGAACCAAGTTAATGAAAGAGAAAAATAACACTGAAAACAAGAAATTGTGTATGGTGTTGTAAGCAGCATCATTAGGTGCGTGTGTGTGAGTGTGACAACCATTCATTCATTTGGCACCCTTTTTCAAGTTAGAAATCTTTGAAATGTCACCATCTCTTCTCAGCTTGAATCTTTCAATAACCAGATAATGTTTTTGGTACAATTTTGACTATATATACAACAGAGTAATCTACATTGATTGGTTAGCTTATTTTCTAGCAGCAAAGTTTGGTGTCAATGTGTGGTTTGTTTATTTTTTTTTCGCTATTTCTACAATTTGGATCGTTGTTTGTTGTGCCGAGCATGTCATTTAAAAAATTGATCATCATATATAATGTGTGTGGCTGAATACAAATATTCAATGGACCAAAAAGAAAAAATTGAATTTTCGAAACACCAGAAGAATGATGAATGATGGATGGATAAATTGAATGATGACAAACTTCATTTCACTCTTATGTTTGTGAAAAATTGTTGAATTTCAATTTGATTCATTTTTTTATTTCATTTCAATTTTTTTCCTTTTCATTCAGATCCCATTGTATTTCATTCATTCATGTTCATATTCAAGTACATTTGAAAAAAAGAGAGAGACAGCGAATTAATGTTTTTTTTCGATCCAATTGGAACAGTTGTTATATTGTTCACTCAAACCCAAACATGGAGAAAAGAAAAAAGGGAGTGAAACCTCAAATCCCAAACACAAGGCAAAAATAGAAAAAAAAATCATAATTTTTTTTCTCTTTCTCACAACGAATAAAACCTGACTATAATAATAATAACCGTGCGGTTATTATTATTAACAACAATAAATCCATACACTTTTTTTCTCTCTCTCTCTTTTCACACACAAAAATAAAACACACATTGACATGACAACACAAAAATGAAAACCCAAAACACGAGTAATATAAATATGAAATATGAATTCAAACCTATAATAATGATTGAGTGAAAATAAAACCAAAAGTTTCTGGAACACCGACACATAATGTAATCGTGTGAATTCATTCAACGATGATGATCATTATCATGATATACATTTGGCTTGTCGGTTATTCTCACACCGGCCTTATTTTTATTTCAGTTTTCTCTTTGTTCGGTGAATGAAATGAAAAGTTAGAGAGAGAGAGAGAGAGAGAGAGTGAGAGGGATAGAAAAAAAAATCCATTTGGATCACATTCGGTGCAAGTTGTTCAGTACTAATACATAAATTCAACGTATATCGAAACCAAAAATGGACGGTTTTATTTGTATGTTTTTTTTGGACGGGCCTACTTTTTATTTTCATCCACAATAATAAAACGATGATGATGATGATGATTATGAGAAACTCGATGAATTTATGTTTTGGTGTGTTTTAGGTTCGTCATATAAAAAAATGGACGATTTTTTTCTGCTACACCGCCATAATTCATTCATTGATTACATTTATCAATAATAATCATCATTATGATTATTATTATGATACATAATCATCAACTATTGATGGACTGTCCATAAAAACCGTGTATCACCACCATTTTCTGAATTGATTGAATGAATGAATGAGTGTGTGTCTTGTTAAAATATATTTTTTTAACATTGTCAGCGGGTACATAGAGATTTCATTCTCTGAATCATCATCCAAATTGGGGCTTGAAATCTTGCCAAAATAATGAACATAAGAGGATTATACCTTTTGTCGACGTATAATAATAATGTCCTAGTCGTTTGTTGTTGTTGGAAAAAAAATTTGACATGTTCAGATTGCCCATTTTGATAATAGGTAATCACCGTGTTTTTTTCCTCTTGGTTCCATTATTTGGAAAACACAATGTATTTCTTTACGTTGTTACCTTTGAACTTTGAAAAAAAAATATTTTCCATTTTCATATTTAAATTTTTTTTCCATTCGTTTGTTTCTATTTCTATTTATATTTATATTTGCAATTCGATTTTTTTTTTATTTCTCAATGTCGATCAATATGTGTGTCTTGTATCCCCGCTACATTGGTTGCGAGGCCAAAAAAAAATTCGGGCGTCATCCGAGAAAAAATTGAATTCATTATCGATGGTTTTGTTGGTGGTGGTGGTGGTGGTATTGAGTTAGTTGTGAGTGTATATCGAGTGAGAAAAATGACGAGTTTTTTTTCGCTCGTTTCGGGTGATAAAACATAACTTTTATGTTTAGTTTACTTTCTGTGTGTGTGTATGTGGATTCGATTTTGATGTTTTTTCTTCACAAAAATAAAAAAAAACCGAATGAACTAAACTGAGTTTGCCCACTGAATAAGTGAATATCCTGGGCACTGCACGCAAGCATTGAGTTCAATAGCACTGTATCCGTGTGTGTGTGGAACTAGAAATTGACTCTATATAGAGATAGATTTTTCTAAAACCAAAAAAAAATCGACAAAATAAAATTCAATGAAGATGTGCAAGAAAGACACACACGGAGAGAGAGAGAATGATGATGTTTGATGCGTGAAAAGAAGAAAAGATATTTTGTTTGGAAAGAAAGAAAGAAAAAAGAAATAAGAAGAAACAAAACAAAAAAAAAGATGAATGAATGAATGAATGAAGTGAAGCAATATGAATTGTGAATAGAAATCAATTTGATTCGAATGAAATGGAAGGGGGGTTGAGGAATTATGATGGAAGAAAATAACTGATCTTTTTTTTCGTACTCGAAAATAAAAAAAAAAAAGTCAGGCATGGTTTGATGATGATGATGAGGTGTATTATGATTTTACAAAAAAAAAAAAAAAAATATTGAAAGTCAAGTTAATTTTTTTTTTGCTCACGATTAGAGCGACATTCACACTGTTTGTTTTGTTTTTTTTTTTTTTTTTTGCTTGTTTTCATTCTAATTTTTCATCTTTTCCATGTAGAATGTTTCCATCATTTCGTATACGTGTATCTGGTTTGGACAAGAAAGCCAAATATATAATGCTGATGGATATTGTTGCCGCTGATGATTGTCGTTATAAATTTCATAATTCACGTTGGGTAATGGCCGGTAAAGCCGATCCAGAGATGCCTAAAAGAATGTATATTCATCCGGATTCACCTTCGACCGGTGAACAATGGATGCAGAAAGTGGTATCGTTTCATAAACTTAAATTAACAAATAATATTGCCGATAAACATGGTTTTGTAAGTCGATTCCAATTGATTTCAAATTCATTCATTCATTTTCAATTGATTTTCCAGACAATATTGAATTCAATGCATAAATATCAGCCACGTTTTCATCTAGTCCGTGCAAATGATCTACTTAAATTACCATATAGTACATTTCGTACCTATGTATTCAAAGAAACGGAATTTATTGCCGTTACGGCCTATCAAAATGAAAAGGTTTGTATTTGTTTGATTCTGATTGATTGATTACTTATTAATCTCTTATTACTATGGTTTCACTTAGATTACACGTCTTAAAATTGATAATAATCCGTTTGCCAAAGGTTTTCGTGAAACTGGTGCTGGTAAACGAGAGAAAAAGTAAGTGTCCACACAATATGTAAATAAATTGATTTTCTTTTTTTCTATTTCGCAGAAATTCATTAATGTCATTGGGTTCAAATACCAGCGGTGGTGGTGGTGGTGGTAGTAGTGGCGGTGGATCATATGGCCATCATCCACATCTTTCTCATCATTCACATCATCATCCTCATCATCATCATAGTTCATTAACACCAACAACACCCACTTCACATCATCATAATTATCTGATAAATGGTCATCATCCTCATCTTCATCATCATCAACCACCACCACCACCGTTAGCACCTTTTCATCATAATCATCATCATGGAAATGATAAATATCATAAATCATCATCATCATTATGTTCAAGTCCAATGATGATCAATCGTCAATCACATTCCGATGATGGTGATGATATCCTAGATGATGTTGATGATGATGAAGAAGAACGTGTCGATATAATGGATGATGATGATGTTGATGATATTCGAAGACCACCAGCATCCATTCCCATTTCCTCTTCATCTTCGTCTACGACATTGATAGCCAATAATAACAATAATTCAATGATTAAACAAAATGGTAGCCATCATCATCCACATCCACTTACACATGATATAAATGATTTTCGTCAGAAATTTTTTGGTCTCGATCCAATAACCACGACAACAACGATGATGAAAACATCTGTCATCGATAATAAATCAGGTAAATAAATATTTTGTAAATACAGCCTGTGTAGTTGCCAGTAGACACGTGGCATTTAAGTGCACGCTGATGATAATGATGATGATGATGATTTTGACATGGCAACAACAACAACAACAACAAAAAATGGTTAAACGAAACGATAAAACATGACATGAAAATTATAGAAAAAGAAGTAAAAAGTAGCCTAATTGTTCCAATCATTTTGTAGTGTATGTAGTGTGTGTGTGTGTGTGTGTGATCTATAATTACATTTCATTTCATTCATTTTTTTTTCATTTCGCATAGAGATATACAAATTCAAGGGCGTTGTCTCCTGTCTATTTTTTTCTGGCTAATTGATACCTTGTCTCAGTGTGTGTGTGTGTGTTCTGTAATACAATCCTAGTGGAAGAGATGGTAAAGCAAATCATTTCCGTTTTTATATTTAGTCAAGTTCAACCAAAAAAGAAAAATGGCTTTTTTCGAACGAAATTAGTTGGCAGTACATTTTTAGATATTCCACAAAAATGAATCTATTTCTCCTCATGGTTTGTGTGCTAACATTGCATATAATCAAATTATCAAACAAAAAATTTGTATATCCGTTGTTGTAGTTGTTATTCGGAAAAAAACGATAGAATTTAACATCAAATCAGCAAACTAGATTAGCATGTAGATTTTATTAATAGAGATTCTTGAATTCTTTGACAATAGAATTGATGTGGGAGAAATGAAACGAAAACGGAATTCACATCGACCACACACGCATACACTGTGTGTGTGTGTGTGTGTGTGTGACAATTGTAAATTCAAAAGACCTTGTTGTTGTCGTCGTCGTCGGCTTCTTTTTTTCTGTTTTTGGGTTTTGTTTGTTTAAACTTAACCAAAGTTTTTTTTGTTGCTGAACGGATCATCAACCACAAACACACAACGAATTTATTATGAATGAAAAGAATGTTCTTTTTGTCTGTGAGAGTTAAATCTGTCTGAAAACGTGTGGAAGACGACCAAAAACAATTTGTCGCCTAAATGGCCCTAGTCAGCCAAAAATTAATGCTTCGAACCGTATAGCCTTATACAGACATGAGTCTATGAATGCTATGAACAAGCGCGGCATTTTTTTTTTTTTTGGTGACAATTTTTTTTTTAACTTGTAACTTGCTTGGCCGGCTATGTGTATGCGATTTGGCGACGACAAATATTTTCTTTTAATAGGTGTCATATTGCATCTTGTGCGGTCTTGATATTTTGGCCACCAAAGTGTAATATGAAAATGGCCACCATCATCAACCAAAAATAAACATTAATTATTTTCAGTGCAAAAAAAAGTCATTAACAAATCTAAATTTATGATGATGAACCGATGATAATGATGATGTATTTTTGTTTGTTTTTCATGAATTTCTAAATTTTTTTTTCTTGTTTTTCCTTCCATTAAATTATAGATTTACTTAAAGATGTTCATCATTCATTTCAAGCCATGTCCAATTCAATGCTTGGTCTTTCATCATCATCATCATCATCGACGACAACAACGACAATGACGACGACGACATCCTCAACAACATCATCATCGACGACAACAACAACAAATGCAGCTGCTATGGCTGCTGCTGCAGCATTTGCTGCTGGTGGTGGCTTTCCATCAATCAATACTATCGATTATTTTAATAGCCAATTAGCATCATTATATAATACAACCACCGGTAGTAATAATGCTGGATTATTATCAGCTGCCGCTGCTACATCATATGGATTTCCATCATCATTGTTTTCACGTTTTTATCCACAAACAAATCCATTCGTACCTACTGGAGGTGGTGGATCTATTCCAAATGATGATCATCATTCAAGATTATCAAATTTTGTTCCATGGGCAACATCAGCAGCGACCACCGCCTCTACCGGTTCCACCACCACCACTACCACATCAACAACTAGTTCATCATCATTATCGCCGACAACAACTTCAATGTTAAGTCCACCGTTAAGTACAACAACGATGGCTGGACAGCAACAATTTCCACATCCATTTTTACATCCATTCAATATGATGCCAAATATGATGGATTTCGCAAGATTACAGCAACAGCAACAAACAAATTCAGTTAATTTTGATAATAATTTTGATCTGAAAAATTTCGATCCACGTGCCATTTTGAATGCTTATTTTGGTGCATTCGGTAATAATAATAATAATAATAATGTCGCACAACAACTACAAATATCCGGTCTAGACACTATAAAATCGGTAATTCCACCACTACAATTGGATACGGGCAACTTTACGAATCCAAATGGAACACCAGCAACAGCAACAACGACAGCACCCACCGTAACATCATCAATAAATGCACCGTTAATGAGCAGTGGTACTACCGGTCCAGATTCAAAATTTTCATCACCATCATTATTGTCATTGAATGAACAATTGGAACAAGGTCGTGATCTATTACAACTGCATGAAACATTGAATCAACGTTTTAAAGGAACAGCCGCCGCAGCATCATCGTTATCAGCATTTAATAATCGATTTTTTCCATATGGAATACGATCATTTTTACCACCAGCACCACTACAACCACCAGCAGCATACAATAATGGTCAATCGGATCGATCAATAAAATCCAGTAACAGTATTGATGATAAACTATCAGTCCATAGTCCATTAAGTAATGCTGGTGATTCATTGGATTATCAAAAATCCAAATCTAATCGTAGTACTACCTCATCAATACATTGTCCATCACCAGCTAGATCTAATTCTAGTGTCGCTGGTGGTGGTGGTGGTGGTCGTAGTAATACAAGTACACCAAATAGTATTATACGTAGTCAAGCATCCGCATCATCATCACAACCGGTATCACCATCTTCCTCATCATCATCATCATCATCGATATCGTCATCATCACCAGGTTTAATCAATAATCGTGATGATAAAAAAGAAGTAAATACAGATGAAGCAACAACAACAATGAATAAAACTTCATCATCAACAACATCGGTGAAAGAATCATTACGAGAATTGAAAAACATTCAATTAATGGTTGATGGATTGGAAAAACATAAACAACAACAACAACAACAACAGCAGCAAACAAATCAAAGCAATGGACAACATAGTATTGCAGCCACTTAAGGATCTCTCTTACAGATTTAATTCTTTTGTTTTCTTTCTTTCTTTGTTTTTGATTTCGAAAAAAAATAATCCAATTTCTCATTTTCAATTTGATTTACGGCAAATTAGTTGACTTTAACTCATCGAATGATATTATAGGTACATAATGATAATGATGATAATCGAAAACGATGCTAATGATGATAATGGTGTGTGTGTGCCATTTCGCAAAAAATAATAGTGTCCAACATATAATCTAATCGAATCGAATCAATTAATTGTCCATTGACAACAAATCCTCACATGAACACATACCCGAAAAAACAATTAATTTATCAATCCTTTTAGTCAATATAAATCGAATCCATGCATTCACACTCAGATGACGAATGTAGTAGTTAGAGTAGAGTACATTTATTGTAGATAGATGATAAAAAAATACTCATAATTTCGTTGTAATTTTTTCCAAAAAACAAAAACCAATCAGTCTGTTTACACATTACACACTCATCATAATATAAACAAAAAATACACTGATAAATTAAAAATGTAATTAGTTTTAGTTTTTTTCAATTTCATTCAAAAAAAAAATATTAAAAATTTCTGGAAATTTTCCCATCACATATGATTTTTTCTTTGCGCCAATAATCATCAAAATCAATCACCTTGATCAACTTAATCGAAAACAAAACATCATTGCCAATAATGAATTATATCAAATCCTGTGTAATTATAAATGAAAAAAAATGAATAAAAAAAATTTCAAATATCAGATTGATTTGATGTCGTTTGTTTGTTTGTTTTTTTTACGACGTTGACCATCAACATAAATATCTTATCTATTTGAATATCGAAGAAATTTTTTTTTAAACCATCACACAACATTAAATACTTGTCGTTTAATTTAATTTAATTTTCTTCTCATCATCATCATCATCATCATTCAACGACGACATCAGCAGCAAATAGAATGTGTCTTTTAATTTGACAATTTGACATTGAAAATTGTTGAAACCAACAACAACAACAACAACAAAAACAAGATTTATATTTGGCGCCTTCCTGACTTTTTCGTCGTTTGTCTGATCACATTTGATAATGGTGAGCGATAATCGAATCAAATGACAATTTTTCTTTCTCACTATGATTAAATGTGTCCAAATGTCAATTCGATGGACAAATATATTTCGATGTTTTCGGATAAAGCAGAGAGCACCTTTTCAAGCATTTTTTTTCTCGAAAATGATCATCAATCGTGTTTTGTTGTTGTTGTTGTTGTTGTTGCTGTTTTCAAACATTTCAACAATTCAATTGGTTCGACAATATGATATTTCCGTTTTTGTTTTCTATTCTTCGTTGTAACAATGGCTGTTTTGATGATTGATTGTCATCATCGTCGTGTTATCGTTGTTGCTTCAATGTCATTCACTTTTTTGTTTCATTTTTCGCCTAAATTCACACAATTCGTGATTGATTCATTCATTTTCGTTCGGGGTCATTAACACAACCAACAACCGACAACATTCGATTTTCAATGCAACCGATTAATGTGTGTTTACGCCAAATTGGTTGTCTGGAATAATTTTTTTTGCCTCAATTCAGAATCGTTCTGTTCTGTTTTTATGATGACAATTTTTTCTTTAAACAATAAATGAAAATTTGTTCATTTTTTTCTCTTTGACAAAATTAAATCGATCAAAAATCTCGGATGTAGTGTTGATGTTGATCATGATGACAACAGCTGAGTGTTTGTCACAAGTGAAAATCACAAAGAAGATTCGGTGACATTTTGCGTGACAATTTTTTTTTCATTCATCAGCTTCTTTTTATTTTTTCACTCTCGAATATCCATTCGAATGTGACCACCATGGTGATGATGATGATGATGATGATATCAATTGAAACATGAACACATAGATGAGTGAATAAAAAAAATTTGATAAAATTGTCCATAACGGAAATCAAATAGAAAAAAGTTGTCGTTTGTATTTTGTACTTGTGAATATTTCATTTTGACACGCAATATTCCAATTTGTTGTTGTTGTTCATCCAAACAAACAAAATTCACATTCGATTCGAGTATATTTTTCCCCATTCAATACCATCATACCACCGTTTCATTTTGCTGATTAAATTATTTTTGTTATCATTAAAACATTCCATACATTTCACAAATCGATTGAGACGAGAAAGTGATAATTTTTTTTTTCGATTGTCACAATTCTTTCACACACCTGAAATTAATCGAATCGTTAAATATTTTTAAAAAACTAAATTGGTCGCCATCTATCGTTTTACATTGTAAATATTTATTCATACGTTGTATATGAATGAATTTCATTACATGCATGCATGTTTTTTAACACATATGTGTTGGTTTTGTTTTTCAATTTTTTATTTTAATTCATTCATTCATCATTAAATTGGATTTATTTATTTGTGTTTGAAATGCACCTCGACAAGGATAACAAGACTGTTATTAATAGTCATAATAATAATAATGAAGATGAAGAAATTGAAGAAGAAGAAGATCCAAATAAATCGAAAAAAATCATTGGCAAACATGATTCCGGAGCAGCCGATTTAGCCAAAGTGACAACATATGAGGCAAGTTTTTTCGATGAAGAAGGCCAGAATGATTCATCTGAAATTAGTGGTGCTGCACGATCAATAATCGATAGTAAACGTTCGAAAGAAGTGGCCGAGAAAGTTGCCCGACAAAAAGAATTGGCCAAAGTAACGATCCGCAAGGAAGATGTTGAATTGATCATGAACGAAATGGAAATATCTAAAGCTGATGCTGAATTAAAGCTCCGCCAATCTATGGGAAATGTTGTTCAAGCGCTGATTACATTGATTAATGAATGAATAATTTTCAAAACGAATCAAATCAAAAAAATTTTTCTATTTCAATTGTGATCATTGGTCTATTGCCAGAACAAAAAATAAATGAATGAATCCTGGTCAAGTATATCGCGCAATTATTGTATTCTTGTATATGCCCCTTCCATCTGATTGACCGAATTTGTTTTTTTTCGTGAATAAAACAAAAATGTTTTCATTTTTGTAAACTTTTTTTTTACTAATTAACATCAATGAAAATTAAAGACTTGACCACAGACGAATTCTGGTGGAATTAAATCTACTTGTAAAATATCTTTTTCAAATACAGATTTCAATTCCAAATTGATTCTATGACTTCAACGCCGATAATTGTGTTCATTGAAAATTTCGATTCTTCATCCAAATTATTGATCATATGAAGACTCTGGATGATCAAAATCGAACCTTCATGCTATAGAAAAACGATCAACTTCTAGCCCCATCTGGACGAAATCGATTGTGATTCAAACAAAAAAAAAATCGATTTTGCGCGTAAATTCAAGTTTCGTCAATCCAGTTCAGGTGTTTGTTTTTTTTTTTTTTTTCCTTGTAGCTTATTGCAACCAAGATGATGATGATGATAAACCAACCAGTTATGGATGAATTGAATGAAATGACATTCCACTGGAAAATGTACATTTCCCGTTGATGATCTAGTTTTTGTTTTTTGTTGATTTGCCGAATCAAGTATGGCCATAATGATTGTACAAGGTCATCGAATGATGATCAAACATGATAAAGATGTTTGTCAAGATAGTTTGAAAAAAAATTTTCATTTGTCGGTCAACAAAAAAAGCTCTATATACTCAGAGTATATTTTGGTTTGTCGAAAAGTGACTCGAATTTTTTTTCGTTAAAAAAATGGCTTCATTAAAATGGTTGCTAATTATCATTGGAATATTTATTGTTCCTGAAATTCTCGCCCAGGAATCAGCTATAACGGTGAAAATCATTTCCGATTCAATAACAACAACAATATCACCATCAACGAGCAAAACAGAAATTTATGTTAACGATGAGGATATTGTTGAAAAAGGTAAGTTTTCAATATTTGTCTGTATTGCAGTTTCGCATTCATATTTTTTCTCGAATTTTCGTTATATAGACAAACGCCGTGCTAATGAATTGATAAAATCAATGCGAAGAATGCCCAATTGGCATATGACAAATCATTATATTGGTAATAATAAAATGATGACGATGAATAATTATAAACATCATAATGCACAATTTGCAAATGGATGGCGTGCTGTTCCATTGCCCAAAATTGGGAAAGTTCCAATCAAAATACATTCATCTAGTGTTGCCATACCAGTTGTAATTCCAATTGTTACAACAACAACAACAACAACAACCACTGAAAAACCGATTCCATCACCAACTACAACATCAGCTACCATTGAAATATCGAGTATCGATTTTTCTCCAATACCTGTGATGCATATAATTAATCAACAGCCAAAACCCATGATGATTGAAAATAATGATGATGATGATCGAAATAATCAAACATATGCAAGTAAGTGCCATTATTATATGGATATATTCATTGATTATTCATCGTGTGTTTTCTTACCACAGTGAAATGTTTTATTGATGGAAAACAATATTCAAATGGTGAACAAATATCAATTACCACTGATGATGATAATCCATGTACATATTGTCGTTGTTTTTATGGACAAAAAATCTGTCAACAACATATTTGTCCATCAGCACCATCATTAGATTGTTTGGCTGAACAGAAAAATGGTCAATGTTGTCCAGTTTATACGTGTGGTAAAACAACGACAAATGTGGATAATAATTCTGAACAACAATCTGATGATTTGAATAGCAATATTGATCAATCAATAGTTTTCAATCATGAACAATCATTACCAATTCGATCACGAGGTCCACAATTTGTTGTACCGATTAATCATCAACCGACAGATGATTCAACAATTCCATTATCATCAACAAATCATTCACAACGACGAAATGGAATGTTAATGCCAATGAATCCATTAGAATTTCTATACAATAATCCATTAGTTAATCGTGTACATTTTCCATCATCATCATCGACACAATCACCAATAATTGAAATGAAAGAAAATTGGCCAATCGTCAATCCGAATTCAATTAAATTTAATCCACAATTACCAACCAACGATATTATGAGGATCAACAACAACAAAGACAAGGATAAAAATCTGCCGAATTTTGATTCGAAAGATGAACAAATAGGGACAAATATTAGTTCGCCAATCCGTACACAACCACAATCACCTGTTCGACCGATATTCTCGACACATAAACTGATTCCATCATCCAATGAACAGAATCTGCTACCACCACCGTCATCATCACAATCACAAGCACAATCATCGAGTACTTATATTCCTATGATAATGACAATTAGTACGGTTAAACCATTTGTGACAAGTAGCACCAAAGTGGTTCCAAATATTCAAACTAGTGGTGGTAATAATTTGATGACAAATCTATTTCAAGTATCAGGATGTAATATATATGGTAAAATGTATAAAACACAAGAACAAATCCCAGAATTAAGTGATCAATGTAAATGGTGTATTTGTTCAATATCCGGTGTTAAATGTACGAATAATTGTTGATTTGAAATTGAGAAAAATCAAAATCACATTATATACACACCAAATATGATTTATCGACCATTGAAATACATTTAAATTATTCTTTTTTATGATTATGAAATAAATAAATAAATATTTGAATCAAGTGGAATCATTTTATCTATCTATCTATCTAAATGTATAAAAAAAATTACACATGTTTACAAGTATTTGGACAATGTAAAAATTTTTATTTTTTCTGGACCAGGTGCTGCCATCTATTAATAACAATAATAACCACGTTTCCGAGGTGCCGAAAGTGGCGACCCCTAGCGGATTTTTACTGAACTAAAATTTTGACAATTTTTGGCAATTTTTGTCATTTTTTCACAAAATTTTAGTTCAGTGAAAATCCGCTAGGGGTCGCCACTTTCGGTACCTCGGAAACGTGGTTATTATTGTTATCAATAGATGGCAGCACTTGGTCCAGAAAAAATTAAATTGTGGAAAAATTTGATTTAATGGTCAATGTATAAGTACATTGAGTTCAATTTTTATTTGAGTTTGAAGACAATCACAATGATAATAATATACTAGCACATCATAAACGGAAATTTTTCCATATATCGCATAAGAATAATGCTGATTGATTTGAACCAGAATTTGGGAAAGGGCTCGTTTTATTCAAAAAAAATTTTGGTTTCAAATGTGCGCTAGAGAGCACGTAGTAGATAGAATAAATTTCAATAAAATGAGCAAACCTCTCATTAATCGCCGAAGGATTCTTTGATTCGATTCAATAAAGCATCACATGTTTTTTTAGCATCCCCTAATAACATAGCCGTGTTGGGATTGAAAAATATTGGATTATCCACGGCTGCATAACCTACGCCAAGACTACGTTTCATAACAATCACCTGGCGTGATTTCCAAACACGCAGCACTGGCATACCAGCTATAATGGATTCAGGATCATCTTCAGCCGCTGAATTTACGGTATCATTAGCGCCAATAACCAATGTTAGATCGGTCTCGGGAAAATCATCATTAATTTCATCCATTTCCAACACAATATCATATGGTACACCAGCTTCGGCTAATAATACATTCAATTGACCAGGCATACGTCCGGCAACTGGATGTATACCAAATCGTACATTTTTACCACGTTTCCGCAGGACTTGAATCATTTCTGCTAATGGATATTGTGCTTTTGCTACACACAAACCATAACCAGGTGTAATAATAATATTTTTCGCTTCTCGAATAGCATCCACTGATTGATCAACATTCCATTCAGTATGCGTTCCAGTAATGGCACGTGTAGAGTTTGATCCTGTCTGGCCAAATCCACCGAGAATAACATTCGGTAATGAACGATTCATGGCCTAAACATAAAAAATTCATTAAAAATTGAAATTTAAAAAAAAACAAACGAAAAAATCCTACTTTGCACATAATGTAAGAAAGAATGGCACCACTCGATCCAATCAATGCACCAACAATGGTCATTAGATTATTATTCAACATAAAACCTTCAGCACACAATGCCCATCCACTATAGCTATTCAATACGGTTATTACGACAGGCATATCAGCACCACCAATAGCCGATGTCAATGTAACACCCATAATCGTTGATAAAGCTGTAGCTGTACCCAATGAAGATAGGCCAGCCATTTTAGATGGATCCATCAGGAAATAACCCATTGAACCAGCTGTGGCTAACATCATTGCCGAATTAATCACGTGACGCCCAGGTAATAATGTTGGTGCTGAATCAAGTAATCCTTGAAGTTTACCATAACTATAAATCGAAGAAAAAAAGACCAATGAAAATAAATGATTCACTTCAATTTCAGAAACACTTACGCAATCAATGATCCACTAAAAGTGATTCCACCGATAAACGTTCCCAAAAACAAAGCCGTTTTGATGGTCATTGCTGCTGGATCAGTAGCAAGTGTTGAAAAATCATGAAGATATGTAGCGAAACAAGTCAATACAGCTGCTAAACCAACCAGTGAATGAAATGCTGCAACCAGCTGTGGTAGATCGGTAATTTCCAATTTTTTAGCAATAATCAAACCCAATAATCCACCACCTGTCATACAGGCAGTAATCTGTGTCAACAATTCCGGTGTTAAATTCATTGGTCCCAATGTTGCTGCCAGTCCACCGGTAACTCCGATCATTCCCAAAGCATTACCAAGTCTAGCCGTTTTTTGGGAACTTAATCCAGCTAACGCTCCAACACAACAAAGTGATGCACCCAAATAGGCCATCTGATGAACATGTTCCATGCCATTCAATGCTCCCATAGCATAAAGACCGGTAAATGTAGCGGCCGGTATAGCATACAGGTAATTATATTCTGGTGGATCAGTAGGCCGTTTAAACATATCCAACATTCGTTGTGTAATCAAGAATCCACCAGCAATATTGACAGTGGAAATAGTCAATGCTGTTGCACCAAGAATCTGTGGTAATGTTTCGGGCACAACGCCGCCACCCATTAGGAGTAAACCACCGACAGCTGTAATACCGGATACAGCATTGGTCACTGACATAAGTGGTGAATGCAATGCGGGTGTCACACCCCACACGGTATGATAACCAGCAATACCGGCTAAACTAAACGTGGTAGCCATTGTTGTGAATGCAGTATTTGGTGCGATGGATCCTAAACCAATTAATGATCCAAGACCCGCGGAATAGATTAAAGCGGTTTTCATTGTCTGTTGGAAATAATCTCGAGGTAATAATTCTTTGGGCGGTGCAGCCATTGGTACTTTTGAATCGATTGGTTTTGTTGCTGCTATATCAGTGGTCACTTGTTGTTGCACAGGAGGTGGTGGTGGTGGCCAAAGCAATTTACCTTGATGTAATACAATTGATCCACGAACAACTTCATCATCAAGATTTATGTCGAATGAATCTTGATGTTTAGAAATTGATAATAAAAATTTGGAAATATTATTCGAATATAGGGTCGATGATTGAGTGGGTAATCTTGATGGAAAATCAGTAAGACCAATATGTATGACTCCCGATGGTTGGTGTGTATAAATCTCTCCGGGTTTCGTTGTTTCAAAATTACCACCATTTTCAGCAGCTAAATCCACTACAACCGATCCTGGTTTCATTGACATAATCATATCTTTCGTAATTAATAATGGTGCACGTTTTCCTGGAATCAATGCTGTCGATATGATAATATCAACATCTTTACATTGTTGATGAAACAATCGATGTTCAGCATCAAGAAATTCTTTGGACATTTCTTTAGCATAACCGCCGGCACCTTCTCCGGTTTCTTTGATATTAATTTCAAGAAATTCTGCACCGAGTGATTCGATTTGTTCTTTCACTGCCATTCGGGTATCAAATCCACGAACAATGGCGCCCATATTTTTCGCCGTACCAATAGCCGATAGGCCAGCAACGCCACCACCAATAACTAAAACTTTTGCCGGTGGAATTTTACCGGCAGCAGTAATTTGACCGGTAAAAAACCGTCCAAAATGGTTAGCCGCTTCAATGACAGCTTTATAACCGGCAATATTAGCCATTGAACTTAATGCATCGAAAACTTGAGCACGTGAAATACGTGGAATACAATCCATAGCAAAAACATTCATACGTTTACGTGCCAGCTGTTCAATAAGTTGCTGATTCTGTGCTGGAAACAAAAGACTAACCAATGTAGACTCATTACGAAATAACCGCGTTTCCGTGTCAAGTAATGGTGAACGAACTTTAAGGATAATATCGGATTGTGCAAACACGCGGTTACGGTCAACCACAAAAGCTCCTTTGGATTCATAATCGGTGTTCATAAATTTGGCTTCTAAACCAGCATTTTCTTCAATTAGAATCTTGATGTCTTTTTTCAAAAATAATGGCACTGTTGATGGTACAATAGCAACACGATGTTCATTATTGAATGTTTCTTTCAATACGCCTTGAATGAATGAAATGATAATGTAATCAAAACAACTTGAATTGATAACAACAAAAAAAACACTACTCACCAATTTTAAGATTTTTATAGCTTAAACCAGCACCACCACCACCACCACCAGTAGCCGATTTTGTCTGTTCAGATGTCGACGATTTTTGTTGTCGATGACATTTTCGAACATTAGTTGTTGTGAGAAATTTTCTTTGATCCAAAAATTTACGACATGATATTTGATGATGATGTGGAAATTTGGTTAGAAAAAGTAACATTTTTCTTTTCTGTTTGTGTGTTAAAACTTTTATAAATATAAACGAGCCAGTGAAATGAAAATGAAAACCAAGTACCTATGATTTACCTGGTTCTACAAACTACCCTAAAATTGACATGTGCATGTGACATATACACACACAAAAAGGCCTAACAACAGGACCTAGGATCATCGAACACACACTTTTTTCTGGAACATAGAACCACCAACGAAAATTCGTGGTGGCCAAAATCGATCGAATGTTAAAGAATGGTGAAGAATTTGTTATTAGAGTGGCGATGGTGATGAAAAAAACCGGTGGGACCAACAAACAAAAACACACACACACACACACTTACTGTCTGCTTGTTTTAGCAACTCATTTCAATGATTTATACAAAAATCATTTTTTTATATATTCTGCCGAAAAATGCAGAAGTCTTCTTCTTGCCTTTTGTGTTCTGGCCATGCGCTTATCACATATAGCATTCATTCATATGACATGATCATCATCAGCATCGTGATCGATTTTGATTGTCGCGCGGTTGAATGTTTTTCTTTTTCTTTTTCTTTTTTGCTGTAATTTCAAAATTACGAAGTTCATTTATCATTCGTATATATGAATATGGTTCGTTTTTAAACGAAACATGATGAGATTTCCCATGGATATCATGAGATAATCAAGTTTTCCTTCTCTGATGATCAATTGATCATTGTCAGATTTTTCTCTTTGTGTGAAAATGTTTGTCGAGAAAAATGTTACATGATCAGGAGCAATCACTGTAATACTGATGACGATGATGATGATGATTATAATATGTATAAGCCATCTAAATCTAAATAATCTAAATAAAGAAATTAAAAGACGAAAAAAAAAATTGTTTACACATTGCAAAATTTTATTTTTTTTTATTTCATTACTTTCAATGTATGAACCAGTCACATTTTGAAACTCCTCCCATTGTTCAACTATCATTGTATAATTTTTTTCTGTGTTGAGTTTGTACACCTATACACAAACAAAATCGCCGACCCATTTAACTTTGCGAACGTTCTAGAAAATATTAAACCAGGAAAAAGATTTTTTAATTTTTTAAAAAACAAAAACAAATTATGCAAAATTTCAATGACAATCCAACGAAAAATCAATGTATTGTTCATCCTCACAGACAACGAAACGATCATAAATTAATTGATTTCAGTGTTGACAATAACGACATTTGCAGTAAACATCAAAATCAAAATAACCAAACCGACAATAGAACGAGCAGTGGATTGAGTACCACTAATAAATCCAAGGTAACAAAAAAAAAAAAAATTTGATTTCAATTCTCAAATGTATCCCCAATCCATAATAGAATATTATCATTGTTCAACGACAAAACAAACATTTCGGTAATCACCATGTAAATGATGATGATTATGATTCGGCCGGTCCAATCAAACAAACTGATGAAAGTTCATCATCATCATCAACAGCATCGCATGATGATGACGAACCACCTTCTACAAATGTTGGTAAAGCTGTTGTAAAACAACAAAACGGAGAATGTCATAGTCGTCAAATAACTCGTTCAATTGATATTCAAAAGAAAAATGTAAGTTTACTCATTCTTACCCATTTAGTTTGACTGACTTTTGTTTTTCTAGCGATTACGTGGGATACTTAAATATCCACCTGGATGGCACAAACGTACTTTATCCGAATCAGGTGCTGTAGGCATATTTTCACGTTCATTATCCGATAATTATGTTGGTTATTATGGACCACCGTCATCATCATCATTAGAATCACCGGGAATTTTATTGGATTGTTTTGAATATGACGACAATATCGTTGATGGTGATGAAGATGATGATGATTTTAGTATCGATGATCTTATGAAACCAAAAAAATGTGTTACATTTTCCGAGAAACAAGCAACATATGTATTTCGTCCTGGATCCAGTATACTTGGTCGACGGCAAAAAAATCAGAAAAAAGCAAAGAAAAAAAAGGAACGTGAACTACGTAAAATGGTATCATCACTTGAACAATTGGATGATAATGATGACTATGATGATGATCGACGACATAAACGACTTACATTTGTTAATGATTTACGAAATGCAATCGAATTGCAACGATATGCAAAGGGAATTGTTGCCAAAAACAACATCCATGATGATGATGATGATGATGATCTCGATTCACTTTGTTCATCAACTGATTTATCATCATCAGTTGAAAGTAGTAGCTGTTGTGATGATACAACAACATCGGCATCGGATTGTTCATCAGCTGATGAAATGTCTACAACAACAACAACTACATCACTATTGAATCCATATGAAGATGAAATCAATCTAAATGATGATAATTGTAATGGACAACAAAATGTATCAACAAAAACAAAAAAAAATCGTCGTCGTCGTCGTAATCGTAAGAATAAATTATCAATAAAAACATTATTGGAAACAGGTGGCTATGATAGTGATTAATCGATCGGATTCTGCCATATCATCAGTTACGAAGCGATTCCTCAAAAATGCCTCAAAACAAATTTTTCGTTTCAAATTATTCAAATTATTATCTACGTTTATTATTGTTTGTTGGAAACTCTCATCTTATATTTTATTCTACTATTGATATATTGATTCTCAGGCCAGTTTGATTATTATGAAATATTATGGAAAGTTTTATTCAACTTATATTGTTCTCGTATACACATTATTTGTGATCAAATATTTCTCTTTTCAATTTAGTGAAAAATTCCTGAAAAAGTTTTAAATCCTATCAACACTCACACATTCTCAACAAATTTGATATTATCAGCATCCTCATCGTTCGATAGATGGCGACAGCATTTTAAATTTGAATTTTTTTTTTTTTTTTTTGATTCTTTCAACATAATTTCTCTTTTCATTGTTCATTGATCATTGATCAATCAATCGATTTTTTTCTTTCATTTTATTTTCTATCTAATTATTGAATATTTTTTGTTATCCAATTATTATTATATACTGAATTATTGTAATGTAGGATTTTATTGGCTTTAATTTAATTCAATATTTTCCTTTGCGCCATACACACAAGACACAGACATCAGTGTGTGTTTTTTTTATTTTGCAATTTTGTCCATTCATCAATGATGAATGGACAATGGTTCTTCTGTGGACAATTGACGAAAATAATGTGTGCCATATTTTGTGATGGATTAGCATTGATATGTTTACATATTTCTTGTAATGACGATGCACTTAATAGATTGGGAAATCTTGTCATGAATATTGGCAATTTATCTTTAAGACGTATGAAATAAATCTCTGCTTCATCATTTCTTGTGGATCGATATAAACTGAATGCAGTACGTGTTGATGAATTTTCACGATGCAAAAGAATTTCATAATTATTTTGGTTTTTATTATCACAATAATTGTATAAAATCAGTGATTCTTCACGTGCCACAATGTCGTAATGGATATAATCTTCAATTTTAACTTCGACAACCGAATATGGTTCCAGAGAAAAAACTTTAGTCAAGAATTGATTTGCTAACGATAAGAATGATGTCATTTTCAAAAAAATTGCTTGATTCTAAAAAAGAGAAAAACACCAAGATTATAATTTAGTATAATAATAATTGTACCTCGAATAATTGTACCTCGAATTATAACAGTTGTGTGTCATTCGATGATTGCCAGATTGAATAATCAAGGAAATTTTCCTATTCATAAAAACTGTCATGAATTTCTTTTTGTTTTTTGTTTTTGTGGTTTGCATGTCGTCCCTTGTCACGGGTTTTTTGAGTTATTCTCATAAGGGTCGCCTGTGTCTGTCCAAATTGGGCGGAGCCAAAAAAAAAAAAACGACAGCCTTGCCCTGCCTCGGTAGCGCAGTAGGCAGCGCGTCAGTCTCATAATTTAACACATGCGTACACGTGCGCAATCTGAAGGTCGTGAGTTCGATCCTCACCCGGGGCATCTGGTGGATTCGACCCAAAGTTTTTTTGAATTTTTGCCATTCGTCAATTTATTGATGATTGAATTTCGATTGAAAAATTGGGTTCTGAATTTCATTATTACATCATCATTATTTTTTATAAAAATACAGCTAGTTTGTTCGTGTGTGTTCTAATAATCTGGTTGATTGAAATGTGCGCAATTTGAAGGTGTGAGTTCGATCCTCACCCGGGGCATCTGGTGGATTCGACCCAAAGTTTTTTTGAATTTTTGCCATTCGTCAATTGATTGATGATTGAATTTCGATTGAAAAATTGGGCTCTGAATTTCATTATTGGGTTCTGAATTTCATTATTACATCATCGTTGGTTCTCATAATCTAGTTTTTGAAATATGCGCAAAAAGTTCGACTGACAAGCAACAATGGAGTGGGGGTGGATGGATCATCCAATGGTGGGAAAGTAATTGGGTTCAATTATTTGATTATCCTCATATACTGACAAGACAATAATGGATCATCCAATGGTGGAAACAATTTTCTTGCCAATGGACTTTTTATCTCTTCTATTTCTTTGTATTACATTACATAATAATCGATTGTTTTACAAAGTTTCACAAAAATATTCCAAGTGGTGGTGGCTATTCAGCAATGTGTTTCTATATATTTCTGTGTGAGAATTCGGAATTCTACAGGTTATATTCTCTCTCTCTCTTTCTCTATTCTATTTTTACTCACAATAATCATCATTCACTTCATTATCTTTTATTTTTCAAAAATTTTCATCGGCATCATAATGCAAAATTAACGACAACGATGACGACGTGAAGCAATTTAGTTCAAGTTCATTTTACAATCATCATCGTAGTCGTTTTATTTGCTGTGCTGTATGTGTGTTGTAATATAACCATTTTATTACAACAAAAACAAATCCACGTATCCATGATACATCTTCATCTTCTTATTCAAAATAAAACGAAAGATAAATGTTTTCGGCAGAAACACACCACCGCGTGTTGCCATACATACAGACATAAATTCTGTTCGGTATAAAAAAAAATCCAATATATTTTATTGGCTTGATGAAATATTAAATTCTGTCATTGCTGCTGCCTCTAGAATCATTACCACAAAAATTCTGACGTTGATTGTTGGTTATTTTTAGTTTTCATCATCATCATCATCATCATGATGAACATCACTGATATTTTTTTCCGAAGTAAAGAATTTTTATTAGTCATTCTGCCATCGTGGTGGTGTTGGTGAATTAAGAATCATAAATAAATAAATAAATTATTCAAATTTGAATCGTCGAAATATAAATCGGATCTACGTGTTGGGTAAGTATGTAATCGATTGTTTGTTTTCAGTTTTTTTTGAATCGTTCATCACATTTGAAAAAAGATATCACTGTGTGTTTCAATTTTTTCGCGCTTTAATTTTTTTTTAATCCTTTAATTTCACAAAATAAAACCCAGTAAATTGCCGATGTTTCAAAAACACATCATCATTCTCATCAAACAAAAATTCATTCATTTTTTTAATGGAGTTTGAATCCCGAGAATTCTTGATTATTTTTATTTTCTTGAATGCGGCCACATCTGGGTCTAGACTTTAGAGAGTGTGCATGTGAATCCCGTTTTTTTATAATAATACTTTTTCTGGTTCTGATATTTCATTCATTGGAACCAGAACAAATAATTTTCGTCTGCCTGCTAGCAGCATATCTTCACAGAACGGAACACATACGATTTGAATACATCACCAATGTCAATGTATCCAAATCATCAACCGACCAACCAACCAACCAACCAACCACCACCACCACCACCACCGACAATAACAATAACCAGCACATTGTGTTGGACAGGTTCATCATTACATAAAATTGGGGGTGAACCGAAATGTGAAATGATTACCCGAATGAACAAATGAAATAAAGAACCAACCCATCATACATACAATACACACACAAGATTCGGGTAATATAATCGGATATCCCGAAAACAAGTCATCAATTGTGTATGGTGTATGTGTGGCCTTTCCTTTTTGGCCTCAACAGCAACAACAACTACAATCGACCGACCGACGACTACGACGACGACGACGGTGTTGTTGACCGCACCTCGAACTTTTCTTTTGCTGTATTTATCTTTTTGATTTCTTTCAACTTGCTCGCCTGGGTTTTTGTTTGTTGTTGTTGTTGTTATTTGTTTGTTTGGCTCATTTTTCGATGATGAGCTCTCTCTCTCTCTCTCTTTGGGTCTTTTTTTTCGTTGACCAATAACCTACCACACATTTATATTCTGCCGTAATCATCATCACCACCGTAATGAAAATTCAACGACAAGTTCATGGCTTGTATAGCTGGTTTTTTTCTTTCGTTCTTTCTTTAAATCGATTATTACATCAATGAGAGAAGATTTTATTTTAGTAATTTTTTTTTCTGTTCAAGTTTTTAAAACGAAACGAATGAAAGAAAAACATTGAGCCGAATTTTCGGTTGAAGAGTTGAATATTTTTTTTCTTCTGTGGCTTTCGAGAGAAAAAAAAACATCGAGCACCACCAAACAACACAACAAGAGTGGACTTTTGTGTGTCCGGTGGTTATTGTGAATGAAATTTTTCTGTTATTTTTGTTATCATCAGTATTGATCCGATTGGATCGAAAAAAATGAAAGATAAAATAAACAACGAGCTTCTTGACATCAACGTGACTACATAGCTAGAAAAAAAAGGATTTTTGATCAAATTTCATCATAAGCGACAACGACGACGACGACGACAATACATAATTCATGGTATGATTTTTTGTTTTTTTTTCAAAAACAAAAAAACAAATCAAATCACCATTATTTGAATTCCACAGGATGTTTCGAATACATTCCATTTTGAATGCATGTATGTTCGAAACATGTCTAGCTGGCTCGTGTTTTTGTTTTTGTTTTTTTTCTCAGTCATTTTTTTTTGCAACCACCACTGTGTGTTATCTATAAATAAATAATAAAAACATCCACTTACCAACAGAGCGATAGGAAAAAAAATTGATAAATCAATTGATTTTTGTGATTGATAAATAACGAAGCTATATATTGGTGTTTTTGATTTTTTTTCTGCTGTTATCTATATTTTTGTGTAATAGTTGTTTGTTCACAGTCACTGGCAGATGTATGATGATGATGATGATATCAAATGTCGACGAGATTTTTTTTCATTTGATATTGGAATAATGAACTTGTTCTTTTTTTTCTCAAGGTATGATTAAATTAAATCATTTTTTTTCTTGATCAAATTCTACAACGATGACGATATAGGTGGTGGTGGTTTTTTTCACTTGAAAATTATCAATTCAAATGATGATAATGGATAGAGAGAGAAAAAACATTCTTTTTTTCTCTGTCTAAATTCACACAATTATTGTACATATTTGTGTGTTTGTATGCGGTAATTATCATGATGAATTTTTTTTTCTTTTGACCACATTGTCTTCTTTATAAATATATTCAGCCATTATCCCGTTATATTTGCCGCATACACACACACATATGAATTTGACCAGATTATAGGCCAATTATGTTGTTTCACATTTTTGTTGAAATTCAAAAAAAAACAACAACGAAAAAATTACCTTCAAGACACACACACACACATACACATCAACAATTTTTCTGTTGTTTTGTTTCCCTTGATGATGATGATGATGATGATGATTATAATCTTTTAGAATAATCAGATAATTCATTTTATCCGAGCAAAGAAAAAAAATTTCATTTTATTATTATTCAACCAGTGTCACGTTTTTCTTCTGATGTTTTTTTGTTGTTGTTGATTTATTTTTAAAAATGACCACTAATCACTAAATCATTGTTGTTGTTGTTGTTTTCATTATTAAACATGATACAGATCTTATCATCATCATCATCATCATTCGAATGTCATGACATTCGAACAATCGAAAAAAAACTGTCCAAGTATCGATTGTTTCATTCCTCTCTATTTTTCAAATGAATTTCAAATTAATTATATATTCATCATCGAGAGATTACAATTTTTTTTCTTTTGGTGATCTACAAATGTCCAATTGATCATCATCATCATCTTGGATGATGTTTCAATGTTTAAACATAGAGCTGTGTGTGTGTGTAATGTTGGTGGCCTACAAGGTGGCCATCACATCATCCTCATCATCATCATATAACTTGTATTTCATTTTTTTTCCTTATTACCTACCAGAAAAACAACAACCGACGAAAAATGAGCCCAACATTTGATCAAATGTCCAATCTCTCTCTCTATGTGTGTGTGTGTTTTGTATATATCTAATACAACCATCATTCAGTCAATCATATTGAGCATTCACTGGTTCTTCGACCTTTTTTTACTTTTTTCATCTTTTTTTTTTTATTTAAAATGATGTTGTTGCCGCTGCTGCTGGTTGTTGAATGAATGGACGGTTGACTGACTAGTTTTTTCTTCTTTTAGTATTCGTCTTTAACTAGATTAATTTCCTGTTTTTTTTTCATTCTTTCTTTTTTGGTCAACTTGGTCATCACTGTGAATACATACATACTAATACAACACCAACCAAAATGGCCATTCATAATTATATCGGTTTTATACGTCGTGGTGTTATATTCCACCGTTATTAATACCAAAAGAAAACCCATTCTTTTGATTATTTGTCAAATTTGGTCAAATCATCCAATTAATCATTTTTACAGACAACTAAAAGAATTTTCATCCATAATTCAATTCAATAATTGTAACAATTGTTCTAAATTTAGAATTTGCACATCAATCAATCAAAATCTCAACTTTGTTCAAAAAAAAAACTCATCTTTGGTCAGTATATATTTTTTTTGCTGTTATAACCATCCGGTTTTTTATATCATGGATCATTGATCGATTGATTGATCAATTGGTTACATATGTTGTTTCTTAATTTTTTTTTTAATGTAAAAAAATGCCATTTTTTTTGTCTCATCATCATCATCATTATCATTCATTACCATTATTATAATGTCAATGTTTTTTTGTATATATATAAAAAAAGAAATCATTTTTTTATGATTATTATCATGTTGTTTGTTGGTGGTTGCAAGTTTTGTTTTCATTTGATTTTTTTTTCTTTCATCTTTTTGACTGATTGTTTGTTATTGTTGATCATAATCACACTCACTGCATGTGTGTTTGTTTTGTATGGTTGTCATCATCATAATCATCATTCAATCTCTATAATCCAAAAAAAAAAAAAAAAAAATGGTAACGATATGCATAAAAATGTTTTTTTGTTTGTTTTCCACAATGAACACACACACACACATCTCACTTTTGTGTTGATATATAATTTCAATTTTTTTTTTTTTTATTTAGTCACATTTCACATCACCGTGTGTGTGTGTGTGTGTTTGTATTTGTCACGGGTTTTTGTTGTTGTTGTTTACTAATTAGTATTGATCATCATCATTATAAAATTATAGATTTGTTCCAGAAAAAATCGATTGATTGACCCAAAAATCATGAAATGTGTGTGTGTGTGTGTGTGAAATAGATTTCAATTTCTCTGCTTTCTGTTTTCATTCAAATTCAAATTCAAATCAACAAACAAAACAGACAAACAAAACAATTTGTGTGTGTGTGTGTCCATTATCTATGTATAGTCGTCGTATAAATATCGTCGTTATCTTTTTTTTTGCAGATAAATGAAGATAATAATAGCCAGGATTTTCTTTTTCTGGCACCCGTTCTGACCTGAGAAAGACACTTTAAACTTCAACTTAATTGTTATTTTTTTCCATAATCTTATCTGATGAATGATGATTATAATGATGGTAGTGTTTTTTTTTTGTTTTGAAAAAAATTATTTTAATCATTTTTTTTTTTACAGTGTGTCCATTGACATGTGTGTTGAACTATCATCATCACCATTGATGATGATGATGATGGCAGCAAATAAAAATGTCCAGTGGCAAATTGACAACAACAACAACAAAAACTTTTTGATTAAATATGTAACCCATCATCATCAGTGAATATAGATTTTTGTGTTTTATGAATTTTTTGTTTTGTGTACACGCACGTGTGTGAATGTTATCATCATTGTATTTGAATTTACATACAAAGATTCAATTTTCACCTGGTTCGATATTCGTGATTCAACCATACATCACCATATCTGAAAAATCAATCAATCAATCAATCAATCGATCAATCAACCACGACCAAACAACAAACAAACGAATCAAACGAAAACATCTGTTCACATTATAACAATGGTTCTCATCATAGAATTTTTTTTGGTTTTTTTTCGATACTTGGAGTTCATTCATTAATAATATGTTTATTATTATTCATCATCAAAATCGTCGGGCAAGTAAAAAAAAAGAAAAAATTCGTAAATACACAAAAGAAATCTGATGAAAGAAAGAAAATAAATCTGATCCGCTTTTTCGTAACCGAATAGTAATAGTAATAATAATTATTATGGCCAATGTTCGAGCCGAAATATTGGCAGCTAGTCGATCGCGAACAACAACCGGTTATTGGAAGGATTCGATAAATAGAGCGGCAAATAATAACAATAACAATAATAATAATCAACAATCGACAATCAACAATATTGGCAATAATAATAATAGCCAAACTTGTGCCATTGAGAGTGTTGTTGCCATGTCTTCTTCAACACCCATCATCGTCATCGACAATTGGTGGTGGTAAGCTCAATTCATTGAAATTAACATTTGAATCATCTACCAAAAATGTTATTCATGGTGATCATCATCATCATATAAACGGATCATCATCAAATAATAATGGTGGTAAAATATTTAATCGAAGCCATTCAGTACCATCATCATCAGCTACAGCGTCTAGTGGTGTTGGTGGTCGTAAACTTGGTACAAAAGTAAGTCAAATAGCCAATCTATTTCAATCATTATCACCACCAACATCGGAAACAAATCTATCATCATCAATATCGACATCAACATCATTATTGAATGGTAAACACCATCATCATCAACAACAAAGATCGTCATCATCATTATTAACACAAAAATCAAACAGTTTAATTTCGGTTAATTCACCGGCAGCGGCAACAGCAGCCGTAACAACAACAGCAACATCTGCGACGACGACGACAACGACAACGACTACAATATCAATGAAAAGAGATAGTATGCCTAATTTATCGAATTTAGATCATAAAGGAAATGATGATCAACAGCAACAACAACAATCAATCAAAACAAATGGCCAAATACTTAATAATAATATAAAATCGATTAAAAATCGTATGCTCAATGATAATAATAATAACAATAATGATCATCATCATCATAATCATAAAACAATAATCGATACGGGTAAACATTTAACTAATGGATCAAATCATTCAACGACGACGACAACAACAACAACAACAACAACAACAGTAACAACACAACCTAAAAAGACGGCTATAATTGTAAATACTACGAATAATACGAATAGTTTGGATAAAAGAAAAATAAGTTTCGATAATTATTGTCATTTGAAACATAATGGGACAACAGCAACGACACCGGTGACAACAACAAATGGATTTAACAGAGAACATAAAACGAAACCGGAATTATTGCCAAAAACCATACGTCAATCGGCGGATATGATGATACTGAAATCAAATGTACGTTCGCCACCACCGCCACCAGTTTCAACTATAAATGGTGTGGTGAAAAAAACATTACCAACATTATTACAACGTTCCGAAAGTCGTGTATCAAGATTTAATAATGCACGTGCTGTATTTGAACGTTTACAATCATCTGATTCGATTATTTCATCACAAAAAACAACAATTACAATGAATGGTCATAATGAAAATAATGGCGGTGAATCAAAATTATTGACGAAATTCAATTCATTTGATTCAATTAGATCGAAATCATCATCTCCATCATCGTTGAACACAACGGCGGCGGCGGCAACAGATGAAACGCCGTCCACGCAACAACAACAACGAACAAATGAATCGAATGAAGAAGTATCATCACCCAATGTTAAAGTATCACATGTTAGAAATTTATTTCAACGAAATGATAATGTTTCAAACGATGATGAAACGAAAGTATTACAATCGGTCATTGTTCGTAGCAATAGTAATGCATCTACCAAAGAAAATTCACCGGTTTCTGATTCGGAATCATCATCATTGATTATTCAACAACAACAATTATTGCCATTGAATAAATCTACATCATCATCATCGTCGATGGTGAGTTGTTCACAAGATCAATTACTTGATAAAATTGTTGAACAAATTACCGATCCATTGGATAAATTATCCAATGTTGATCTCAATAGTTGTGATATATCAGGCATTCCAGATGATGTAAATATTGATGAATGTCTAAATAATGTTGGTGTTGTCACCGATGAAGATGCACAACGTCTATTAAAAGAACAAATGATGAAAAATGATGAAGATGATGAATCAAAGAATACGGTATTCGATGATTCAATTAAATTGATCACAAAAAACCATCTAGCAACCATTGATAGTGATGACAAAATTATTGATGATAATTGTGGTGATGAAAAAGAAGAAGAGGAAAGCGAATTGATATTCATCGATAATATACCATTTCATCGACGTAAAGATGGAGAAATCTATATGGAAGCACCGGGTATACCACCAGAAGAAGAAGATGATGAAGAAGAAAATGGATTTCTTGATGATCCACAACAACAACAACAATCTGATCAATATGATCTGGAGACAGGCAACATAATAATGCCACAACAACACCAACAACGTAAACGTAATAGTAAAGTTCGTTTCAGTTCAGAACCAATAAAGGTGTTTATGACATATTCGGCACAAGAATATGATCGTCGTAATGAAGAATTTGATCCGGTTGTGGCATCGGCTGAATATGAATTAGAGAAACGTATTGAAAAGATGGATACATTTGCCGTTGAAATTGTCAAAGGCGATGAAGGACTTGGTTTCAGTATAATTGGGTTCGTTTTTTTCTCTCCAATTTTTTTTCAAATCTTAGCTAATCCTGATTTTCTTTTATAATTCTCAATGATAGGATGGGAGTTGGAGCTGATGCTGGAATCGAAAAACTTGGTATATTTGTTAAAACAATTACCGAAGGTGGACCTGTACATCGTGATGGACGGTATTTGCTCATTTCATTGAGTTTTTTGTCGTGATTTAACTGAAATTCATTTTCTATCTGTTTAGTATACAACCAAATGATCAAATTATTGAAGTGGATGGCAAATCATTAGTCGGTGTTACACAATCCTATGCAGCATCAGTATTACGATCAACATCGGGTCTAGTACGTTTCGTAATTGGACGTGAACGTGATCCAGCCAATAGTGAAATTGCTCAACTTATTTCGCGTTCCATTCAATCGGAACAGCAGCAACAACAACAACAACAAATGATGTTGATGAATCAACAGCAACAACGTTCTATTGGATCAGATTCAACAATGATGTATCAGATGATGGAAAATAATGATGAAATGTCTACAAATACCGAAATGGTCGATCAGAATAATTTACTTAATGAACATGAACAACAACAAGATGATCAACAATTTGAAATGTTACAACAACAACAACAACAACAACAACAACAGCAGCAACAACAACAACAACAATTATTTGCTGATCTACAACAGCCACAATCCCAACCAACGATTCCAGGAAATAAATCAACATCTCAAATGAATAATGATCAAATGAATGTATCATATATACAACAACAACATCTGCAATCATTACGTGATATTGATATGCTTAAGCGTAATATTATTGAATGGCAATTAAAATATTCATCATTAACCGATGAAATATGCAAAGTGAAACAAAAATCTGATTCAAAAATCTATGATCTACAAAAACAATTAGAAGATGAAATGGTAATATCCAAAGAAAAAGAAGCTCAAATTATTACATTGCAAAAAGAATTGGATCAAAAGAATACACTTTTCAATGAATTTAAACAACAATATAGTTTATTGGAAAAGAAATATTTAAAATTGAAAAAACTAGTCAAAGATTTACAACAACGTGAACAGGACCTATTGCAAAAGGATCAATCATTTCGAAAAATGTTTGATGATGAAAAACAACAATCAACATTGATGATTGATTCATTACAGGAACGTATTACACGTTTGGAACAACAAATTGGTGAAAAATTCAAATCAAATAAACAGGAATCAATCGATGTTGAAAATGATGAAAATAGTAGTAGTAGTAGTAGAAGTAGTTGTAACAGTGGTGCTATTACCGATGATCATTCATCGAAAACAGATCGATCATTTAAAGAGGCTATTAGTCAAAGTGAAAACATATCACTTTTGGATATTTCATATTCAAAACAAAAAGCTGAGCTTGTTAGTCGTGGTAGTTTGGCTAATCGGCAGCCACCATCATCGAATATAATTAAAAAGAATTCATCATTATCAAGAACATCAAGTAATAATGATGTTTATTCTGAATCTTCTTCCGATAATAATAACAATAATAAGGAATCATCAATGATTGCTCAAACAGAATTTAATCAAACAATATCATCAACACCAAAATCATCGATAATTGATGAAAAATGTTCTAATCCCTCATCATCATCATCATCACCATCACGTTCACAGGCTAAAATGATATGTCAACAGGCAGTGGCAGCTATTGCTGCTAAAAATGCCAATTTAAATTCATCACCAACAATGACAATCAATGTTGCTGCTGCTTCCAGATGTGGTCAACGAAATTCCAATATTTCCGACAATCAAACATTTCAGCATCAACAATATATTGAATCACCATTATTAATATATGAGGCATTAACACCACTTGATGCATCGAATGTTCGTCATATGATGTCACCACAAGCAACAACAACAACAACAACAACTTCCCAATCATCACCAATACGTTCTATGGTTGTTGATCAGCATCTACAAACATCAACAATTTCCTCATCATCCGGTTCTCTAATATCACCAAATTCAATTACATTTGATAATGATGATTTGATCTCAATGGCTACCTATAGTGGTAGTGGTGGTGGTGGTGGTGGTAATTATTCATTTGTTGATGATATGAGCCATCACTCATCTAATATTTATTCAAATGAATCATCAACAGCGAATACATCGGCAACAAATACCCTATCATCTTGTCATCAACAGAATTCCCTTCCATGTATGAATACATTTCCAAATAGCCTATCGGTTACCGATTGGAGTGTATTGGATGTTGTTGAATTTCTTGAACAAATTCATCTTGGTTCATATGGAAAGCGTTTTCAAGATGAAAATATTACCGGTGCTCGATTTATACAATTGGATAGTGCTCAACTTAAGGTTTGAAAAATTGATTAATAATGGATAATGACTATTTTCTATTAATTTTTTCCTTTTTTTTTAGGCATTAGGAATAATAAACAGCGGTGATCGTCAATTATTGAAGAAAAAAATTAAAGAATTTCGACAACTATTGGATAAAGATAAAAAAGAACAACACAAAGTAAGAGCAGGAGATAATCATGGAAAGATTCATTTTCGTAATGCTTTCAAATGAATGAATGAATCAATCAATGAAAAAATAGCTCAAACTAATCAATTTAATCTAACCAAACAATCACAATAATGCAGCAATATATAATTATTTAATTAATTGTCAACAAAAATCATAAATCAATCAATCATTGCCAATCACATTATTATCATCTTTAATTAATTGCATGTTTATATAAATGACATATTCATACAATCATCGTCAATAATGAATGATGAAATGAAAATTAACTAAAAATAATTCAAATTCACATCATTAGCCGCTTTATACTTATCATTATCTTCATCATCATCATCATCTTTATTATTATTTTCCTCACTATATCTTATATCGAATACAAAACAAAACAAACCAAAATCGAATCAAATTCTCTAGTCTTTACCTACTACTGCATCTTTGCGCATTCCAATTATATAATATTCTTTGCTTGAGTATCGTAATTTGGCTTCTACTCTCTTTCGCTATATATACCCAATTCTATCGAATCAAACAAATAAAATATTCAAGAATTATTCTTTTTCATTTTTTTTCTTATCCCTATTCTTTTTTTCCAAACAAAAACATATTCTGGATCAACAACAACAAAAATCTTCATCTTTTTCTCTTTTATCCACATGCACACACACACACACATACACAACATTCAACAAATTTCTTTTCGCGAAAAGGCCAACATTACCAATCGACGATTATTTGCTCGTTTCCGGTATAGATTTCGAAAAAGACGTAATAAATAATCATCAGCATGGTTGAATATGGATGATATAATCGATTATTGAATGAATTTTTTTTCCTTCAAACTTTATACACAAAAAAATGATGATCATCATTTTCATTTCATTTCATTTCATAATTAGGATTCAGGATTTATTTTTATCTTTAATTACCTGTGATTTGATGTTTGATTCTTTTTTTCTCTATAATATTATCATTTCATGAAAACAAGAAAGAAAACAGAAAAAAAATTACAAATTTGGATAAACATTTGTACTTTATTACTTTATTTTTATTATTTTGATCAATCATCAATTTATAATATAATTTCATCGTCATTCATGCCATTTTTTGTTGTATATTTTTTTTTTCTGTAAATTTTATTTTTCATTATCATCATTATCAATCATCAATCAATGTGTCTAATTGTCTTTTTTAACAAACTTTTGCAACAACAATAATTAAAAAAAAACAAAACACGCACCAATGAATTTTTTTTTTTTTTTATTTATTTCATTATCAAAATCTAAATCAAATTAAATATATATAGTATATGCGGCAACCACTACACAAAGGACCCATACTTGTTGTTTAACCTTTGTGCCGTTGACAGTAAAGTTTTTTTTCTCTCAACCGTTTTGCGAACGTTACTATATTGAAAAGAAAAAAAAATATTGACTTGTAGCGAAAATTCCGATAATGTTTTTAGACAATTTCATCTTTATCGTAGTTATTTTTATGTTAAAAGATGACAGCATCTATTATCAAAACAAAATTCGAATTCACATTTAAACCATGGTGTTGTCTTGAGAAAAATAACTAAAAACAAACCAATTTCGAAAATCATTTATCCCCTATATTATTAGTATAATTGGCAGGAAAAAATGTGTCAAATAAAACAAAATAATGAATAAATTGCCAAAAACTTTCATTTGAAAATTATAAATTCTACTGTGCCAATCTCATTGGCCATTGTAAATAGTCGGTTGATTCGATATATGAAAAAAATGATATTCTAACTAATGGACAGCGATTGTGTATATAATGATGATATGATAGGATAGAAAAAAGCAATAAGTATCAAAAACGATTGCCACAAGAGAGAGAGAGAAAGTTGATTCAATTCATTCACGTTCAGTGGTTACTTCAATACAAAGTACAATGAATGCATTATTACAGGAATATTTTTCTTGGTCCAATAATTTTCCACGTAATAAATTACTAGCCATTCCAAATCGTGATATTGAATCCGAACTCCATGAATCACATGAAGCATCCATATTACGTATACCGTTTTTATCTGAACCATGCCATATTAATTTCTGTTGCCATTGTTGATCAGTGAATATATTACGACCATCAAAGCTATAGATTTTTGGTGGATATGGAAATGGTGCACCCCAACCAGTGAACATATCTCGTACTTGATTGAATAATAATTCATCTTTCATATTCACAACTGGTAAACGTGAATCACGTGCACGTACAAGGCTATCTAAATTTTGAACACGTGATGTAATGAATGCACGAAATGTTCCTTTCAAATTGGCACGTCGTGATTGTCGAAAACATTCATAATCAACATCTCGTACACCATGCATATCACCGGTATATGGTTGATTCAATGCTACCAATCGAAGCTATTGATTTTCAGAAACCAAAGAAATGATTGATTGATTCGATAATTATCAAACGCACAACTTACTTTTCTTTCATGCAATATATGCTGATTGTTTTTTTCAAACAAAAACGAAAAACAACAATATTATTCTCAGATTTATTGATTCATAATCGATTACCCGATTAGTTCCAGATGATGGAAGATTGTATTCGCCTACTGCATTTCCATTTACTGGTTCAATTGTTGTACCGTCATTCGATATCTAATTGAATAATACAAAAATTTTTCATTTTTGTAGAAAAACAAAAATAAAATCATTTGTCTTACCTTTTCTATTTGTAGACTATTTTCATTCGGTTTGATTACACGTCCAAGCTTTTAAAATGATTTTTCAATTAATAACCAATATTGTAATTCGAAAAAAAATCAATCAATTTACCGATATATATTGCCAACCATTGGCTACACGTAATAATAATGATTGTTCACTAACCACGAATGCTAACATTCCTTGATGGGTTTTCATTAATGCCGATTGAAGCTCGTCCATATCATTATAATTGTTAATTGTCATCATAGATTCATGTTCCGAATCGAATGATTTCACACGATTATCTAAATATAAATGTAAATAAGAATGAATTTCACCAATAGTAATAACCATTCTACAGCTTACGACGTGATTTTTCAGGCCAATTCTCATATGAAACGATAGTGGCTGGTTCACCTTTTTCTCCTTTAATACCGTTTTCCATCTTGATTTAAATATGAAAAAAAATCGATAAAAAAAAAAATTCATTGATATGAAATAAAATTTTTTTTTAGAGACCACCAAACCATTAGACGTTTGATTTCCTATAAATATGAAAAAATAGATGTTAAAACTCTTTTTTAAATGAAAAAAAATTCCATCAAATGAATTACATGAATTTTAATGGCATCTCCTTTCGGTCCTTTTGGTCCCATTGGACCTGGTTTTCCTATATAGTTGTATCAAGATTATTTATGCCCAATGTTCTTATCGATCACTCACCAATTTTTCCTCGTCTACCTCGATCACCTTTAGCGCCACGAATACCAATTCCAAGTTCCCCTTTTTCGCCTTTATGGCCCGGAAAACCACGCGGACCAATTGGTCCTGTTTCTCCGATACGACCAGCCATATAAGTGATCGATGGGTCCATTATGGAATGATCATTCTAAATGTTGATTAATGATTGGTTTAAAATTTTCAATTTCAATCTTTCAACAACTTACATCAAACGATGTTCGTTTATCAAATGATCCGGATGAGAGTCCAGGTGGTCCGGGCAAGCCGATCGGACCCGGAAAACCTCTGGGACCTGCATCACCTTTTGGACCACGTAATCTATCGCCATATTGATCGATCATAATGGATAGATCACATTGACAACATTGCGTATTATTATTTATTCGTTGATGATGTCCATTACAAGTGATTGAATTACGGTCATTTTCCACATTATCATTCGATTCAACATTTGTCTTTTTGGTTGTTGTTAATATTGAAACGGGTGGTGGTTGCGGCATAAGTGGCTGCTTTTTTTGTTCATCATTAATACCACCACCGATTTCTGTAGTTTCATCATTATCATCGGATCCAAAATCCTATTCAAATAAAAAAAGACAATTATTTAGCCAAGTTAATTTCAAAAAAAGCAAAAATAAAATTCAATCAAAATTAATCGAAAAAAAATTTCCAATTGAAAAATAATGAGAAAAAAGAACAACAGAATCTTTTTTGAACATCAATTTGGAATTAGATGATTTGATTTACTCACTGCCCATCTTCATCATCATCGTTGAATCGTTACAATATTTATTTTTAAATGAAATGGAAACGAGAAAGATAGAGAAACGAATCAATGAAATGTGAAATGATGATGATGATGTGCATGTGAAAAAAGACGTGATAAGAATTGAATTTCTTGGTTTTTTTTCTGTGAATGAAATAAATTGGATTATATCATAGTTTAATAATACACTATATATATGACGACGTGATTAACTATGTGACAATTTGATGATGATGATGATGACCTTTTTTGTTTTTGTTTTTCTTTTGGGATGAAAGTTCACAATTTGAATTTGATTTTCACTTTTAGAATCGATAATTCAGAGTTCAGAGAGTCAAACATGCAAGCAAAGAGAGATAGAAAAGATCATCAAATCGATATATTGTCATTGCATGGTGAATGTGTGTGATAATTAATTTCTTTCATTCTTTAACCATATGTTTGGAACGAACACACAGACACAAAAATTCATGAAACAGGGCACGTTTTACTATTACAATCGAAACACAACATGCACAACATTTCATGAATTGTGACGAATCCAAGAAACAGAAAAAAATTGTCAAACTTCTAAAAATGAAAGAAAATGACGATGACGATGATGATGATGAACAGAAAAAAAAGGAAAAATTTCGAAAATTCAGCATTTATTTCGAACGTGACTGAATTATGGTTGATCGACTTTTTTCGTTTCGTTTCGTTTCGTTTTGTTTTGTTTCATCAGAAAACAAAACCCATTGGATGATTGAATCGTTTCGTTTTGTTTCATTTGGTTTTTTAACCATTGAACGATTAGAACTACCACAGAACACAACGAAACCAAACGATAACAATCACCAAGGGACCATCATTACCACCGCCACATATATATCGATTCTGTCAAAAATTTTTTGTTTTTCTATTTTCATTAATTTAGTTCAAGTGAAAACAGAAATAAATTTTCACCATTCACTTTTATTGTCGGTTGATTGGTCGGTGGTGATTTTACATGGCAAAAAAGAAAAAAGATCACATTTATGATGCCACAACCAACAATCTCAATTAGCACTGTGTGTCAAATTAATAATCTAACAAAACAAAACAAAACAAAAAAATTGTCGATCAAAATAAAAATCGATTGAATTTGAAATGATCAGAGATGGTCATGAGATTTTTTTTCCATTCGGTTGAACACGGACACACACGAATTAATCGTGTATCCAATCAATTTGTATCAAAAAGTTTTTTTTGTTTTAGCTAATTTTTTTCATTCACTCACTCTCACTCAAATGATCATACTGATGATGTGTCAGACATTTTTTTTTTGCTTTTCGATTCAATTGACATGAATTAAATTATTACTTTGTTCGTCTTATAAAAGTGAAAAATTCTTTTATGTTATGTTCACACATCATATTAGTGTGTGTATGTGTGTCTTTACAGAATTGATGATTCTGTAAAATTCTAAAGGATCGAGATAATAGAAAACAAGCGGCTAATTAATAAACGCGATTCTCTACTGTGTTGTTCCAGAAACAGAAAAAAATGTTCATCACCATCGACACTATTTCAGAATTAAACATTAAAAATTTACAAATTCCCAATTGACCAATATTCTTTGAGTTTCGGTTAAAGTTTTTGATCATCATTTTACTATTTTCAATATTGATTGTTCAGGAACAATTAAATATCGATCGATTCGATTCGAATTGAATTGAATTGAGTGTTACCGTATAGAAGTCAATCGATATGTTTCAAACACACACACACACACACACACAAAAATTACTTATCGAGAATTCTTAAATCGGGAAAAAACGGGATATAATGTTCGAGTGAAAACGGGAAAAAAGTGTTCATAAGTCTTAATGACTTTATTACACTTTGACATATTGTTGTTTGATTATTTTTTTTCTTTGTCGAATGAATCGACAAATAAATCATTACCAAATGTCGACATTTCACACATATGGACATTTGTTTCAATAATAATAATAATGGACGCGAGATCCAGGATTCATTATTATTATTATTATTGAATATCCAAAAAAAAATCAATAAAGATTCAAAAAAGAAAAACAGACAAAACTTACCAGACTAAAAAATGATGATGATGATGATTTTGGATCATTTGATCCAAAATTCCATGTATGACAATTATTGATTAAGAAAATGATTCCAATACAGATGTAAATGATTCGTATTGTTTTATCCATTGAAAAACAATGAAAAAATGGTGATGGTGATTTTTGATCAATGAAACACACACACACACATACACACACAGATTTTGATCAAGAAAAAAAACTTTTCAGAAAAAAAATCATTCGGACAATCGAAACAATAATCCAAATGCACAAGTGTGTGGTGTATAAAGCGATCGACAGATTGGAATCGAATGAGGGAATTGATGGGAAAAAATTGCACAAAAAAACAGCAGCTTGACAAGAGTGAAACTTTGATAATGATGATGGTGGTGGTGGCGGCGGCTGTGGATACTAAAACAACCAAATCTAGAATCCAAAAGAAAATGGGAAAAAACTTTTGTTTATAATTTGAGAAAGAAAAGAAATTACAAATATTAAACACACACACACAAACATACCAGAAAAAACGAAACTTCTATCTATTTTTTGTATATAAACGGGCAAAAGAAGAATATCAAAAAGATCGACAAAAAGAATCGGAATGTATTCAACAATCTCAAGACGACAAAGAACCGGCCACATTCGAATCGATGATCATTTTGGGCGGATATAAATAGGTTGATGATGATGATGATGATTGGAGTTAATGTAGGAGAAGAACGCATGCGCGCATGAATAAACATTCGATTCGAATGTTTTTTTTCATTCGATTTGATTTTTTTCAATTATCTTTTCAAAGAGAATAATTCTTCTTCAAAAGTTACGAATATATTCTGGTTTCGTTTTCGTTTTGTCTCGTTGTTGTTGAATAATAATAAATAATAATGATGAATTGAATTTGATTTTTTTTCTATAGAATGAAAAATAAAATTCTGGTGTGTTCAATTTCAACAAAAATCAATAATTGAATTGAAGATGGTGGTGGTGGTGGTGATGTGATGGTTCATTTTTTTCTTCTTCTTCGTTATTTATTATTTGTTGATTGAATATAATCATCACCGCCGTTGTCGGGTGAATAAATAAACACATTATTCCCTGGACGGTTTTGCAAACCAAAAAAACAATATTCTACTATATTGATACATCATTCGAATTGATTGATTGATTGATTTTCGATCTTTTTTCTCAAACGTTCAGCATCCGCATCATCATCATCATCATTAGAATCAATTCAAATTCATGATTCGTCTAGTTGTTGATTGATTCTCAATATTGAATCAAAACATAGTAACACATTCACATCATTCATTCCAATAGATGGCGTTGTTGAATATCCATTTTCACAAAAAAATGATTCCAAAATTCGTCAAATTCTTCAAGTTCTTTTTTCCTTCTTCAATATATCATGCACATGTGCGATTGGTATGACGCCAGTGGTTAAAATTCTTCGATCCATCACACATTCCATAATGTGTTATATATACGACGATATTTTTTTTGGGTGTCTAAATAATAAAAATACTGCATTATGCTGGAACACATGTGCCGTATTTGTGTTTCGGTTTCTTTGGTGTTGAAAAATTGATTGACCGACAACAACAACAACAACAACAACAAAATTGAAACGAAGAAATAAAAAAAAAATAACCGAAATGAAACTTAAACTCGGATAAAGAAAAAAAATTGCCACTTTTCAAGCACAAATAATGAGCTTATTATTTTTTTATTGGCCTACGATGATATACGCCCAAGAAGATTCTTTTGATTATCGATGAAAATATCGAATATTTTATCATTGGCCACGGTTGCCACCATCAATGATCAATTATATGGTCGATATGGTGCAATACGTGGTGCAATATTTGGCCATCATCATCATCATCATCAAATGATTATCACCAATCATAAACGATTATCAAATATTTCAATCTACATCGTATTATTCATAATGGTCATTTGTTTTTCTATAACAATGATATTGCTCACACAAATGTTGTTATCAACAACATCAACATCGACAACAACAACGATGGATCAATTTGATTCATACAATATAACCATCTATAGTGGTAATAATGGTGATGGTCTATTTTCTGCTGCAAAATTGGCTGAATCACATTTTTCATTGGAAACATTTTTATCAAATATCAATACAAGCTACACGTATGATGATAATATTTTTAGCTCCAATAATTTTCGCTGTTTTGGTCATCAACAAAAAACCACCGATGAATGGATCGATTATTGGCAACCGGTATGTTCATCTGGTGATAAATTCTATGTATTTTCAGCATATATTGATTCATATAATCGATCAAATTTAAATTTAAATTTTTTTGATTCAAATCATCATCATAATGACAATCAAGATTATTTTGTAAGAATAATTGCTGTTACACAATTGACAAGTAAAGAGAAAATAATTTGTGCATTTTATTCCACCACCACCACCATCGAAGAAGATAGTGAAAAACAGTCAACAACTTCAAGTTGGTTTCGTCATGGTAAAATGAAACCAATACGTGAACATTGGAATCTACAATTCAGTGCATTCTTTATTTATTGTCCATTACCAAAAACGGTGATTATTCAAAATGATCACGGTAAAATGAAAACAAATTATCATTTATCAATTATGGCCATATCAAAACAATGGCATGTTGACGGTGATGATGGTGAAGAATTTCATCGATTATTGAAACGAAATGTTCAAATATTGAAAACAATTGTGCCTTCAAATCGATTGCCAATACATGGATTACAACAACAAATTAATCAACCGGATGATGATAATGATGATGGCAAAAGATTTGATGATGAAAACAAAATGATGATGGCCATATGCGTAAAACCATTGCATTATTATTATAATAAAACTATAAATCTAATGGAATTTATAGAGCTTAATCGATTGCTTGGCGTGAAAAGATTTTATTTTTTCAATCACACAATTTCATCACAAGTCAACCATTTGCTTCAATTATATCAACATTATGAACCAGATTTATTGAATATTTTTCAATGGCAATTGCCTATAAAATCACAAACCGAAATACGTACTGAAGGTATATTTGCTGCATTAAATGATTGTCTTTATCGTGCACGTTATAACCGTTTTCGTTATGTAATGTTTATCGATTTGGATGAATTTATCATGCCAAATAATCATCAGAATTTAATTGATTTACTTCATGATGTTGAACAATTTTATCCAAATAAAATTGGTGCATTTTCATTTCGGAATGGTTTCTTTTATTTACAATATCCAGATGATAATCAACAACAACAACAAATTGGCAAATCAATCAATAATGATAATCTTCATCATAAATTAATAACATTGACAAAAACATGGCGTAAAATTAATCTGAATATTCATAAACAACGTTCTAAATGTATTGTTTTACCGGAAAATGTTGTAGAAATGGGCAATCATTTTGTATGGGAATTCACATATGGTAAACATACATTGAATATTGATCCAAAAATTGCTTACCTACATCATTATCGTGTTTGTGAGTTTGGTGGTGATAATTGTATAAATGATTCCGAACATATTATTGATCGTCGTGCATATTATTGGGCGCCATCATTATTGAATAATATTCATAGACGATTGCAAATATTTTGTGATTCGATGCCTCAACAATTAAATGATGCCTGTAATTATCGTCATCACTGAATGGACAACAGAAGGTTTTCTTCACTTTTTCAATGTCTTTCTTCTTCAAATCGATCTTCTGATGCCTTGATTTTCAATTTATTCGGATGTGGCTTTTTTCGGGACTGGGGCTTCCGTTTTTGTTTGTTTGTTTGTTTGTTTTCTTCCATAAAAACAAAATCATATTATAAATAATGATTGTTATTGATTTTTTTTTTGTTTCATTATAGAGAAAAATTAATTAAAAATTGATTTTTTTTTGAAAAAAGTTGGGAAAATTTCCGAAAAAGCAGGAAAATTTCCAAGTTTTTCGAATGTTTCCTTTTGTGTGTGTGTCTGTGTTCGAAATGTGTTTATTATCGATGAAAAAAAGTGAATATTTTTGTTGAAATTCTCACACTTTTTAATTGAAATTTTTTTTTCGTGCTGTTAAACCAAATAATCATCATGGTATATCAAGTAGTGGTGAGTGAAAGAAAAAAAAAGTGAAAGGTAAAGAATTTTTTGCCCAAAGCAAAATCGATCGAGAGAATGAAAATAATTCGCATCCTTATTATTTATTCTCATTATCTCATCATCACCAACATCAACATTATCAGGACGAGCAACGAGTTTTTTTTTTTTTTTTTTTGATTTCAAACCAATCACCATCATCGTTTTCGTTGTTATGCAAGTCATCATTATGATCAACCAAAGTTCATGAAAAAAAATCTTGCAGAAATATTCTCGAATGGTCAAAGGCCACCAATCACCAATCATCAAAAATTTGATCCAATCTTTCATTTGTTGTTGCCAACAACAACAAACAACGATAATAATGATAATAATAAGGGCCAGAGGTGAAAGGTGCGAAAAAAAATTTACAATTTTTTTTTCTTGATCGTTGATTGGTATATGGATTGGACAGGTAGATGTGGTGTGGCCATACTAAAAATGAAAAAAATAACATGTCCTCTCTGTTTCGAGTGGTACCACCACCACCAAAACACAGACAACAAGTGGCCATTCAAACTTTGAGAATGGTCTTTCTTCTTTCGATGTGTGTGTGTGTGTGAACCAGGGTCTTTGTGGTTTCGTAGTGTGTTTTTTTATGAACGAATGAAACGCACACACACACACCATTCATTCATTCAATTTGATTCGATTCACAGACACGATCAATCTTCGAGTGTGCTCGACACCTGTTTCTCTTGATTGTGTGGTATAGATTTTGTGTAAGCAAATTTTCTGGTTTCTGAAGCAAAAAATTTGTCTCGAATCATGGGAAATTGTTTAATCAAGAAATTTTTTAAAAAACATTATCACATTGATGATGATCATGGTGATAGAAAACCAAAAATCAAACCAATTTTTATGATTGATTGCTGTAATCATGACAAGAATAGTGATTCCAACAACAACAACAATCATCATGATGACGATAAAATGAAAATGACAACAACAACAACAACAACACCGCCATCTTCATCAACATCAAAAATATTAACGACAAGAAAAATTTCAAATAAAATTATTAAAATTTTAATATTAGGCACTGGTGAAAGTGGTAAAAGTACATTGGTAAAACAAATGAAAATTATACATAATGATGGTTATAGTCGTGAAGAAATGCTTGAATTTAGGGTAAGTTTCTTGTTTTTTGAATGTAACTTAATCGATGAGTAAATTTTCAATAAATATTCAATGGAAATAGCCAATCATTTTAGATAATCTAGTATCATCAATGAAATATGTTGTTACCGGAATGAGATTATTGGATATCGATTTTCAATATTCCACCAATCAGGTATGTTATGATTTTGTTTCAAATGAAATCAAATGATTAACTTTTTTCTCTCTTTTCCCATCCATCCATCCATCCAGGAATTGGCTAAAGATTTGATATTGTGTAATAAATATTTCGATGATTATCATATACTATTTCCACATATTGAATATACGATCAAAACACTTTGGCAAGATAATGGTGTACGAAAAGCAGTTGCACGTGGTTTCGAATATGAATTAAATGATTCAGCACTTTAGTATGTTTTTCGTTTTGTTTTGGTTCGTTCGTTTTACATCATTTTACTTTTTTTTCACCATTTTTTTAGCTATTTTGAAAATATTGACCGCATTACCAACGAGAAATACGTACCAAACACAAATGATATTGTCAAATCACGTATACGTACAATCGGTGTTGTTGAAACAGAATTCATTTGCGATAATCATATCATACGAATGTATGATGTTGGTGGACAACGTTCAGAACGACGAAAATGGATTCAATGTTTTGAAGATGTACGAACCTTATTGTTTGTTGTAGCCATAAGTGAATATGATATGACATTAGTGGAAGATTCTAGCCGGAATCGACTGAAAGAAAGTCTTTTATTATTTGAAAACATATCAAACAATTTATTTTTTCATAATACTTGCACAGTAAGTTTGTTAAATCAATGATTGTTTCTTCTCAGTTTTTTTAATTTCTCTCTGCAATTTTTTCGTGCAAACCCGCAGATATTATTCTTGAATAAATTTGATTTATTCCGCCAGAAAATCTTATTCACCGATAGACAATTGAAATATTTTTTCACCGAATACCAAGGTCCAGATTATGATGCTGAACGTTCATCCAAGTTTATTGAGAATCAATTTCGACAAATTGCTCAACAAGCTAATTGTAATAAAACTTTACATACACATTATACAACAGCAACGGATACAGTGAATATTAAACAAACATTTGATTCAATTGTCGATACAATCGTACGTGATAATATTTGCCATTCAACATTATTATAATCCATATCAATCAATTGAAATTAAAGTCAATAATAAAAAAAAATTCAAAATCATTCTATTTCCAATAATCGATTCCTGATTTTGATGAAAATAGTTTTCCAAAATACATTAAAGGGCGTATCAGTTTATTCAATTCCATGGAAAACAGCTGTTCAATGCAACTTGTTGATATTACATTCGCATTCATACACAGTCGAGCACGACATTTCACGACCGCTTTCAAAAAAATGAATTGACGAAAAAATGTCGGTGGAAATCCAGCAAATATCGATAACTAATCTAAATAAAGATTATTTTACATTTGATCGTCATTTTTCATTATTTCAACATGCACATCGAACTATAGTTCGATTTGAAATTGTTTTGCATAAAACATCTTGTGATTATGTATTCAGGTATGTTGTTAGAGAAATTCAATCTGGTAATCAATTTTTTTTTTTTTTCATTCAACAGTCTTTATCGATCCGATGATCCGGATGAATGTCGTGAATGTTTTAATAAATTTAAAAACTATTTACCATTGTTAGAAGAAAATTCATTCAATGCGAATGATTTGAACAAAGTTTGCCAAATTATACATGAGAATCATATATCGCAAAATATTGCACATCTAAATGTTCATCTAGATAATGTTCGTTATTTTCGACAAAATCTTACGGAAGAATTACGTCAATTATTCAACGATGTTGATTGTTATGGTTGTACACCATTATTTTTAGCGTTAAAATTAAAACGAACTAAAATTTGCGAAGAATTATTATCACGAGTGGAAATTCCAAGAACTTTAATTAAACTTGATTTCGATTATAATAGCGTATTTCATTTTGCAGCTAAAAATGAGGCAAAAATTATGCAAAAATTATGTGGCAAAATTGGTGATCGGTCGTTGGTACAAGAATTGATTAATCAAAAAAATCTCAAAAATGAAACACCGCTGCATATTGCTTGTTATGAGGACAATATCGATTGTGTTACAATTCTGTTGAAAAATGGTGCAAATATTAATAGTGCTTCAAGAACTGATCAGCCTCATCAAAGTGATTCTGGAATCAAAGCCGAATTATTGGATAAATTAAAAGTGGATTTAAACAAAATTAAAAATGGTGGTACACCATTGCATTGGTGTACAAATCACGAGATTATTGATTTACTGGCCGATAATGGTTGTGATTTGAATGCAAAAGATTTCAATGGAAATACAGCATTACATGTAATGATTGAACGGAATGATTTGAAATGTACAATTTCATTATTGACAAATGGTGCCAACGCCAATGTAATAGGTCTGGATGGTATGACACCGCTTCATTTAGCTATCAAGGTTTTTTTTTTTGCTTGTCGTGTGTGAATGATTTGATAATTAGTTCTTATTATTTTAGATTGGCAATACAACTTTTATACAATTATTAATTGTATTTGGTGCCAAAGTTAACATGGACAATTGGAATAATCAACAGCATTCTCTAAGACATTTTGCTGCCAATTCCTATGGGATTGATGATTTGGATAAAAAGAAAATCATCTATATTCTTCATTCACTTGGTGCAAATAGATGTGACAATGAAAGATCAGATTGTAATGAATATTGTTCACCTAATGGCATGGATAATGGCAATTATGATAAAAGTCCATTACAAAGAAATAATCTGATTGTAGATGAATTTTTATCCAACAAATATTTCAACAAAAATTCAGATCCTAACAACAACAACGATGAAAGTAATGGAAATAAAAAGAATAAATTATTATGTTTAGATGGTGGTGGTATACGTGGTTTAATCTTGATACAGCTATTATGTCATCTGGAACGTATCACTAATAAACGAATAGCTGAAATTTTTGATTGGATAGCTGGTACTAGTACTGGTGGTATTTTAGCATTGCTTTTATCACAAGGTTATCAAGCTTCGAAATGTCGTTCACTTTATTTCAAATTGAAAGATAAAGTATTCATTGGACAGCGGCCACATTCAACAGAATGTTTTGAAACATTGATCAAACAATATTTTGGCGATGATACAAGGTTATGTGATTTACCTCAAAAACCAAGGTGAAACAATCAATTGATTGATTGATTTGTTTATTAATCATAATCGTTATTTGATTCGATTTGTAGATTATTTATTACAACCACAAATGTTGAATATTATCCACCAAGTGCCAATTTTTTTCGTAATTATCTAAGTGCTGAACAATTATTATCACCAATGTCTATTGACGATGATGTGAATGAACAATGGGAATATTTATGGAAAGTAGCACGTGCAACATCAGCAGCACCAACATTTTTCAATCAATGTGAACAATATATTGATGGTATGATAATTTGCAATCAATCATTCATTTAATCTAATTGATTACTTAATCGTCCAAAAACAAAACAAAAAATTTCGAATAAAAAAAACAGGTGGTCTTGTTGCCAATAATCCAACATTGGATCTATTGACCGAATTTGAATCGATAAAACGTGCAAATAGAATCAAAGTTTGTATTCTTAATTTGTCTATATTCTTTTTTCTAACTATTAATTGATTGATAACTATATAGGGTTACAACAACAATGAACAAGAAACAGCAGAGCAAACGTTCGATATCGATATTGTTGTATCGATTGGTACTGGTGAAATACCAAAAAGACCATTCACACGATTTGAAATTAATTCACAATGGCAAATTTATAGAAGTATTTGTATTCATTTGACTTTTTGTTTTATCACATTTTTTTAAAAAAAATCAATTTTTTAGAAATTTATGATATAATTGAACTACTAACTGAACAAGCTGCACAATCAAATGGACAAGTTGTTGAACGTGCAAAAAGCTGGTGTTCAATGATAAATGTACCATTTTATCGTATTAATCCAGCTATATCGGAAGAAATCCAATTGGATGAATCGGATGATGTTAAATTAATTCAGATGCTCTGGGAAACCGAGGCTTATCTGCATATGAATCTTGACCAAATGAATCAATTATCAATTCGATTATTGGAATAACTGGAAATCAAACATTCATTGATCTTGATATTGAAAACGATTATCTAATGTGAATTAATGAATTGAATAAAATTTTTTTTAATTATAAATAATTAATTTTCAATCTGATAATGATAATAATTACAATAAAGGAAGATCAAAAACGGGTGAAAAGAAAAGTTTTGTTTTTTCACGGACGTTTTTTGACGGAAAATGCAATTTTTCTAATTGAATGAATAATAAATGGATTATATTAATAAAATAAAATTGGAATTATAATGATAATGATGATGATGATGATGATGATTATGAATGATGAGTTTATAGCTAACAAGTTCAATGACAATTTCAATCTAGAGATTATTATTCAGCTTTGGTGGTTGTTTTGGTGTCTATATGACATTTGATAAATAATCTTTCCTTAAGCAATTGCCAACAAAATCCATCATTATTATTCTGTGAGATTGAACGGATTCTTTTCCGAATTTGTTGTCCATGATCATTATTTTCATTATCACTGTCGCAATCATCACTATCTGGATCGGAATATCGATGGTGATTATTTCCATTCATTAAATGGCCATTAATTTTATTATCTTGATGTTCATCATCATCATAATGATGATTTGGATCTAAAAATCTTTCACAACCTTCATCAGTGATTGAATGACAATCACGTATATCTAATTTTCGTAATGTATGACATGTATGTAATAATTTTAAACTTAAATCAGTTATTTTTGAACAGCCAGCCATATATAATTCGGCCAATTTATCCGATTTCGCAATAACCAACGATGCAATACCCGAATCGGTGATTAAATGACATTCAGAAATATCAATTTTTTTGATTAATGGTAGATTTTGATTCATATGTCTCAACGATTCATCTGTAATCAGTGTACCTAGATGAAAATTTTTTTTTATTTTAAAGAAACTTTAATTCAATTCAAACTTACCCGATAAACTAATATCCAATAGATAACGTAGACGTGTTTTTGATTCTAATAGTCCTGGCCTGGAATCTGATGGTTTACAAAGTAAACAACGTATAACATCCTCACAGAATGATTCTGTCCATGATAAATCCAATGAAATCAACAATGGACAATTACATGTTTGTAATGCATTGATAGTTTTGGCTTTCAAGCCAATTAATTTTAATTTTTGTAATTGTGGTAATCTAGGCAAAAGCCATGATAATTGTCGATTCGTTAGATTAGTCCAACTAAGATCTAATGATCGTGGCTGTCTTCGAACAATACCGGCCAATATTATTGAATTTATTTTCGTTTTCGGCGAGACAATTAATTCTGGCCAAAGACTTGGATCACAACACCATTCTAATAGAAAAAATAATTTCAGAAATCTTCCATCAATTAACTACGATGAAATACTTACTATTCCAGTTTTTAGATACAATCATACAATTCAAAAGATCATTACGGCTAAGATGACGAAGAATTGGTAGGACAACATCACGTTCAGTCTCGATTAAACATTCATTATTATGAGAAATTTTTAGTCGTCGAAATCGTTTCAATGATTGACGAATTTTTCTTTCACGAATTTTCTTTCGTAATCGAATCATATGATTGATTGATGAATCTTCTATATCATCCGGAACTTGTTGTTGTTGTTCATCCAGATCATCATTGCAATTATTATCATCATCATCATCGTCATCGTTATCACTTTCTGATTCGGAAATATCTTCATCCAATGGAGCTGGACGAACCTAATCAATAGAGAAAAAGAGAGAGAAATTAAATCATCATCAATGGATAGCCTGAAAAACAATAGCCACTTACAACTAGCATTGGTTTTTTCAATTCTCTTTTTTTCTTTTGATTCTTATCATCATCATTTGTATTAAAAGACTCTACATCTTCCTCGTGTTGTTGCTGTTGTTCATCATCGTCATTGTCATTTTTTATAACATCAGATCTCAATGTATTACGTTCATTTACATTTGATGTTGTGGTTGTTGTTGTTCTGTCATCCTCATTATTTTGATGATTATTATTATTGTCGCCGTTTTGATTACAAAAATTTCCTAAATCTGGCTCTTGTTTAAGAATCTTTTGATTTGTCCTTATATTCAACATTGGTGATTTAGATTGTTGCTGCTGTTCTTGACTTTGATTATCAAAGATATGACATCTTGTCGATTCGTTTGTTTCATTATCTGTTTAAATTACATAGAATTAAAAAATTTTAAAAAGCTATTATTTTTATTATCATTACCTTTCTCATCTGATGTAGATGGTGGTGGAATAGAATCTGATTGTTGAACAATTGTTGTTGTAGAAGTTGGTATATGAACAGGATACTGTTGAGATATTGAAGACATATGAGTATGAAGTGATGGTGGTGGCGGTGGTTGATGTTGTTGAATCGATGGAAGCGGATACCCTCCACCTATTGTTGAATGATTTAAATGATGATCATAAGCTTTAGGAATAGCCGAATGATGACAATGATTTAGATCATGAAACATATTGGCTGCTGCCGCTGCAGCAGCCGCAGCAGCGGCGGCGGCAGCTGCATATTGATGATTGGAATATGGATGTAACATTGTAGAATATTCACCACAATGTGGTGGTGGTGGTGGTGGCGGATGAGTATAAATAGTAGGAGGAGGGGGTGGTGGCGGTGGCATCATGTGTGACCCAAATGGATGATGATGATGATATGAAACATATGGCTGACTTGATGGTGGTGGTGGTATATGTGATGCAATAACCGTTGTTGTTGGTGGTTGCTGCTGCTGCTGCTGTTGTTGATTTACAACAAAACCTGTGGATATTTCACCAATAATCGATGGTGATGATGATGTTGATGGTGTTGTTGTCGTTGTGGCTTTACATGGACTTTTTCGTTTTAATGATTGAGATTTTTTCGTTCGTTTTGCTGGCTGTTGATGATTTCCATCATCATTATCATCATCATCATTATTTTTATCTGAACAAGGTGGATCATCACATGAATCATTCGATTTTAATCGTTGTTTTGTTGAAGATGTCTCGGATTTATTTTTATTATTATCTTTACTGGTGGAAGTTATCATTGACCATGATTGTTGATTTATATTTGTTGATTGTTGTTGATGATGATGAGATTTTGTACATTTCGATGCTGTTGTTGTTGTTGTTGTCGAACCTGATGAGGTAGATGATGTTGATGGTTTGGAAGAAGAATTTTGTTTCGAACTATTGCCCGATTTAATACATTTTGGACATTCCCATGAATTTGGTAATTCTTTATTGATGAAACCTGAAGGCAAAAAAGATTCGATTTTTTAACAAAAATGTTAACAAAATTCTAAATGAATATACCTTTGTTGTGTATAAAGAGATCTGGATTACGTTCATTCAAACAGAATGGATGAACAATTTCCCAACATTGTGAACATTCCATCAATGATGATGCCGTTTCATGATCCGCTAATGATGGATCAATGGATAATTTTTCCCAACCATCACGACCACAGATAATACAACAAGCAGTGTGTGGTAAAACTGGTGCTAGACATTGTCGTGCTATACACGATTGTTTCATACGTCCTAAAAAAGAAATCGAGTCATATTAAGAAGAGAAAAAAAATTCAATAAAAACACAAACCTGGACCACCAAATTTTTTCATATCTTTACAAAAATGACAATCACCACAATCGGCACGTAAACATGATTCACATTTTTTACATCTTGTCCGCCTTCGTCTTGAGGAATCATTATTTGATACTTTATTCGATGATGAATTATTATTATTTGAATTGGAATTTGAATTGCCTGTTGTCGCCGATGATGATGAACCAGATGTTGTATTTTGTGATGATAATTTTCCATGTCCAGTACCACCACAGCTGCTATTATTATTATTATTCGTGCGATTATGATTTGAATGATGATGATTAGAACGGGAGACATTATTTGCTATTGAAGTTGGTGGCGGAAGAGAAGGTTGAGGAAGTACAGCTGTTGTCGTTGTTGGCGGTGGTAGTGGTGGCGGATGTGAAACAATCGATGTCGGTGGTGGTGGTGGTGGTACCATACCAGTTATATATGGTATCGAATAATGATGACCTGGGGGTGGTAGTGAATGATGTGCAGATTGAAGACTTGCTGCTGCTGCTGCTGTTGAACCATATGGAACAATAGGAGGTGGAACATTAGGTGGTGGTGGTGGTAATGAATGATGATGATGTGAATAATATGGATGAGGATTTAATGAATATGATGATGAATAAGGATGATGATGATGATGCGATTGGGGAGGTGGTGGTGGTGGTGGTAATGATGATGATGATGATGATGATGAAGCGGTGGTGGTCCTGTTAATGGAACGCTATATGGATTAGTTGCCGCTGTTAACATTGCCGCATGATGATGATGATGAGGTTGTAGGTGTTGTTGTTGTTGGTGATGATGATGTGAATGTATGCCCGAATTATTATTTGTTGTTGCCGCTAAATTTAATGCCGCAGACGCAGACGATGCCATTGATGCTTGTTGATGATGATGTTGATGTACCTGTTGTTGTGTATGATGATCAATAATGTAGCTCCTTAGATTTGTATTGATTCTTTGATTATTATCTTCCATAATAAGGATTTTGGGTTTGAATTGTTGAATAATTTGGTAATGTAGAGGAGCTATTGAGCATCATTGAATTAATACATTGAACAGGTACATTATTTGTTTGTTTAATAACATTATTATTATTGTTGTTAATGTTTTGCGGTTGCTGTTGTTGTTGTTGTATTGTTCCATATGGAACCGGAACATGAACCGTAGTAGCAGTAGGAATGGCAATCGTTGCAGCTGTTGGTTGTTGATGATATGAATATTGTATCATTTGTTGTTGTGGTCGGGGTTGCGGTCGCGTCATCAATGTTGTTGTTGCTGCTGTTGATGGATATGTATTAACCGTTTGATGATTGGGCGTATATGTAACGGTTAATACATTTCTATGTGGCGGCGGTAGCGGCTGTGGCTGTTGTGATGTTGGAATGACAGTTGTATAAGTGGAAGCAGCGGGAAATATTTTTTGATTATTATTATATAAGGAATAATGTTGCGGCAATTGTTGTTGTTGTGCTGATGATGATGATGAAAAATGTATTTGTGGATAAATTATTGTCGGTGGTTTATACAGCGGCTGCTGCTGCTGCTGCTGTTGTTGTTGTTGTTGTGATACAAAATAATTTACATTAACATTAATAGGCATTATTGTTGATGAATTGGGATTGGGATTATTATTATAATACTGATGATGATGATGTTGATTATGTGATTGATGATTATTTGAATGGAAATAATTTCCACCATTTATAATAGCTGAAGTTGTTGTTGATGCCGGTATTGTTTGTGGTTGATGATAAACATATGTTGTTGTTGATACTGGAGTATGTGAATAATGTACATTCTGTGATAATTGTTGTTGTTGTTGTGGTGGTGGTGGTGGTGGTGGTGGTGGTAATTGTTGTGGTTGAGATTGTGGTAGAACATGATGATGATGATGACTATTATATGGATGATAAGCATAATTATGTGGATGATATGGATTATAATATGTTGATGGATTTAGATTATAATTATGTTCCAAACGTATACCATTCGTCGAAGTTGTCGGTGCTGTTGAAACGGAAGACATACTATTATCGTATCCATATGATACTGGCTGTGTTTGCTGCTGTTGGGGTTGTTGTTGTTGTTGTTGTTGTGAATAATTATAATAACAGGGGGCAGTATCTTGTTGTTGTTTAATTTTTTTCAAATTTTCTTCCGATTCTTGTTGTTGTTGCTGCTGCTGCTGCTGATGACGATGATGATGTGGTTTTCACACCAGTTTGTTCAATTAAACCTTTTAATAATGAACTACTTGAAATGAGATCATAATCTAATGTTGTGCCAAGGCTAACTTGACGTTGTTGTTGTTGCTGTTGTTGACTATTATCATTGTTTGTTGGTGATTGTTGTCTTTTAATCGGAATCTTTTGATGTTGTTGTATTATCGTTGACGATGTTGATTTTTTCGTCATCTTCATTGGTTTATTCAATTGTGTAATCATTTTCTTTGTAAACCAAAACAATACCGGACGATTTGTTATGGCTAATTCTTGATTATCATTTTCATGTTCTTCAATCATTTTTCGTGCATCATCTAAAAGATTTTCTGGTGAAATAATCAATTCAGGTATTAGATTATTACGCAACATTTGTTGCTGCTGCTGTTGTTCATTTGATTTGCGGATCTCACGTTTGAATTTATCAAATTTTTGTGATAACCATTGTATTAATTTTTTCAAACCAATTATTTCATATTTTGTAAGATGAATTTTTTCATTCGGTACAAACGTTATGAATGGCCCAACATGATTGGATGATTCATTCGAATTGAAATTATTCGTCGGTTTTTCTTCAGTATCCTCATGTGATTCGGTTTTCATTTCCAATACTTTTTGTTCTTCTTCCGTTTTTTCCGGTTTATCATTTAATTTCACTTCATTTTCATTGTCTTCTTTTTTAATTTCTTGTTGTTCAATAGTAGAATTCATTTCAATCATCATTGATTCAGATGATGATGATTGTGATTGTAACGATTGTGGTGGTAATGAATTTCCATCATCATCCACAGACAAATGATTACGACCCATTAAACAATGTACATAACGTACAAGTACATACCACATCAGGTGAATAAAAAATGGATAACGATATTTAGACTCAACACGTGTCACATCTTCAACCTGTGATACACGTAATTGTTTTTCAATGCCAAATGAATGAAGAAAATTTCCACCAAATACTAATGAATCTTCCTTCGTATAGACAGCATGTATCCAACCAGTCGGTATGAAAAATGTATTCCCAGATTCCAGTTCAATACGACAACAATGTTCAACAAGATCACCGAAGAATATTTTCGATTGTTCACCCGATAATGTCCATTTTTCATATGAACGAATATTTGTTTCCGTCGGCGGTATTAGCCAGAAAATTTTCCGTCCACGTAGTATATGATACCATACGGATGTACCACCAAAATCAATATGAAAATCAGTATAACATCCTTTCACGCTCATAAGACAATATTTTTGTACTTTTGGATATTTCATTTCATGCAATGCATTGGTGCCTTCTTTTTGCATCCGTTTCAAGTATCGTGGCCATACCAAGTCGACCCAATCCATTTGTTTCACAATGCGTGGTGAATCAACGAAATGTTCCAATTTGGTATGTGAAAATTCCAACGAAATAACATTGAGCAATTCCATACGATTTTCAGTGTTATTATTATAATAATTACACCATTCTTTCATTGTCATTGTTTTTCCTTTTTGTGTTTCCACATCCATTACATCTAGAATACGACGTTGCCCTACACATGCTTTTACATCGTCTACTGTAAATGAATTGCTTGGTATTTTCATTCCTAAAACTGATATATTTGAAAAAAACATCAGCAATTTTTCATTCAACATGAAACATGAAACGGTTTGCCATTCGAACACATTTTTCTCCATTTATCAATCAACAATCACTTACCATTGTTTTTATTTTCTTTAACAACCATAGGTGTCTGGAAACCATTACGTTGAAACAATTCGAAAGTTATATCGGTACCATTCATTTCACGGACACAATTACGTTGACAATTGGCAAAACTTTTGCATTGCAGCTTTTCTTCAACATCAAAATAACGTTCTTCAAAAAAATCCTCTTCATCATCTAGTAATTCTTCATTGTAACGGGCTTTTTTTTGTCGAGAACGCTATGCATTTTTTTTCCAACAATTATCCATTGGCGGTAATGATCAGAATTTACAAAATGAGATTTATGGCAAACCAAAAGAAAAAATTAGAAGAAAAAAAAAATTCTTACCAGCTTTCGAGATGGCTGCTGCTGCTGTTCTCGATTTTGTTGTCGAGCACCGTTTTTATTATCAATCATTATTCCTAGATTTCATTCACAATGCCGTTGCTGTGGTTGCTGTTGTTGTTTTGGTTTTCTCGATGTTTATGCATTTCGATATTTATTGATGGATGAAAAAAATCTAATGGAACATTTTTTTTTATTTTGGGCAGTGAAAATAAAATTTAAAAAAATAAATTGCCCCTCACTCCCTGCTATATTGAAGAAGAAAACAACAAAATTTTCGAAAATTCGAATCCGAATTTCGTATATTGGGAATGTGATTGGGGGTGGTGAAGAAGAAGAAGAAAATGAAAAAAAAACTAACTAACTAAATATCAAATTTCAATGGGAAAAAAATTGAATAAAGTCAGTCCTTTTGTTTTTGTTGTTTTTTTTCAATCCATTTCACACAGGGAAGAATCCAAATCAACATCCATACAATTTCGAGAATATCACACAATAACACACACATGGACTGTCATACGTGTTGGGTCGAAATAGCCATATGGAGCAAAAATTGTATCTTTTTTTGTTTTGTTTTGTTTTGTTTTTTTTTTTTGGATCATCATTCATAATTCAATCATTAAGTAGCTAATAATTTGTGATATTTAACATTTGAATTTTTATTTAAAACAATTGAATTTGAAATGGAAATTTGAGTCAACAAAATTTATTTTTGGGGTTTACGTGACAATAGATATACGCATGCTCATTCCAAATGAATGAACGATCGATATTGATTGTTCTAACGTGAAATTACAATATCTTTCTTTTTTTTGAATACATAATCTAACCAGGTGAAAATGGATTAATTTTAATAATAATTTCTAGGATTATCAAGGAAAAAAATGCTCCAAAGAAAAAATCTAAAAAAAATTAAAAAAATTTTTTTTTTGAATGAAATTTATAAAACAAACATGCAGCTAGCGCCGTCTGTACGTAGAATTCGAAAACAACAATTGAAAATTCGAATTTATCGAGCACTTTTCTTTGCATTTTTTTTATTGAATATTTTGTTATCCAATAAATCTATCTCTTATTTGATTGTTTGTATCAATTAAAAAAAAATGTTGTCGTATTGCATTAATTGCAAATCATGTGAAATTGCACCGAAAAGGTCAATTTGATGATGGTCATTTGAGTTTGCCCACCAACACACACGCATCGACATCAATGTCATTGATGTTCGAAATTCAAATTTTCAATGTCAAGTAAGAATTATGTTTTTATGGTATGCATGAATGTTTTCGTTTGTTTTTTGTTTTGTTTTTTTTTGCTGATTATCTTCCTAATAACAGTGAACAATTTGTTCAGAGAAAAAAAAATGACGAACAAGTTTTTGTTGATGGTTGGCGATGGTGGTGCAACTTTCAGAAAAAAATGAATGAAATTCAATCAATCCATTGATGGATGTATTTGATGGATAGGTGGTTCGGTGCAGCCAACAAAACCAAGTAATCGATACTGAATTATTTCAAGTTTATGGTTATAGATATTGATCATTGATGGCCATTACTATTAATCGTCGACAATTGTTCAATAAAAAAAAGATTTAAAATCATAATGGCCATGATTTTCGCAAATATCCAATTCAACATGTTGGATCAATATTTTGGTGGTTTTGAAAATTCAAATTTCAAATGGATTGAATGGAAACCATATTCATGACATTCAATCGATGACGATATATAGATGGATTTATCATGAGGAAATTTCGAATCGAATTCATTTGGGGAAAAAAATCGAACTATTAAACGGAATCAGGCCATTGATAATTGGTTATCAAAATTATTTATCGAAAATTAATGAATTGAAGATGGAGTATTTCAACGGAAATTTGAAATTTTCGAATAGATTATAGCCAAGAATTCATGTCTCAAGGAAAAGAAAAAAAAAATGAACAATATCTATTGCTACAGAAAAAGAAGAAAATGTCACAGTGAATTATTTGAAATTCAATTGATGATGACGATGCATCACTGATAAACAACCACATCAAGTAGGACGATTGATTGATTTTTTTATGTTTTTTTTCTGTTTTGAGAAAAGAGTAAATATTTTGAAGAAAAAAAAGTACCTCTGTGTTTGAATGATGAAGAAAGATTCGAAATTCGAAATAATAAAAAAATAAACAACACACCAAACAACAATTATCAATATATCAATAAATTGATTCGATACATCATTCCATACGATATATCGCGATAATATGGATTCCAGTTCCAGACATTATAAAAAAGGATTGCAATTTGAAGAAAATGGTTTTTAGTTTTTTTTTATTTGTTATCATCATCATCATCATCATCGTGATTATGAATCATGGCATCGTTGAAACGAATTAAATTTTCAGCAACAAATCTTGAATTTAGTGATGGTTATTATTATGATGATCATGATTGTTGTAATGTTGCGATGGCATGGAAAAATCTCCGTTATGAAGTGAATAATCGATTCATTGGTGGTAGTGGACGAAAAGTGATTCTACGACGTATGAATGGCCATCTTGAATATAATAGTCTAAATGGATTTCTTGGACCAAGTGGTGCCGGTAAAAGTACACTTCTTAATTGTTTGAATGGCACATATCGATCTGGACTCAGCGCCGATTCGGAAATCTACATCAACCGACAAGAGAATGATAAACCGAGAATAAGATACATTCAACAACATGTCCATGAAACGATAATCGGTTCGATGACAGTTCGTCAGGTGCTTTACTATGCCTTTCGATTCAACAATAGCTACAAGCATGGTGGATCCGAAATGGATAAACAGATGACCAATGTCCTCGATCAACTGTTGCTCGATCACAAAGTTCTCGACAGAAGGTTTGATCTTTGCAGTGGAGGTGAACAAAAACGTATTGCTCTTGCCCAAGAATTGATGTCACTGAAGGCGCCGAAATTTTTGTTCGTCGATGAACCGACCACAGGGTTGGATAGTCATGCCGCATTGTTGATGGTACGTTGTCTACGAAAGTTGGCTGACAATCCACAGAATCGAATGACTATTCTGGCATCGATACATTCGCCCAACTCGGACATTCTCAAATTGTTCGACAAACTCTACATATTGGCAAAAGGTGGTGTCTGCATCTACTCTGGATTGCCAACATTGTTACAGCAGAATCTTCACGAACATATTGGGCTAGTGCATGATCGAAGCAAACCGCCGATCGAAGAATATCTGGCCATCGCCTGCAAAGGAACTGGCGATGAAAATGTTCGTCGATTAGTAGAAGCTACCTGGTCACAACAACAAACCGAATTGAAACAAATGATACCACAGATGAAATTTCTACCACAAGGAGTCATTGTCGACCACAAACTTTTCTCAGCTGGAGATTTCCTTCTTCAAATCACACGAATGTGTCAATTAACGTTCATCAAACAAATCAATTCGAGAATCATCACCATATTCTTGTTGTCTCTAGTCTGTTTCATTCATTCGAATTTATTCGATCAAGATATCATAAAGCCAGATACTTGTGTGTCAGCTGTTGACTTCACCAAGCCTGAAAATAATCAAACTTGTCAAGACGAATTGGACGATAATAATCGAATCGAATTCTATGCTTTTTATCAAAGTCTGATTCTTATGTTGATTGGTTATTCACTGAGTGGTATTAGTAGTTTGACATTCTCATCATTGATAAAAATATTCAAGAATGAACATCGTAATGGTAAGTGAGAAATGTCTTTGAATGATTTACTAATGATTTCCACTATAGGTTGGTACAGTGTTGGTGTTTCCTATTGGTCAGTCATAATTGTTCGATTGATTGATTTTACCATTCTGGCATTACATGTGACAATAATGATGTATTTTTTGATCGATCATACTCATGTTGATGATGGCCAATTCAATTGGTATCGATTTGGCAATTTTTTCCTATTTATTTGGATGTTTATCTTTTACATACAATCATTGGGACAATTATTTAGCATTATATTCACAAATTTCTTGGATATTGCCGTTTCATTATCGTTCGTTGCATATGCATCACTGGATTTCAACAATGGTTATATGTTTCCGGATAATTATATTGTCATGACCGCTAGTAAAATTCTCAATGATTTTATTGGAAGCAAATACATACGAAATGGATTACTTTATTCATTTTATGGTATCGATCGATGTGATACGGATGAAATATCCTCTGTTCTTATTGATCATGATATCAATCCAAATACTGTCTATAGGAATCTCTATCAAATCCTGATCAATTCGATCGCTTTAAGAATGTTGACATTGTTCATAATGATGTCGAAATTTCAAAGTTGGTCATTTTCATCATCGAAACGATTATCACAACGTTTAAATCCCAAAGATTTCCTCAGAATTGATTATGAAAATAGTACAGATTTAAAATCATTCAAAACGTCAATCGAAACAAATGAACGAAAGAAATCGAGAGAAGAAATTGAATTTGAAAAATTCTCCAAAGATAAAATCATCATAGCTTGGCGATCATTGAGTTTGTTCAATTCCAGTTCCATATTCGAATTGCGTTCGGCTTTAAAACTTGAACAACCCAAGTATATACTGCGTAATCTGAATGGCCAATTTCGTTTTGGAACATTGAATGCTTTGATGGGCACGTCTGGAGCTGGCAAGACTTCTTTCCTCAAAGTGTTGAATGGCCGGGACAAGACTCGATTGAGCACTGAAACCGAATTCTATGTTAGCAAGTTCACTCCACTAAGAACCTGTTATATAACTCAAGAGATTTCTTGTCATCTGACATCGGGATTAACGGCACTTCAAAGTCTCATCTATGCAAGCAAATTGAAAAACCTCGGTGAAAATATCGATCATAAACACATGGCCATGGCCATGTTGGAAGAACTGGACATTGCCGACACAGCCAATACATTGGTCAATAAATGTTCTGGTGGTCAACGAAAACGATTGGCATTGGCTTTGGAACTAATGTCGCTACGAATGCCCAATTTCATTTGCATCGATGAACCAACCAGTGGTTTAGATTCGAGTTCGGCCGAAGTGATCATTACATGTTTACGGAAAATGTCACATAAGCACAACATCACCATCGTGGCAGCCATTCATCAACCGAATACTGAGATGCTTATGCTATTTGATCAGGTCTACATTCTGGCCAGAGGTGGTGTATGCATCTTTTCAGGACCACCATCACAAATCACTGACCATCTCCAGCAAGTTTGCAGCGATGATCGTGGCTATAAAGATGAAAAATTTGCCGTCGAAGAAATGATGAAATTTTCTTGTTTGAATCACTTGAATCCTCAAATCAGAATACTGGCTCAATCTTCAAATGTATTGATTCGAGATAATCATTTTGAAAATCAACTAATGACTGATACTCAATTCGTTTTAGACGGGTTACCTATCAATCGAACCAGATTTTCATTACATTCAGTCATCATATTGATTGAACGACAATTTTATTATTACATTGGAAGTTCTATCACCCAATTTCTTCTATTCTTTTTCCTATGTTTTAGCTTTGTAAATGGTTTGATATTGAAAAGTTTGATCAATCCTTCTATGGTATTTCGTAGTGGTTGTATGAGTTTAGACGAAGATTTGAGCAACTGTAATCGTTCGAAAGATGAAAGAATGGAACTTTTAATCAATTATAATTATATCAATCATCTTCAAGATAGTTTTGGCCTGATTAGTTGTTTCTTTTTCGCCGCAATGTTTGTTTCACAACGAAATTTATTCAAAATTGAACATCGAAATGGTAATTTAATTTGATTCAATTTTCAGTTATTTTTATATCAATGTTTTTCTACTTCATCATCACTCTATAGGATGGTACAGTTCTGGTGCATTTTATCTAACGAAAGCCGTATCTGAAATGATTATAGCTTTACCGGTTATCGTAATGTATCCGATTATAATCGATATTTATTATCCAATTCGAACTTATGTTTGGTACAATATGATAATGATCACCATATTACCAATGATTGCATTTCAAGGTGCCAGCTATACATTATCCATATTGTTTGGACATAATCCATTGATGTTATACATTTCTATTCCGGCCCTATTATTGTTATCGATTATCTGTACAGTAACGCCATATGCATTATCACATTTTGCATTCAAATTGATTACGACATTCAATCTTTTCCGTTATCAAATCGAAGCTATATTGTTCTTGGTATTTGGTTTTAATCGATGTGGCCATAGAGAAGTACAGGTTTTATTGTACCGGTTAGGACTGCAGCATGATGATTATTTCTATCATTGTATCGTGATGACTGCCATCAATGCTTTGCTATATCAAACAATAGCACTATCATTATTTTGTATCATCCATAATCCATTCGAAAATCGTCGTAAACGTATTGAACGTATTCGATATCTGAATCAACGACAATTGCCATCAAAAGTAATGATACCTGGTCTTGGCTGTTCGAATGATTTCACAATTAAAACAATTTCAATTTAATTTTTTTCGCACTTTATTAACCCATTGACTGCCAAGCGGCACATATGTGTGCCACTCAAATGTTCCAATGAGCGGCTCATATTGCGCAAAAACACATGAAAACGAAATTTGGTCTATTTTGAGACCTTTTTTCTGTCTATGGCGGTAGTCGATATTAATTAAATTATCATATTATATAAAAAGTATTTTGATTCCATTAAAATCGAATTTATTTATCTTTAGAAAAATTAAAAATAAAAATGCATACATCGAATGCCATCTGTATGGAAATTTTGGAAAAATTTGAAAATTTGAATTGCGCATTCACCATCCAATATAACACAGACAGACAGAGAATTTTATACTCATATCACAAAATGAACACGGGTTCCAGGAACAAAAATTTTTTTTTTTTGGGTTGCGGCTGTTTATATGATTCCTATATTCGTGTGTATGTATGTGTGTGGATGAACTTGGAACATCATCTGAAACATACGATGATGAACTGAGATTTAGCCGATTAAAAATTCGACTTTTATATTAATTCCAATCAATTAAAAATGGATTCCAATATCGATCATATCTTTTTCACTATAAATAATGATGATAATCAACAAAAAGATGTAGCTACCACCCGTCATCTTGAATCATCACCGTTGAATGCCGAATCAAAAATGTTACTTCCAGATGTTCATCATCATCATCATGATACGACCACCACCAGTCTTTTATTGTATGATTCAATCAATCCAACAGCAACATTAGAAGTATCATCTACAATGATCATCAATGAATCATCATCTAATAGTACACAAAATGATGGACAAAAAAACAAAAAACTTACCAATAATAATGATGATAATATTCAAATGGAATATCATTTCAATCCATTATATGTGATTAGTGATCGACAAAATCAATCTCAAAATCAACAACAACGTTCAATACAAGATCAGGAATTAGAGCCAATACGTAATGATCGAATTCCACCAATTTATTCATCATCATCATCAACATTTGTTCATGAATTTTCCACATCACCATCATCATCATTGCCCGTACCACGTGATCAATATGGTTTAATTTATATTTCATTAATTATGGCCGGTGTCGGTTTTCTACTTCCATACAATAGTTTTATGATTGCAGTGGATTATTTTCAACAAAGATTTCCTGATACAACCATCGTGTTCGACATGTCAGCCACTTATATTGTAATGACATTTTTTACTGTGATTATACAGAATTTATTCGTGGAAATTATACCATTTCGTTGGCGTTTAAATTTTGGTTATCTTGTTGCATTATTATTCATGATGTTTGCTGTGATTTGGGAGATTTGGTTACGTTTAGGTTCATATCTGGATAATTTAATTATCATTAGTATAATTGCCGTTGGTTGCAGTGTACAACAATCAACATTTTATGGATATACATCTATGTTACCGAAAAGGTAATGTGTTTGCGTTAATCAATTAGATAATTATTGAAACATGCAACTTACTTGTCTTTTTTTCTTCTTTCATGGAATTAGATATGTTCAAGCTGTGATGATTGGTGAATCAGCTGCCGGTGTGTTTGTTTCATTCAATCGTATTATAACGAAAATTCTTTATCCAACAGAATCAGAATTCAATACCGTATTGTTTTTTTCCATTTCAATCATTGTGATTAGCATCTGTGCCATAGTACATGTTGTTCTATTACCACGTAGTAATTTTATTCGTTATCATTTATATCTTTGTCGTGATAATGATAATCCAAATAATCGTAGTCGTCGTCGTCGTCGTAAATTTGATGATCCAAACAATGCACGTATAATACATCAGATTAATGAAAATGTTGGACTAGTCAATATGTATCATCGAAAAGAATCAGAAGCTAAATTTGAATCAAATACACAAACATCGATGCTATCGATGGATTCGCAACAACAACAACAACAAATTTTTAATGATCAACAACCTGTTGTAGCAGATGTTATCATTAACAATCAAAATGGGAACAATTCAATGTCAATTTTAAATCGTACTGCAAACAATCAGGCTAAAGTACAGAATATATTACGTACAGATTCTACTGAATTTGTTCTACCATTTGGTATCGATGATGATGAAATTAATGCCGAACAACAGCAGCAGCAACAACAACGAAAACAGTCAATCGATTCGATATTGGATTTCAATAACAACAACCACAACAATGATAATAACATTGATCATCAAACAAATGATGAAATGGATTATTGTTCGATTAATTTCAAAACACCACCATCAACAACAACAACAACAGCCGCAGCAGCAGCTACAATATTATCGTTCATTATAAGATGGTTACATTATCTTGAAACATCGACACATTTTCTACGGCATTTTCGTCGATTATTTCGCCGGTTATCTCATTGGTTTGTTTTTGTCTGTGAATTCTTTTTTTCGATTTATTTTTAGTTTCATGTTTTTTTCCTATTTTAGCGATAACAATCTTCATCGAATATTGATTACATTACATCATAAATACCTCATACGGCGTGATATAATCCTCGAAATATGGCCATTTATATCGACAATAATCATTGTCTATCTCGTAACCCTTACCATTTTTCCTGGCATTGAATCTGAAATTCATTCCTGCCGTTTTGGTGATTGGTTCCCAATCATATTGATGGCGATATTTAATTTGACGGATTTTTTCGGAAAATTAATGTCAACACTGTTTTTTCGTATCAATCATCGATATTTATTATTGATTGCATTTGGTCGTTTTATTTTAATACCATTATTTGTCTGGTCAATATTGCCCCATCAACAAAATGAAGAGCAACCATTTTTCGCTAATGCATTTTGGCCAATTTCATTTACAATACTTTTAGGCATAACAAACGGTGTATTTGGTTCATTACCAATGATATTGGCACCATTTAAAGTTAATGAACAATGGCGTGAAATAACCGGTAATTTAATGACATTCTCGTATATTATTGGTTTAACCGCTGGTTCATTTTGTTCTTATTGGCTCAATAATTGGACATTGTCATCAGCATCATCGTCGTCGTCGTTAACCCTATCATCCAATCATTATCGTATACAACATTATTGTCCATCAGAATTGGCGGCGATAACATCTACTACCACCACAACCACAACTACTGTAGCTACCACCATTAAATCACTATCAGATATTTTATTAAATAATTTTACAACATCAATGATGACTACAACGATGGTTTCGACGCCAATCAACAATTTAACAACAATAATGACAACCAGTTCCTTAAACATGACAACAACCGACATTTCATCGATGATCATAGATCCTATTTGATTTATTTTCCATTTCCATTGCCTTTGGCTTATTTCCTTTGGCCATTTTTGTTGTTTTTTTTCCACCCATTCATAACATTTCCTTAGATCGGTAAAAAAAATATTTTGTTTTGATAAAAAAAAATCATTCATTAATATTAATGGTAAAAAACGGTGAACAAAATTTTTTTTGATTAAAGACGAAAAATAAATCTAAAAATAGATGCACATTTTTCTTTCTTCTTTCTCTCTCGTTTAATTTGAAGATCATGACTGCTGTGAAGGATAATTATGATAATTTTTTTCTTTCATTCATCATGATTTTGTTTTGATGATTAATTTTTGTTCGTCATTTTCCACTATGAAAAATAAAGATTCTAAACCAAAAAAACAATCACGATCATCGATAGTTTCGTTCATCATCATAATATGAGGAATATCCGTTCGAAAGAAATTTTTTTTTGTTCATTCGAAATTATCAATTTTTTTTCGTCGAGAAAAAAACCCTAATATTCTCATATTAAATTCAAATGAATTTCACACACACGCAAACAAAAACCCGAATGATCATCATCAAAAACTTTTATAATGAGAAAAAAAAACTTACGACAACAACAATCCAACAGGTTGTATCCACTTATTTTGATACACATGCAAAGATATATTAAATTCAATATCAAAATCATCATCATCATCATCATTGAATTGAAAACTAAAAAAAAAGTAGCAGCATACATTTTTGTATCCCCTTTCTTCTCCGACCATTTAATAATAATCATTCATTCACAATCCATATCGAATGTCCATGGTCTTTATCATAATATTATGGATTTGTTACAAACAAGAGAGTTGATTAGATCCGCAACAACAAACAAGCCAGTTATCACAAGTTTGGAAAAAAAAAACATCCAATTGGTTCAACGAAAAATGAAAAATCGAATTGAAAATACAAGCGAACCACCGAAAAAGAGATAGAGGCATAAAATGAAAATGAACGACCGACGACCACCACACATACATCAAACAACAACAAAAAAGTATCTGTGTGTGTGTGTGTGTGGCGGTTTATCAAACAACAACAACAACAAGCTAAATGCATCGATCAAGCTCAACAACACATAAAAATATACAGCGAGAGAAAATAGCGAGTTCCAATTTTCGAAAAAAAGAAAACGACCATGTAAAAAAAAACTGACAAGCCAAACTGTTTGTGTTATTCAATTCAAATTCAATCCATTTTTAGGCCAAATTTTTATTTCGCTTTTCTCTCTCTAGTTAGTTTGTTGTTGTTGTTGTTGTCCCAGATTACAAATAAATCAAAAAAAAAAAAAAACAACTAAAACAAAACTCCAACTAAAAAACAGGGGGTTGTTTGTGTTGTTGTTGTCCACCAAAATCCATCGATATATTAGATATAGCCATCATCCTCATCATCATTAGATTTTTTCGTTGTTCTTAAATTATTAATCCAATCAGTTATCCATTCATTTGATGATGATCATGGCTGCCATCATCATCATCATCATCAGTCATCAATGATCAAATAATCGTTGATGATAACAATCAATCGCCAAAATAAAAATAATGATGATGATGATGATAATCACCAATTCATTCTTTATTTGTTTGTATGATTTATACATAGATCAATTGTCAATTATTTTTGTGTAATTTGAATCGATTCGATTGGATTGTTTTCTGGTTCGATTATCATTCATTCAATGGGCTTGGTTTATCCTCATCATCATAATCAGAAAAATTTATTTTTTCCATAAAAATTATTCAAGAGAAGAAACAAAAAAAAAATCAAATACAAATGAGACCACCAAATATTTCAATGAGTTCAACGAATTGTTCATCGAATAATAATAATAACAACAATAAAAGTAAGTAGAAAAAAATTGACAGTTTGAATTGATGTAAACCATCATTTTGTTTTTTTTTACCACCAGAAGATGCAAATATCAAAAATGTTCATTCTATGCCAATATTATCGTCGTCAACTACATTGACGACAACAACGTCCATTTCATCGCCATCTAATACGACGACGACAACTTCGATAATATCTGCAATAACAACAACAACAACAACGAAACCATCATCACATGAAAATATTTTTGATCGTATTAAAAAAGCTTGTTCAGTTGGGAAATCTAACAAGTCTTCCTCTCATCATCATCATCATCATCATCATCATTGACATCAACATCAATATCCGCATCCACTTCATCACCCACAGCAACATTGACGACGACAACATTGAATGCCAAAAACCAAAGTTCCATAACGGGTCAACAACAACAAACTGTTTCAACACAGACTACTCAATCACATTATCAACAAACATCAATTACTAGTCCAGTGGCCACCAATATCACTAACAACATTTTATATGCAACACAATCGATACCAGATTTTTCTAAATCATCAACAACAACGCATAACCATAATAACAATTATCGTAATAGAAATGTTATGAATGAACAACAACAATCATCATCATCATTATCATCATCGGCCGGTAAATCAACCAGTGATTCAAGTCTTTATTATATTGGGAATAGTAATAATGCAATCAAAATAAATACTAATCCAAATTCCGGCAATGATGATGAAAATAATATTGGTCCAATTATAACCGGTGCTGTACAGAAATTACCTGCATCAGCTTGTTCACCATCTAAACAATTATTGAATAGTCTTTTGTTTCAGAATACATTTCCGGCTGCTATTGAACAACATCAACATTCACCACCTCATATGCATCGGATCATTCAACAAAAAAATTCACCGAATAGCCATTATCAACAGCCACAATTTGGTAAATTGATTCAGAATTCAATAATTGGCAATAGTCGAATCGTATCGACATCAACATTTAGTGGTTCTGGTACTGGTTTATCATCGATAATAACACCCACCAACACTACTACTACCACTACTGGAACACCAATAGTAACTGTAGCACCATTTGATCGTGCAACAAGTGCATTACCTGAGTCACCACCATCTGTTTCACATCATCGAAATTTATCATTATCAAACAGTATTAGTGGTGGTGGTAATTATGATATTCTAGTTGGCCCGGGATCACCAACATCACCGGTAACTAATTTATCGGTTATAAATAATAAAATGTTCAATAATACTCAAACAGATATGAAAAATACTCATCTAATCAATAATAATAATGTTCCTGGATCATTGACAACAACATTGACATCACGTGTCGCACCAATCTTACAAAATACGGCTAATGATCATCAAATATTGACCATTGTTAATAATAATCTTAATGATGATCATGACAATAATGATGATGATGATGATGAAGATGAAAATAATAATGGTAATAGAGATGATGATGACGATGAACTTGATCATTCATCACCAATGTCATGTTCACCATCATCACCTATTAGTGTACCATTATCATCATCAAATAATTATCAACCACAACAACAACAACAGCCTATTACAATAGCAACTGTACAATATTGTCAACGTTGTTGCGTCCATTTGCCCACTTCATCATCGATGACGGCAACTAATGAACAATCATCATCATCGACAATTATCGATACATTTGATAAATTGAATAAAAAACAACGACAAACAACAACAGATAGTAGTATGAATACACCAATCAATACAGTTAAATATGTAAAGAATAAATCAAAAATACGAAGTTTAAATCGTAATAATAATAATAACAACAACAATAATAATAATTCGGTTATTGTGTCTAATAATAATAATAATAATAACCGTACGGGAAAAACATCATTACCTTTTATGCTGGATAATTTTTCCAATACATCATCATCGTTGACTACTACAGCAACAACAACATGTGAATCAATGGCCAATAATAATAATAATATTCGAAGATCAATAAGTAAAGATTCAATTGACACAGATATTATCATGATTGGTAATCTCAATAATAATAATCATCATCAACGTCATAATTCATCATCATTATATAATGCAACAACAAATACTCTTACTAGTTGTGGTGGTGGCGGTGATGATATGGATTTATATCTGAAAAACCTCAACACTACAACGGTAAATATTTTTTCAATTTTTTTTTGTTGATTTCATTGAAGATTTTTTAAAATGTCAAATGAATGCGCGATGCACAGCATTATTTAATCGAGTTTTGATTATTCATCAATTCGTTTCATTCACATTTATCGTTGTCTTGACGTTTCTTTTTTTGTGTGTGTGTGTATCGTCGTTGTCTTGACGTTTTGGTTTTTCATTGTTCTTTTTTGTTGTATATGTGAACAATTATCAATACGCCTCTTTGATGATCATTGACTTCCCCCACACACACACACACACACAGTAAACGAGAGCATCATTTTTCGTTGTATCCATTCGTTTCATAATTTTTGAATCTGTATCACGATGATTCGAATTTTCGAATTCTCAAATTTTATTCGCTTGATATTTGCGTCCGTTTAACATTATTTTTCGGTGTGTGTGCCTGTGTATGTGTGTTTAGATTTCGGGTATTTTTTTCGATTTGTTTTTATTATTGTTTGATTTGTGTTGGTTAGTGATAGTTATCAGACAAAATAAATGTTTTATTATTTATATCAACCAGCTTTTTACCACCACCCACCACCAACAACAACAAACAACAAAAATCACAACCATTTTTAGTCGGTATTTAACTATTTTAGATCATCATAAATATGGCAACAAGTTGTTTATTATTTGGGGTGTTTGCTGCTCAACGCACACATAAACCGATATATTAAATATCATTTTGGTTTCTTTGTGTGTGTGTTGCTTTATTCATTAATGATGATGATGATGATGATTGAAATTGGTGTAACCCAAACACAATAGATGTGTGTGTATCATATAACAAGTGGTCTCAAATAAAATTGTCATTGATTTTTTTATTGTGGTGTAGTTGATTTTAATGAATTTTTTTTTCTTGTTACTCATCATCATGATTAACTTTTATCCGATTTTTTTTCTGGTTGATCATCATGATTAAGTGATATGTATGATTGAAACATGAAACATAACTAAACTCATTGTATGAACAACTACAACAACAACAACAAACATGGGGTCATCATCATCGAAACGAAAAAATCCAATCAAAAAACGTTCAATTTCATCATCAACATCATCATCAACAAAAGATTTGAAAAGATTTATTGATAATAATGGAAATAGTATACGTAGTAGTAGTAAAAGTAATTCAAATCATCGTAATCATAAATTATCATCATCATTAGCAACGAAAAATTGTATCGAAATATCTTCACCCATTTTGGCTGTAAAATTAAATGTTGATGATGATCATCATTATCATAATCTATTCAAGAATCATTCATCATCATCGCCTACACATGAACAACAATTTGTATCGTCACCATCGTTTGTTGAACAAAGTTTGAATAATAGCGTTGATGGTTTAAAGATTTTTAATCATGAAAATGATGATGATTATCAACAACAAGATTTGATCTCACAATCAGCACCACCTAAACCACCTCGTCTTCAAAATGATGATAGTGATGATAGATTATCATCAATTCTTGAAAATGATTCTATTGTCAAACGGAAACATTCAGATTCGGATCCAAATTTTTTAAATAATTTAAATGATATCGAACAACAGCAACAACAACATTTATCAATTCTTGATTCATCATCATCGAATAGAATTCATTCTGATACAGAAATGGTTAAACCTCATGAAACAATTTTAGCTATCGATGATTTGGATGTAATTTGTTTTTGCCTGGAAATTTTTTATTTTTTTCTGAATTTTGATTTCTAATTTTTTTTTTTTTTTTTTCATTTGAACAGAGCCATGATAATAATTTCAAAAATCAGAATCATGAATTTGCCAATAATCAACAATATATATTGCAGATTGAACGAGAAAAATTGGAATTACAAAAACAGTTGATTACATTGGTACAGAATGCTGATACGAAACGATTGGAAATTGAACGATTACAAAAGGAATTGAAACAATTGAAGAAAAAATTTAATACGGAAAAAACAAAGCAAGCGGAATTGAAATCATTAGAGTTACAGGATGTAAACGAATTGCAAATTGGTGGTGGTGAACCAATGGTTGATGATGTAAACATTAAAAATGATGATAATTCTAATTCAAATAAAACATTAGAACAATCAGAAACGATTGCTGAAATGGAATTGATTGTTCCATCATCATCAACAACAATAATGCATACGGGTAAGATTTTGATTTTGATTTTTTTTTTTTTGATTATAAATTTTTCTTTTCTTTGAATCTAGGTGAACAATCCTCATCGTCTAATATTATTGAATGGGATAAACAATCATCATCATCTATTTCTGAATTATCCGTTGCCAATCTACAGGATCGGATCAATCAAATGGAAGAAACACATTATTCAACATCGGAAGAGTTACAGGCGACGCTCCAAGAATTGAATGATTTACAAGAACAAGTAATGGATCTGCAAAAATCAAATGAAATACTACAGCATGATAAAAATTTCCTACTTGAAACATTGTGTGAACAAACAAAAAAATTGGATAATTGTGTTGCACGTATTGAACAATTCCAACGAATGATTATCGATCAATATGATGATGAAGAGAAACATGTGCTATTGTCACCTTCTGAACGTGAAGAAAGCCTCGTTGAAATGCTCAAATGTATTCATGAAGAGAAAACTGAATTAGAAACAAAACATGATGAATTACTATATAAACTAGAAGAATTAAATGTACGATCCAAATTGGATGCAAATAATTTATTAGAATTTGGATTACTATTTACTAAACCATCACCACCTACCACTAAAGAATCTATGATGATTGGCGATCATAAACAAAAAGACACTGTCTGCTTAATGGATCATCATCATCATCATCATCATCATGATAATAATAATCTAGTCGAATCTACTGCATCTATAATCGTAGGCAATTCATCTTCATCATCAACAACAACTACAACAACGTTGTCGTCGTCGTCATCGAATATAAATGCAAAATCTGAATCTATTGAACAAGAACAATTGGATAAATCATGTTGTTCATTACAGCAACAACAACAACAAAAAATGTTGGCCAAATTATATAATGCAAAATCATTACAAGAAATATCAATGCCGGTAACAGGTTCATTTCATAGTCTTGATGGTTTAACCAGTAAAAATTCCAGTTCTACTGAAGAAACAATTGAAATGTTACAATTTCTTGTCAAACAATTACAGGATCGAATATCAACACGAGAATTGGATCTAAAAAAACTTAAAGATCAACTTATTCTAATGGAAGTGGAAAAGAAAGAAGAATATGTTAAACTTGAAATACAGCTTAAAAATCTGGAAAATCGTAATAAAGAATTAAATGAACGAAATGAAGAACTATATCAAAGGCTAAAAACAACGGAAGAGGCAAAAATTGAATCTGAAATTCGTGCCCAAAAAAATCTGGATGAAAAACGAGAGATACGTTCATTATTAGAGGATAAAGATCGTAGATTAGCTGATCTTGAAATGAAATTATCGACCAAATGTAAAGAATATTCAGAATTGGAAGATAAACGTGATCTTGAACACTCGGAATGGAAACAATTTCAACAAGATTTATTGACCACTGTACGTGTTGCAAATGATTTTAAACTTGAAACATTAGCCGAATATAAAGCACTATTGAATGAAAAGAATATGATTGAAGAAAAATTGAATCTTCTTGAATCTGAATTACAAAAATATCGTCAAGAAAATAAAAAACTTCATCACCAACAACAACAGCAGCAGCATCAGCAATATTCGCGTTCCGGTGTCATGGATCCATTACTATCGACAACCAATAATGGTAGCAACAACACATCAACAGTTACACAAAATTCATCTGGATCATCATCGTTGACAAAAACAATTAATGATTCAGTGACTGTTGCCACAGTAAAACCGATGGTAACAAAATCAACATCACAACAACAACAGTCAACATCATCGTCATCATCATCATCATCGCCAAAAACATCATTATTAACAATAATTCAAAATTATGAACCAATTTCGAATGGATCGGCAATTAGTCATCATCAAAGTACTACTACCACCACAAATGGTCGAACATTAATGCGTAGTAATAGTAGCCAGATTTCTGTTCGAAGTTTGATTGAAACTTTTGATACGAATAATAAACAACAACAGCAGCTAACTTCTCCATCATTAACACATCCATCATCTACAATTACATCGAATGGTGGTACCACAACAAACAATGGTTCATCATCTGTACCACCATTGTGCAATCGTTCTAATTCAGTACCAATTCTTGGTCATAATGATTTACTCATACAACGACATCTACGTCAATTTGTTAATGAATCTAATGGTAATAGTGTTACAACGCCATCATCATCGCCTGATCACCAACTTCATCGATCTGCTAGCAAAACTTCTGCAAATTCTTCCGATCGTACCACTCCTTCATCAGTGTTTGTATCATCACCAATTTTAAAAGATTCAAATGGAAATAAAATTGATTCAATCAGACCACGAGCATTGTTTAGGTATGTATTTTGATTATGATGATGATCATTGCTAATTGATTATCGATTTCTTTTCTAAATAGTGAAATGAGTGATGGCAACAAAAAAGATCCACTAACAACATTGGTACGTGGTGGTGGCTCAAAACGAAATGCTCTACTCAAATGGTGTAAAAATAAAACGCTCAATTATCGTGACATTGATATTACGAATTTTTCATCATCATGGAATGATGGTATGGCATTCTGTGCCATTCTGCACACGTATCTACCCGATAAGATACCATATGAGACATTAAAAGCGGATGATAAAAAACGAAATTTTACAATTGCATTCAAAGCAGCCGAATCAGTCGGCATAATGACAACTTTGGATCTCAACGAGATGCTTGCACAGGAACGACCCGATTGGCATAAAATTATGGCTTATGTTACATCAATCTATAGCCATTTTGAAACATAATAGCTTTTTCATTCAAATGATTTTTTTTCATTAAATTTTTTTTATTTTTTCAAAACATTTTCTCTTTTCTCGAACATTCTGATGATGATTAATAATTATATTGCTGTTCCATTGCCCAAAATTGGGAAAGTTCCAATCAAGATACATTCGTCTAGTGGTGCCATACCAGTTGTAGTTATTTTTGAACCAAGTGCTGCCATCTATTGCTATAAATAATAACCAATTTTCTGAGGTGCCGAAAGTGGCGACGTCTAGCGGATTTTCATTGAACTAAAATTTTGCGAAAAAAGGCAAAAAATGAAAAATTTTAGTTTAATGAAAATCCGCTAGACGTCGCCACTTTCGGCACCTCAGAAAATTGGTTATTATTTATAGCAATAGATGGCAGCACTTGGTTCAAAAAATAAATAAATTAACATTTACATTGATCATTGCAAATACTTGTAATAAACATGTTTATGAATTTATAAATTTATAAATGATCATTTTTTTATTTCGTGTCAATTAAAAAAAATATGAATTTTTCTTATGAATTACAATACAAGCTTTAAACATCACATTCATTATCCTGTTCTTGTTCGACTGTACGATCACCAGTTGATTTAATGAAAAATGCCATTATGGAAGATATGATGAGTAATATGCCTGATGCTGCAAATGTTATATGATATGATTGTGTCATATCGAATAGAGCGCCTAAACAACAAAATGGATGCAAATAAATGAATGGAAAAAAAATTCAAACTATAAATGGTACAAAACATACCAGCTAATGGCGGTCCAACTAATGAAGCAGCACCACGAAACAAACATAATAGACCAAATGCATTGGTCAATTTTTCCAAACCAAGCATATCGACAAGAATAACCGAAGTTAAACATACATATGCAGCTAAAGAATAGCAACAAAAAATGATTAACCCATTGAAAAGCAGAATGACAATATAATCATTTACTTACAAATAAAAAGGCCGAATAGAACACAATCAACAATAACAGCCACATAGGTCGTACAGAATGGGGCCGCAATGACAGCCAAACCGGACAATATAACACATATATTATTTAAACCTAAAGCAGTGATTTTTAATCCACATATGGATCCATTTTTGGTAATACGATCGGATAGATAACCAAATAATAGACGACCAAATGTATTGGTGATGCCAATGATTGAGATTAATAGAGCAGCTTGGTCTGGAGTCACTAATTTATCACCGGCTATTTTAATTTGGATTGATCAAAAAAATAGTTAATTAATTGATTGAAGAAAACGAGAAACAACATACATACCCATGACCGAACTGGTAGCAAATTGAGTAATGTAAACAAATGGTACGTAGAAACCCATCATACCGAAAATGTTTGAAATAGCCAGTATGATGAATGCATTACTATCCCGGATTAATGAAAAATCTAGCATTTCACTAAGGATTGATCTCATCGATGGCGGAAGTTTGCTTAGGAAATGGTTCCAGTAGCCACGTTTTTCATCATTTGGTTGTTGCTGTTGTTGCTGCTGAAATTGTCGTTGTTGTTTAATGGAGGAATTCATTTCCGAACAACAATCACCTGATTCATTTTGATCATCAATATTATTGTTACCATTGCTCAATTGTTGATGTTGATTATTTTGACAGCAATTATCTTTGAATGAACATAATACTCTCAATATTTTATCACATACATTTCGCTTTTGATATGATGACCTTTTCAAACCACCACCACCACCATCATCATCATCGTCGTCGGCACCGCCAGTTTCTTGCTGTTGTATTTGTTTTTGTACCTTGGCAATAATATCTCGAGCTGGAATCGAAACAATCGATTGACCAATGTTGGCTCCAGATTCGGCTAAATGTTGCAAAGAACTTGGTACATGTAATGTGGAACCAGAATAGAAAATATCTTTTTTCGATAATGGTCGAACTGGTATAGCTTGAATTGTAATGTTTCGTTTATCTTTCGATTCTTCAGATGATAAAGTTGCTCCAGCCGGTGTCGACGATAATATTACTTGAATGGGCAACTGACCGCTAGTACCCATACTATTCATTTGTGGTAACAATGATGATGATGGTAGATAGTTAGATGAATCGACAACCTGGCCACTTTCAGAAACTGTTCGTACAGTTGAACGACGGCTTCGTGGTTGTATTATAAAATTATTTGTGACCAATGCCGATGATGATCGTCCATTACCGATTTCCGATAAGGGTGATTGAGGTAAAATTGGCGGAGATTCTGGTGTCGCTGATGTAGGTGTATTTATTTCGGATTTTATATCCTCATCCTCATAATCATTACTGTAATCGGATGCAACGGCACCGGCAGCATCAGCCATTTTTTTCTGTTCATGTTCATTATCATTATCGTTATTATTATTATCTTGTTCCTGTTGTTCTGAATCATTATTCTCTTTGATCGTTATATTCTCATCCGATGATGTATTATCTTCTGAAGAATTGACACTAAATATTTTTTTCGATTCAATTATAGGTGATAGCTGATGTTTTTGATCTATACATAATTGTGATTGTGATTGTGTTGTTGATGGACATGTTTGCTGCTGTTGCTGTTGGCTTGTGACGGTATCTTTATTATTATCGGTATTTTGATTGGCAGCTGAAGGTGTTGGTGTTTGTGGTGTAGGAGTCGGAGGTTGAAATAATTGATCTAGATATAGCGTTGAATGAACACCTGGTTCCATATTCATGGAGTTTAAACGATTTTTCAATTCGGTAAATGTTAGATCATTAAGATCTAGGCTACCATGTTGCATCATTAGTAGAAATTGTGAATTCGAATGTGCTAATAAACGACGACGTTTTTCTTCAGCAATCCTCTGTAATAATGGTTTACGCATTTCAGAATTTTCCATCATTTGTTGTTGATCATCAAGTTCCCCTTCACCTAATACAGTTTTGGCATGTACATTTAATGGACGCATTAGACCACCGAAACCGGCACATGATAATATCATAAATGCTAATATTAACAAAGTGTTTTGCCAGCTAGTTACACCCAATAGATATTGACAGAATGGTGCAAACAGGAAGGTACCGACACCGGAACCACATACAGCAATACCAGTAGCGAATGCTCGTTTTGAGGTAAAATAATAACCAACAGAAACGATTGCTGGTAAAAATATCATACCCATACCGACACCACCTATCATTATAATTGGTATTAAACACAAGTTTTTTAATCAATCAATCAAGTAAATAATTCACATCAACATCAAAGACTTACCAAGGAAGCCATATGTTATGTACAATGTTTCAATATTCGGTGCAATTGTCGATAATGAAAATGCAATGAATGATATTATTGCACCCATAATTGTGACCACACGACAACCAAACCGGTTAGCTAATGAACTTACGAGGGGTCCTATAATGATGATAATAAAAAAATGATTAATGATTGACAACAACCACAAAAACGAAAGATCGATCGATTGAAAACGTACCAACACTAAGATAGAATCCATTCAATATGGATCCACATAAGGCCACTTTACTTTTACTTACACCAAAATGAGAGACAAATATTTCGAAAAATAGGCCAAACGTATAGGCAATACCATCGACAATTAGATTACAGAAAAATGATGCCAATACAATGATCCAGCCATAACCACCATCCGGTGCTGGATCCTGTATAAGTACATGTGGTTCATCGAATTCATCATCAACAATCATTTGTGGCGTAAAAGTTCCATCATTTTCATCTTGTTGCTGTTGTTGTCGATCATTACCACCACCACCAACATCGACTAATTCACGATCTTCAGGAATAGCAGATAATTGCTGCACTGAGGTATGTTGTAATGAGATCTTTGAATCACCACTAATCGATAATAGTACCGAATGATAAAGTGGTAATGATGAGTTGCCTAAATGAATCATTAGAAACAAATCAATAAAAAAAATAAAAAGAAACATTAAGTAAGCATCATGTTTGGTTAATGTTTGAAAAATTTCATTTTTCTTATCAAAATGATAAAAAAATAAGCGGTGATTGTCCTGTGATGTTGATTAGTTTGTTTGTGTGTGTGTGTGTGTGGGTGGGTGGATGTCTTTGATAACTTTACAGGATTATGATGATGTGATTATCATAAAAAACGTGCCATGAATAACAAAAAAACACTCAAAAATATTAATAGCACTCTTAGGATAAATACACTTTGGTAAAATAAACTTCCGGAAAATAAATGAGTGAATATTTAGAGTTCATTAACACTTGTTAGTGAAATGATAAATAAATCAAAAAAAACTGAGAAAATCATTCTAAGAAAAACACAATTCAAAGAATTATTAATGACTTTAATCGCGGAAGTAATGATGAATAAAATTAATTATTCAAGATTCTTTTGACTTTTTCAAGATGATTTTATCAAAAACTTACTATTCGATGGTGTACCAGCGTGTGGAGGCATTTTTTTCTTTCGTTGTAATGGGCGCTGTTTTCTTCGTTAAACCAAATGAATTTATATGTAGAATAAATGAATGACGATTCGTCCAAAATTAGACAAAACTTTGTATGAATAAATGAGATCAAATCATAAAAAAGGTCGAAAATAAAAACACACACACACAGAGTCAATCAGATAAGATGAGTTATTTTTTGGATGTAAACAAAAAAAAATGTTGATCGATTGGTTGTTGATTTTCGTTGATATGAAATTGGTTAATCAGATGATGGGCAATGATTATTACATTTTTGAACTGTAAAAAAAAGAATAAAAAAAATTGTAATATGAAAAATGTTTGAAAAATGGTAAAAAAATGTATTATTAAAATCAAACCACAAATTCAAGCAATGACAAAATGAAATGAAAATTCATCATCATTACATTACATTTTATTCTCTTCTTCAAATTATCAATCAAATTAAGAAATTGACAGAAAAAAATATTGAATGAAATCGCAAAAGACGCACACAAACACAGAGAGAGAGAGAGAGACAGACAGAAAATCTTATCATCACATCTCATTTTCATAAACTATTTTGACAATGACAACAACAACAACAACAGAAGAAGAAAATGTAAATAAATAAAAAAAAAAAAATGTGACCAAAAAAGCAGTACAATGACCAGAAACTCGAAAATCAATAATGATAATATAAGAAAAAAGACCCGAAAAGACCGGGAAAAAAATAGGAAGTAATTTATTAATTTTTTTCAATCAATCAATCATAAAAAAAAGTTCAACCTATCAATCAAAATTCGGAAAAGAAATTATAAACCATAAAGTAAAAAGTGGAAAGAAAAAAATTCCATTATCATGAACGAAAAATGATGTTTTTTTTTCCTTCGGAAAGTTTTTTTCGGCTTTTTTCTGCCCAATCATCATTCTATTAGAGAAACACTTGAAAACACATACAGAGCACAAAAAAAACATCATGAAAAATACAATTAAATTACACTCAAGGTGAAAAACCCACAAAAGAAACAAACAAAAAAAACAAAACAAAACAAAATACAACACAACACAAAACATTAAATGAATTCAATTAAAAGAAAATGAAGAAAAATCCATAATTCATAAGTCATTGAAATGATAAATATATGTGTTATATAAACGAAAATAGATGAAAAAAAATTGGAAAAAAACTTGATGACAATGTCAAATACATGCATGCCAAAAAAAATTATGGAAATGAAAATTGAAAAAAATTTTTTCTCGACATCATCATCATCATTAATGATGGAAACCAGAACACAAACAAAATATATTTGGTTATAATGAGTAGAAATCATCATGTTGACACATTCAAATAAAAAAATATATGAAAAATTGGAATAACACCAAAAAAACCATTGAATGAATGAGTGAAAAAAACAATGATTTCATGATCGATTGATGATGATGATGATGATTCGTTTTATACACAAAAAAAATCCTATATTTCATTAGAATTATTCAATCGAAATGTTTTTTTTGGTGATAACATACACCATTACTATCAAGGATATTTCATCGAGATATGGTCAGTATGAAATATTTTCAATGGAAAAACAATATGATGATGAAATGAAGAAAAAATCAGGAAAACAATGAAAAACAACACCAAAAATTATCGACAAAAAATTCTTTATCAGGACCTATATATGATATTTGATATTGGCAATCAGGATTCATAGAAAAAAAAACGAAATAGAATCGTTAAGTGGAAAAAGATTACGAAATTTAATTCCTAAGAATTTCTCGGAAAGAATGAAGAATTGATGATGTTATCTACCCATCCCACACACACACACACATAATTAAAGAAGAAAAAGAAAACAGCATGGAAACACATTTCCGTTCATTCATTATTCATTTATTCGCATAGATATGAATGTCATTCAAGAAAAAAATGACACACACACACACGAACAAAAATGAAGATTTGAAAGAAAAATAAATATTTAGAAAGAAAAACAAACAAACATTAAGAGTTGAAAGATTATTATCATCACCAAACATAAAAGAAAAAAAAACAAAAACAAAAACGCCAACTGACAAATTATCAAGAATTTTGGTTGTTGTTGTTGATGATTGTGAAACATTCAAACACAAAGACACAGACACAGACACAGAAATCACAAAACCATCATCATCAATTCAATGTAAAATTCAATTGCTGCCTATTCATCATCATCAACGATCGTTGATGATGATGATGATGAAAAATGATGATAATCATAACGATAATAATAAAACACATCGAGAAAAAAAATGTAAATGTAATAATAATTTTATGGCGATCAAAAAGAGAGAAAGTTAGTGAAAATTGTACATGAAACAAACGAATTAAAAAAAAGGATTTTCAAAAAAAAAAACACATAGATACAATCATCATCATCATCATCAATAATGTGAACTTTTGTTGCTGAATGATGAAACAAATTTATTTTATTTAATTAGTTTTATTATAGATTTTTTTGGATTTGAACATTGGAAAAAAATCATTTCATTTTTTTTCAATCATAAAAAACGGAAATTGTCGTTTTCTGTTCATTGCTGTAGCTGCTTTTGGCTGTTTCTGCAATGAGGCTTGAAAAAATGGTAATAATTTTTTTTTGTTTCAGTGAAAATTAAAAAAAAAATTCAAGGTTCCAAAAAAAGCCAAGCTAAGCCAACCGACCTGAAGTAAGTGAAAGCAAAAAGCAACCGATAAAAAACAATTGAGATTTTTATTTTCAAATCAATCAAAACATAGAAGAGAGAGAAGGGTTATAATTACTTTTGTTGTTGTTGTTGTTGAATGTTAAGCGGTTGTCATTTTTTTTGTTTTCGCTTTTTGTCATTTAATAGTAGTAGTAGTCGACAATCGACAGGTAGAAAGAGAAAACAGTAGCTTGAATTTTAAAAAATCAGTTCTAGTAGTTTGTCGTTTGTTATTGAAAACGAAAAAAAACGACAAAGATAACGACGTATGGAAAGAGTTGAAAAAAAATCTAAATAATCAATTATATCTGCCTCTTGTGTGTGAGAAAGTGGAAAAGCATCTTTATAATTCAAAAAATCATCAATAACCATTAATGATGATTAATAGTGGAAAGTCATAAATGAAAGCAAAGAAATGGTCATTGATTTATTATCGATCAAATTATTTAGCTATATATTGGCTTACTAATGAACAAACTAAATGTACCTAAATGTACAATCAAAAAGCAAAAAAAAAAATTCAATTCAAATTTCAAAATCAAGATAAAAAAAGAACGAAAGAAGATGCAACAAACAAACAAACACAGACAAACGAAAACGAAAAAACCCAAACCAATGTATCACATTGATCGACACAGACAAAATAAACATCATCAACATTATATAAATGATGATGATTAATGATTAATGATTTCGCATATTCATTTCACAACAAATAAACAAGCACAATGTACATTTCATTTTTTCAATTTTTCATAATCAATTCATGTGCCTCCAATTTCATACATTCAGTTCATTTCATTCATCCAATTCATATCAAAGAATTCTTTTTTTTTCTATCAATCGAATTATCATCAAACAAATAATAAATCAAATAATTCAAAAAAAAAACAAATTCTTCTGTTGTTGATTTTTAGTTCACTGGGAAACTGTCAAATACAACACACACACACACACACATCATCGTCAAATGATAATGTTGAGATTAACAAAAAAAAAAATGAGAAACAAAGTAATGTTAAAATCCAGATAATCGGTTTATCATCATCACCATCACCATGAATAATGAATAAAAAAAATGGACAATTCTGGAACTTACTAAGGATAATGATTAGGTGCGATTGGCAACAGTTTTTTTTGCGTAGTTGTTGTTGTTGTTTAGTCCGTAATATTTTTCAAAATCACAAGACGGCAGCTAACTTGGTTGTTGCTATCGCTGTGTATTTGTTTTCATATTTATGACGATAATATAGAAAAGAAGAATAAAAAACAGCACAAAAAAATAATTCTGATATATTAGATACTTTATGATCAATATCGATTTTATCGAATAAAATTGAAAATGGAACAGACACGCACACACAGATGATAAAAAAAAATTTGATCAAGTTTTATATAAAAAAACGGAGACGAACAAAAAAATCAAAAAAAAACAACGAAAAACACACACAGGATAAAAGCAATTTTAAATGAAATTAACTAAAAGTTGAAATGATCATCGTCATCGTCATCATCATCGATCTATTTGGCCATCATATCACATATCAGATGACGGCTGTGAATTGAAAAAGGATGTCAACCATCATCGTGATCATGATCATCATATAAAATACACATTTATTGATGTATGGATGGATTTGTTAAAATTGGTAATTTCAATTTTTTTTTCTTGATAATTGTTGATAGCAACAACAACATACACACACACACAGATCATCGTAATCATGAATTATATAAAAAAAACTACACAATCATTTGATGTGGATATAAATGAATGAATGATGAAAAAATGGAATAGAAATCATCATTACTTGATACAGAATATGCTCATCATTCATTACATAAAAAAAACTCATGGCAATTGATGATGATTATCGAATTCTCTCTCTCTATATGAATGTATGAAGCATGAATGTGTCTGTAGAACACACACAAACACTCAATGGAAATTCATATACAAATTCTTTCCACTTTTTATGGAAAAAAAGAAAAAACTATCGAAAAAAGAAGGAAAAGAAGAAGCAAAAACCTAAACAACATTATATATAATGAATGGCTATATGTGTGTGTGTATAGTGCACATAACACACATAAACACAAACACACAGTTGGTAAAGAAAAAAAAATTTGACAAAAACAGAACTGAATATTATTATTGTCGTGGTACATATAAAACATGAATGCATTGGATTGGTAAATACATACAGTAGTCGTTTTTTTCATTTATTTTGTTGTTGGTCTGCTTGTTGGATTCATTCTGGTTCATGGCGTCGTTCACTCATCATTTTAGGCCGCTAGAATATTTTTCGGGTTCGTTGTTGTTGTGAAAAGTAAAGTAAATTTTTTTTTTTTGTTGTATTTTTGGTAGTCGTCGTCGTTATTTGTTGTTGTTGTTGTTGTTGGTTTGTTTTTTCTTGTCGTCAATGATGATAATGATGATGATAAGTTTTCGAGATGAAAAGGATATTCATTGTCGTTGCTGCAGCTATATATTCTTCATTAGGTACTAAATACACACACACACACACACAAAACATGGCGTCTAGTTCAATTATAATAACGTGTCGAAAGATATTCATTACTTTGCATTATTTATTACCGGATACCGGAACATATCGACATGATCATTTGTTGGATTGTCACCAAAGAAAGATTGAAAGAAAAAACAAAACAGAATACCAACAAAACAAAAAACATTCGAATGAGTCAAAACAGAATTTTCCCGCTTCTATTTACACATGCTCACAAGTGTGTGTTATTTGCATTGTCCATCATTAGATGACGTTTGATAATCCTGGAAAAATAAAGAAAATTCTGATCACCGGAAATTGTATTGAAAATTTTCAAAAACAAAAAAAGAAAATTAATTTTTTATCATTGATGAATTTTTAAAATAAATCACAAATGTTTAATTTGTGATATAAACGTCTGAATTCTCATTTGTGTGTGCGTGTTTCTGATTGATTTTTTTCTTCCATTTTAAATTGTTTTTTTCAGCTTGAATAATTGATCAATTTAAATCTGTCCAGATTATTGATTGCTGCTGCTGCTTTTTCATTCATTAATTTTCATCTTCCAAATTCTTGGATCGAAATCGGGCAACAATAACAAAAAAAAAGTAAAACAATTCTGGCTCCATTGAAAACGCGAAATTGTTTGTGTTATGTGTGTGTGAATGCTGTATACAAAACCAATCAAGCCAGCCAGTATAAACCATAATTACACAGCGCAAATCAAAAATTGAACTGAAAACAACAACAAGAGAAAAAACCACTTCAAACCAGAATGAAGCGGTTCTAGCCAAGCTATATTATTTCATTGAACAACAACCAAGGCGACGATGACGACAACGAATGAAACACATCGATTTATTTTTTTTTTGTAGCCCAATTTCAAGGAACCGTTGTTTACGAACGGGATCACACGGAAAAAAATTCTGCTTCATTTTTTTATGAAGACAATAATTACTCAATCGAATAATTAGCATGTTTTTTCATTTTCACAAAATAACTACTTTCTTAATCAATGGTTAATTCTTCTTCGGCATCAATATATCACGTTTGGCGATTATTTCCATTCGCCATTGTTGAAACACGAAAAACGAAGAAGACGAAAAAGTTGTTTCAAAAATACAAGACAAGACAGACAAGTTTTTATTTTAATTGTATTAATCGTATAGAATGAATAAACGTATGAACAGCGTGTGTGACATTGAGCATTTATATTCGAATTTTGAATGGTAATTTTTCTTTCGAACTAAAAAAAGTTCCAAGTTGTCGTTTCACTACACATTGACATTGACTAATTAATCACGTGGCTTCCTTTTAAATACCGGTCACGTGATTTATTATTACTATTTTCCATCGACGATTATGTTTTTGCATATGTAGAAATAGTCAAACATGTGATTGAAAAATTTAATTTTTTTCTGTTTTGATAAAATTTCCAAATGACAACAAAAACAATGGCAATAAAACCAAATCACTTATTAGATAGAATCAAAATGGATGATCATTCGTGGTTTGCTAATCTATCATCATCATCATCATCATTAATCGATGAATGTAATCAAATTGTACAACAGAAATATCATTCATCATTAATGCATCTTTGTGCTCAATATGATTCATTTCAAACTGGTTACCTTTTATTAGTCAATCATGCTGATCATCAGTGGTTATATAAACGTGATCTGGATGGTAAAACACCATTACATACAGCATGTACATTTGGATCCAATCAAATAGCTAGTATTTTTATTAAAAATCAACATATCGTCAATGACTTTAAACGTGGTGATTGGACAGCATTAATGATTTCTATTGCGAAACAGAATATTAATTTAGTAAAATTATTATTAAATAATCAAGCTGATGATTTAGTAGAAGATAAAAATGGTTGGACCGCCTTGCATTTAGCCGTACGTACTGGTAATATTGAATTGATCAAATTATTGATGGATCAAAACCGAAAGATTGGTGGCCAAAGCCTTTGAAAAATGGTCGTAATATAATGCATATTGCAGCCATTAATGGTCATATCTTGGTATTCGAAATGCTGGCTAATTATCTTTCAGAAATCAATCAAAAAGAATTGATAAATTACGCCGATAATTGTGGCGTTACACCATTTATGGATGCATCATGTATCGATTGTATACCAATCATGGAAATTGTTCTGGCTAAAATCCACGATATATCCACATGTCTTGAACATTTAGATGATTGTCATCGTAATATTCTACATCATTGTGCACAGACAAATTCATATACAACTATCCAATTCCTGATCAATCACAATTCATTATCATCAATGATCATCCAGAAAAATTTGATAAATCAATGTGATGAATGGGGCCAGACACCAATATTTTTGGCAATACGTGATGGACATTATGAATCGGTGCAATTATTACTACAATTAGGTAGTCGAATTGATATTCAAGATTCAAATGATCGTACACCGGTGGATATTTGTCAACAATATAAACATGATCATTTATTGGATTTATTTGAAAATTTAATGATTTAAAAAGAACAAAAAAAATGTAAATTACATAATAGTTGTATAATTTGGATAGAAAAATTTCACATTAAAATGATCATGTTGATAATCAATTTGGATTGTACCAGTTGATGGTAATGATAATAAAACAATCATCAACATTAAAATTGTCAATGTTAATATCAATGTAAATGTTGTTGTTATTTGTAAACAAAGACTATTATCATTTGATTGTTTGTTGATCATCATCGATTGTTGTTGTTGATGATGATCATTGCAACAATTATCATTACCAATGGGTCGATTTTCATATTTTATATAATAATTAAGAATTCTTGGACTATTCATCATTGTTGTTGTAGTTTTGGCGGTGTTTGATTTTGACCAATAATTATCATCATAATTCATTTTGGTAGTAGTGGTAGTGGCCACGAGATTATGATTTGAAAAAAATGAACAATTTGCAAAATTTGTTTTTGGTTTTGAAATTCTCATAAATGGAGATTGATCATTGTTGTTGTTATTGATACTGTTGCCTAAACTGTACAAATCAAAATCATTATTCATGGGTGATATGGATAAATCTTTGATCTGTTTTCGTATCAATCGTTCATCTTTTGAATATTTATGTGGAGTTTGTGATTTTTCATTGATTTTCTGTGGAGTTTTAGTTTGATCGACAAATGCGACGGTTGTGGAATTGAAATATTTTAAGATTGCAAAATAGAAATATCTCACCAGATAAGTACCGATTAATAATGGTATTATGAAGCGTTGTAATCGAATTATTTCAAATTGATCGAGTAATAATAGATGATAATAATGATGATGAGGATGATTAGTGGCTAATAATAACCAAAGAAAAAGTTGACAAATATCAAAAGTAACAACAACAATAGTATGATGATTCGAAGATGATGATTGATGTTGTGGTTCAATTTGTAATAATGGAAAATAGAGTAGAAATCCCACACAAACAAGATAGAGATAATGATCCAAATAATTGATTCCAAGATTATTTTTTTGACTTAGTAGATTCGGCAATGATTCATCAATACCGGAGAAAGGTTCTTCTTGAAGATTTAGACAAAATAAAATGGATAGCACAAAAATTGTTGCCAAATTGAGCAAAAAATATGCGAAAATTTTCAAACGATTTCCAAATAATTGATTCTTAGGCAATAATAATGATGATGATGAGGGTGGCTTCGATAATGGAATTCGATTAGGTAGTGAATCATCATCATTGACTAATTTTCGAATCAATTGTTGGCATTCTTCACAAATTGGATACATTTGATCGAGATTTCGTCGATATTGAAACAATTCTTCATTGAATCGACCATCATCCACAGGGACAAATTCGGAAATCATTCGAATTTTTATCGCTTCAAGTTCATTACAATCATTGCATAGACGATAATGTTCATATCGTATATTACGATTATTTCGAGCTGAATTTCGACAAAAACGATTTGAATTTAAATGATAATGTTCGCTCATATAACGATTATATGAACCATCCACATTGAATCCATTATATTGTTGACAATCAGGACAATGCCATGAATTACGTTGAGGATATCGTACACGATGTTTGGCCATACAGAACCAACATTCAACATTTATTCTAATCCATGGCCTGATTTCGTATTTGAAAAGATTTTTCAAAAATGAAATTTTCAAAACAGAAAAAACAACATACCGCACAAAAAGATAACCAGAATATAATGTAGAAACAGCGGCAGCAGAATAAATGATTGGATTACAAATATTATCGGGAAATTCCATTATTTTTCAAACATTTTCGAATGTTTAGCAACAATAACAAAAAACACGCCGGTTCTCATTGTTAACACGAGTATCGATAATTTCGTCCATCTTGTGATCAGCTGATTTATCGCATTTGATTATTTGAATTTAATTTTTGGTTTTTTTCTTCTAAAATTAACAAATAAAAAAGATGAAATTATCACTAATTCTACGATCATTTCGTCGTGAATTTATTGGTCCAATACCGAAACATAAGGGAAATGTTCTTATCGGGTAAGTTGAAATGACGCAAAATGTCGCAAATTCAATTTCATTTTCATTCCTTTAAAAAGACGAAAACGTTTTGTACCACCGGTTACATTGGGTAAAAAAATTGGTCTCGTACAGCATTTAGCATATGAAGAAGAAGTGATGAAGTATCTGAGTAAACCATATGTGAATGAAACCCAGGAATGTCGATATTTAGAATCAAAAAATATGGAACGACCACCATATTGGGATGATTTTACACGTATGACTATTGAACAACCATTACAGCAATCATATTCAGCCGATTACTTGGAAAAATTAAATTGTTCACGTACATTTGAAGAAGAAAATTAAGATTTATTTTAATCATTTTGTATAAATAGTCATTATTATAGTGTTTGTGTGTCAGTGAAATTAAATTTTTTGTGAAATTTATAACATTATTTTATCGTCAATATTGCAATGATAATTCAAATTATTATAATTAATACTAGGAGAAATTATTTTCGAACCAAGCGTTTGGATTGGATCTGGAAAGAGAAAACAGAAAAAAAATTTACTGTTGAAATAGACTTGTTTGTTGCTGCTCATACACTTACTCGATATCTTGTTTGGTAAGTATTTTATTATCCCGTAATAATGCAGCAAATGCTGATGCTAATGGATCACGGCCGATTGTGGCGACGCCGATCACACGATCATCGCGAAAATAATAGGCAACAAAATGTAAATCGATAATATCACCATCAATAAGGCAATCATCAGGGTCATTAACAATACCGGCAAATCTAATACCTTTTCCGAATATAGCGGACCAGAAAAATGTTACCGATTGAAAACGTGTTTCCAACGGTGCCAATCGATTCATCATCGCTAATGATGCTTGACGGCCATGTGCTTGAGCTGTTTGCCAATGTGCAATATTCATCATTTGATCATCGAATATATGGTTCGGATAAACGCAAACATCACCACCAGCATAAACATTCGGTACGGATGTTTGAAAATTTTCATCCACAATAATACAATTATTATCCGATAGTTTAATATTCGATGATGATGATTCACGTAAAAATTCTGTATTTGGTACACTACCAATACCGATGACACAAACATCACATTCAATATGTTCAGCGAATTCCGGTGATTTAATACGAATTAAACGATTGGATTCTTCGTCCAATACGAATTCCAATGGCGATGATGATCCTGTACATAGGAATCGTATATTTTTTGATATTAAAACTTTTTTAATTGCCGCACCAATGCGTCTTCCTAATGTACGTGAATATGGAACATCCGTTCGGCTTATGATTGTTATTGATTTGGCCAATTTTATGATAGAACAGGCAATTTCAATGACTAATGAGAAATAAGAAAAATTTTTCATCAACAACAGAAGCAGGTCAAATATTTACCGATAAACGATGATCCAATAAGTACAACATTTTTATCTTCATTTATTTGGTTATGAATATTGTTTGCATCACGATAGGTTCGTAGATAGAAAATGTTTTCAATGTTTTCATTCAACATTGGTGAATTATATTTTCGTGGTCTAATTGTAGACAAAAATAAAATTTCAATTTGATTAATACAGAAAAACAAAGAAATGAAATTAACCTTGATCCAGTTGCTATGAAACATTTATCATAATGTATGGCTGTGCCATCATTAAGATATACCATTTGTGTATCGGTATCAAGACGTTGACATTTTGTTTGTAATTTTAATTCAATCTGTGCTTGTTGATAATAATCTTCATTACGTAATACAATATTTTCCAATTTACTAGCAAGATTCTGTGTGTGGTAATGATATAAAGTGAATAAATTCATTGAATTTCGAACAATTTACCTTGCTTAATTTAGTACGATCATATGGTATAGCATCTTCATCTGATATGAGAATAATTCGGCCATCAAAACCGGCAATTTCTTGGCGTAATGTTTCAGCACATTGAAAACCAGCAGGACCACCACCAATGACGATGATTGTTTGTTCATTTGTTGACATTCGTCGTATCGATATTCGTTGTATTGAAGTGACAAATTTTTCTTTTTTTGCACGTAAAAATACTTCATCATCACGGATTTCTATGTCAAATGTTGGTATATTATTACAGCCGGGAAATTCTTCAATATCACCGGTACGGATATTGAAACAGGCACCATGCCATGGACAGATTGCTAAATCACCATAAATAACACCTGAATAATTTGATTGAAACTCGGTTATACAGGATATGCGAATCATATATAGAAAAAAAACGTTACCATTGATTAAAGGTGCACTATAATGTGAACATCTATTACCAAATGCAATGATTTCTGTTTCAGATTTTCGATATAAAACGATGCCTACATTTTCGATGCGTACGACTTTTTTCCTATCACAAAAACAAATCAGAAAGAGATTAGAAAACCGAAAATCAGGAGAATTTTATCATAAAACTTACTCTTTGATTTGAAGTTCATCAATTTTACAGACCGATTGTTCAAGAATATCAGACATTCGAAATTGCAAATGAATCTCAATGAGAAAAATTTGAAACTATAGTGAAAAAAATTTCAACAACCAACAACAATCCAAATCAAAATCGAAAGTTCAATTAATCAATCGCGATTGATCGAATAAGATTTTTTTTCCCTAAAATTGATGATTAATCATCATCATCATGAGTGAGGAAAAAAACCTTGAGAAAATCCAGAAAAAACAAGTTTACCTTGATTTGTCTTTGTGATATGGAATGGGCGTTTTTCTCTCGCCGAATAAATGAAAAAAAATCAGCTGTTTTTACGTTCACTTTCGTTTTATTTTGCTTGATGATGTTTTTCAATCGATTCGACCACTATTGAACTTTATCTGAGCAGCTATGGCTGAATAAATGAAAAAAAATCAGCTGTTTTGTCAACTTTAACTATATATATATTTTATTATATTTCTAATAATAATTGTGATATATAAAAATTAATTACCAGTTTTATTCAAATGAAATCACTGCAAAATAGTGTGATCTCCATAAGATAAAGATTGTCGTGTTCTGTGTTTAGTTTTTATATGTTTAGTTTGTGTGTGAATTTAAAGAATGTTAATGAATTAATGGATATTTTTGTTTGTGTTTATTTATTATCCGATAACTAAATTATCGGTTTTGTTTAAATGTTTGGAATTTATTCATTTTGTAAAATGTCGAAATAGTCAATCTATTCTAGTGCCATCTATTGTCATGAATTTGCACAAACTTTCAATTGCAAGAATTATTTATTGATCAGATCAGATGTTATTTAGGAAAACAATGCCGAATGATGAATCAAAATCTGTTTCAAATGAAGTAGATCAATATTTTTGTTATCATAACTGATTTTAGGATGAATATTTTAGAGTACTAGTGTCTAGATTCAAAGGTTTTCGTGCATGCATCTCTTGTTATTCAAATAAGCAGTTATGGCCGAGAATAAGGCGATGGACTAGAATTTTATTCAATTAACCGGAAATAGATATCCGGAAATGGTAGTGATCCATTCTCCATTTGGAGGTTCGAATCCTACTGACTGTGTAATATCATAAAAATGGTCAATTTTTTGGCTGCGGCGTTATATCATTAAAATGGTCAATTTATTGTTGCATCAAACAAAAAACTATTTCGATTGTTGATGAACATTTAGGTGAAAATAGGTGAAAAAAAAGGAAAACAAAGTTTTTTTTTTCGCCGAGTTTGCTCAGTGGTTCATTGACATGGTTTTCATCATTTGTTTGTTTATTATTGTCAAAAACAAAATTGACGTTGTTTTCATTCTTTTTTCCCTGATTGTGGTCATCATGGATGAAATTGTTAATCAAAACGAAACTTCCACAATGTCGACTACCTCGACTTCGACAACAACAACAACTAGTAATTATTCCGAATTAAAATGTCAATGTTATCGATTGTACATTGAAACAATGAGTATGGAGATTGATCAAAAATTATTGGACCGATTAAACCGTCAACAATTACAAAAACGTCGTACGGCCATTGAATTGTTACGACAAAATGATTTTAATGAAATACAAAAATCATTATTAACTATCGATAATTTATCCAATATTGATCCTATTGAAAATGATCGTTCATTACAAATGTTGACAACTATTGGTAAATCATTAAATTCAATGTTGACAATGATTGATTTGGCTATTGTTGACAATATAAATCAGCAAACCACCAACATCAACGATAATAACAATTTTCAACATCAACAACAACAACAACAACAGAAAGAATTGGATGAACGATTAGAATTAATTAGCCAATTTGGTGATAATGACGATTACGATAATAATGATGATTATTCACAAATATCCTCAATGTTGAACATGAACAACAACAACAAACCTATGGATTGTAGATCTGTTGATAATAATCTTGACCATTTAAATGATAATCATAATAATATTTCAATGTCAATGTCAAATCTGAATATTGCAACAACAAATCGGGTTAATTCGGCATTATTATCATTTGATGAATTATCAAATAATCATCATGATAATTATCCAGGCCATTCCAATGTGAGTGAATGTCTTGAAGAAAGAAAAATCATTTTTCAATTTTTTTTTTCATTTTTAGGGTGTTTCCACTACCACCATCACCAATTATGGTGATTATCGAATTACATCATCAACACCTACACCATTTATACCATCATCATCATTATTATCACCTACATCATCTAGACAAAATCTTGTTCATCTTGAAAATTTACAAAATCCCCCATCAAATATTGATCCAATGGCAATTTTTCTATCATCAAGATTCGATCAAAAACAGCCACCAACAGCAGCCACAACATTACAATCGAACAACAAAAACAATCAATCAACGCCAATAAAGCAACAGCAGCAAAAACCATCAACTAGCAATGATAATAATAATAATAAAAGATGAAAAATACACAAGATTTTAGTTTTACTTGTAAACAAATATTGCGACAAATTCCATCGATACCAACAAACAGTACAGTGCAGAAACATTTGGATTATTTAAGCAGCAAATTACATAATTTACCAATCAACAATAATGTGGAACGGTTGAATATAATCGTCGAAGAATTATATAAACAGCTGATTGAATCTATTTATTTGAATAATTTGTCATTATATATGCAGTTCTTGATACGTATTCTTAGTATTAACGTTAAAAAACAACAACCACAACCACAGCAACAAAATGGACAATCAAATAAATATTCAATACGTGATGCATTATGGAAGAAATGTAATGAGGTATTTTTCCAAAACCAAAACAAAACAACCACAGCGAAAGATGGAGAATCAAAGTTTGTTTATGAAAAAAACTTTTCGTTATCAATGGATAAATTACAAAAATATGGTGATTATTTATTCGATAATATTGTGAATGAGAAAAGATTTTATCTTGCAAATGTGCGATTAATGTCACATTTGTTTCGTAACAATTCATTTGATCAGAAACAATTCCATCATTACCTGAAATATTTGATTATTGATAATGTTGGTAAACATTTTCATCTTGAATGTTTTATCATAATGATTATTGATATTGGTATTGGACCATTGCGTGGATTATACAAGCATCATTCGCGTGCTATTCGTTCGGAAGTTTTCAATGGAATCTGTTTGAATAAATATCATAATCTTGATCCATCCATACGGTATGCTGCTCAATTTATTTGTGATCTTGAAAAACGTTGTTGGCAATTGTAAAAAAATTTTGATTTGATTTTGTAATGATGATGATTAAAAAAATGAATTTATCATTCGAGACTTACAATTTTGAATAAATAAAATTAAAAATTCATTTCAAAAAACTGGCCACTTTTAATTGATTAATTTTGAAACTTACGATTGGTGATTTAGGATCTTCATTTGTTTTCCATCCATGTGGTAGCATTCGGTTTCGACATTGTTTACTGGATAATTGGTAATCTAAATTTTTGTTTTGGAACAAAGTTTTTTAGATTTGTTTTTTTTTAATATGAACATAAAACTTACATGAACACATTCCTTCAAATAATGGCCGAAATGGATTATTACGATCCTGGGCAAATTCAGCTGTCGATTCGCCACACAATTGTCTAGTTTTACGTCGTGAACATTCAAATACCGAACGTGTATTACAACAAAATACTGGTATACGTTCTTGAAATGATACGGCAAGTACATAGAATAATATATCACGTGTTTTAGAGGAACAGGAACTAATTTTTGTGAATTTTGATTCAAACATTTTGCATGATTGAATATTTCCAAACGATCCGGATGATCGATCGGTTTCGAACAAACATCAAACACTTGTCGTGTGACACTATCTAAAACAAGCATAAATGCTAGATATCGAAACAAAGATAAAAAAAATCGATAGTATCGTTCATCATTTTGTTTATTATCATCCAACTTACTTTCACGTAATGCCAATGACATACAACGTTCGCCATAATCAGCTAGACAATTGTACATTGTTCTGGTTGTTTGGCATGATTTTTTCAATTGCCATTCATTAATTGGTATGCCATGTTGATCATAATAAAAATTTGTTAAACATAAATCAAATCGTTTCATATTACATGACGATGATCGCCGTTGTCCATTAACAATCATTATCATCATGGTGATTGTCATAGTAGTCAGTAATAATAATTTAAATTGTTTAATTCTTGCCATCTTTTTCGTTATTTTTTTTCCACAAAATAAAAAAACCAAGAAGATCTGACATCCAAACGTTCAACATTCGAAATCACGAATGTATCATCGACGTAGAAATCAAAAATCAAATTGATTAAATTCACGAAATTTCCTTTATCGATTCTGATGATCAAGGAAAAACAAAAGAAAAAAAATTGATTACAGCTTTTATAGGACAATGGTGATTTTTTTCCCTGTATCTCCACACAACACAATCCATTTTATAATTATTTTGTTTTTCACCACACTCAATTCTTGTTTTTTGGCCACAAAATAAAAAAAAATTTTATTTTTAAAAATATGTAATTTTGAAAAAAAAAATTTCTGTTGAAAAAAAATTCAAACTTAAATGCCTAACAATTTTTTTAGTGTCTCCCTTTTTAAAATAAATTTTTTTTTTTTTTTGGTTTTCCCCCATTTGTTGTTGTTGTGATTGTTAGTGAATGAAAAAAAAATTCAATCTGGATATGGATTTTTTTGATGATGATGATGATAATAATAATTAGAAAGCAATAATCTGATTGATCCAACGGGAAAATGCGGTAATTCTAGTATAAACACCAGGTTGATTAGGTAATGCACAGCCAATTCCCCAGCTAATAACACCAACTAATGACCAACGTCCTTGATCTTCAATCACTAATGGTCCACCGCTATCACCCTATCGAAAAAAAGAAAGAAAATCATCATCCTTGTCCAAAAAAAATACACAAATATTATTACCTCACAAGAATCTTTAGTTCCTTTAGCTAATCCAGCACAGACAAAAATATTTGGTATATCTTCAATATAACCAGCACGACGATACATTGATTCACAATCTTTATTCGTTATGATTGGCACATCGACATGTTGAATTACATTTGGTAATGGACCATCTATAATTTGATTAGAAAATTAATTTTGATCAAAAACTTGACATATTTTTATGACATACCTTCATGTAATCTACCCCAACCAGTTACTGTTGCCCATCGGCCAACATAGGTTTCATTATGTTCCGGTAGACAAATTGGTATAATATTCTTTTGAAAACGTATTGGTTCATAAAAACGTAATAATGCTAAATCATATTCAAATGTACGTGGATCAAATTTTGGATGTGGTGCTATTATCTGTATACGACGTTCAATATGTGAATGTGGTTCCGTGTCGGTACTGATATCATATTCACCTAAACGTAATAATAAATCTGTTGGTGATACACTGTAAAAATAATGAGTAGGATTAATCAGATTAAATGGACAACTTTTTTTCAGTTTTTGTCCGGTTCACTTACTTTTCAACACAATGAGCTGCTGTTATAACCCAATATTCATTCAACAATGCAGCACCACATTTATGTAGGAAAGCATTCTTTTTCCATTGTCTCAAAGATACCATCCATGGCCATTCACCATATGCTGATTGTGTTCCACCAACAATTCGTCCTTTTGGTGATATTTGTCGACGTCCACAAACTATATTTTCATGACAGGGCAAAGAAGTAAAAAATTAAATTTTTTTTTTTTTGCCAGAAAAAAATGTGGATAAATACAAAAACACATACTGAATGGTAACATTTCGCTTGAAGACATTGGACGTTTTGTTGTTGTTGTCGATGCAGTTGAACTAGTAGTCCATATAGATGTCAATTTCGTTATAACTGTTGGTGATCTAATTGTCGTACTTGTTGTTGAATTGATTAATGGAGCAATCGTAACGAATGATCCAACGGCTGGTATTGGTCGATGTTCATCGATGGCACCAGTAATAATCGTTGTTGGTTTCTGATTAATGATGGATGGTTTATATTTATTACTAGTCAATGTTGATATAGTCGTCATAATTGGTAATCTTGATGTTATTGCCATCGTTGTTGTTGGTACCTGCAAAGTTGTACTTATTGTCGTATTATTAGTCATTGAAGATGGTGATGAAGATGTTTCAATCGGTTTTTCGGTTGTTGTCAGTATGGTACTTGATGAAACTGGAATTTGTGTAATAAATGTTGTCATGTTGTTGGCACTACTATTTGGAATTGTTGGAGATGGTGTAGTGGTGATGGGTGTTGCCGTTGTAGATGTTGATGATGATGATGATGATGATGATGAAGTTGTCGTCGTCGTTGTTGAGTTTTGTTGTTGTTCTTCAATAATCGATGGTTTTGGAATAATCGTGGTTGCTGTAAGAATCCATCCATCTTGCATAATAGTTCCAGGTGCTACATTATTTGTAGTGTTCACTGTAGTAGTATTCGCATTTGAATGTGGATCCAGAACGTTACTTGTAGTAGATGCTACAGAAATGGCTGTTGTTGATGTTGGTGATCGGGTTGTTACGGTCATGGGTCTTTCAATTTTCTCTTCATCAATGATTGTCGTCGTCGTTGTTGCCGGTGCCAATGTAGTAATGATAGATTCATCGACAGAAATTATTTCTTCCGATTGTGATTGATTCACTAAACCAAAATCAATGGGAATCAATTTTGCCGTAGTTGTTTCGATAAAATCATTCGGCACCAATGTAATTTCCGATTGATCATTCGTTGGTTGCGCTTTTACGGTTATTTGTTCATCAATATCTAGTGGTATTGATGTAGCCAATGCTATGGTTTCATCAGATGATGATGATGGAGGTGGTGGTAATGTTTCCTGTTCGGGTAATGTCCAAATATCCGAAATATTCTATCCGGAGAAATTCGAAAATTTTAAACAAAAAAAATTAACAAAATGAAACAATTACCGTATTTTCCAAATCGATCCAAACATCAATCGGATGTGGACGTGGTTTATTTGATTCAATTTTCACCGTTGTCGCAGTTGCTGCTGTTGTTGTTGTTGTTTCAATAATTGATGGAGAACTTGTAGTTATTGATTGATTTTTAGATTGTGTAGATTCACTATGTGGACTAGTTTCGATTGGAATACTACTTTGAGTAGTCGATGTTGTTGTTGTGGTTAAAGTAGCCGGTTTCGAAGATGATTCCACAATAGTCTGTTGTGTTGAACTTGAATTTATCATTATTTCTGGATTTTCGTAAATAGATTTTAAAGTAGTACTGCTCGGCAATAATGGTGACATTGTTGTTGTTGTTGTTGTTGAATTGGATTCTTCACGATTCAAAGCCACTAAGATTGGTGCAGTAGTCGTCGTCGATGATGGTGGCGGTGTTGAAAAAGTTGTAGACGACGTCGTCGCAGTCGTCGATGGTGAAGTTGAAGATATTATCACCGTTGTTGATGATGATGATGGTATCAATGATACACGTGTATTATTATCAAATTGCTCAACAGCCGCAACATTTGGTTTGAATACGGTAAGATTCCGAGTAACCTGTTGCTGTGATTGAATCTGATGATTATCCTCAATAATCTCGATGAATTCATTTGGATCTAAATGTTCTAGCGGCGATGATGATTGAATATCAATCGATATTGGTGGATCTAATTTTTGTTGTTGCTGTTGTGATGGTTTATTTTGTTCATTATCTTCTAAATTTAATTGGCCATTATTATTCGGCACAAAATGTGATGTAACCACCTTGGTTTTATTCTTATTATTGCTATAATCAGATTCTATGGCAGTAGTAGACAATGGTTTCGGTGTGGTTGATAATGAAAATTTTCTTGTTGTTGGTTTTATTGATGATGATGATGGTATTGTTTTAGTTGTTGTAGTCGTCGTCGATGTTGGCAAAATAGTTGACACACTACTACTGGGAATTTCCGGTTCCATTGTTGGTAATCTTAGATTTTCCGGTAGTTTACAGCATGTACCAACCAAATATGAATTGAAACAATAACCAATTGGTTCACCATTTAATTGCAGACATTCATATTGAAACATACAGACACCACCAAATAATGACATTTGTCCATTATGATTATCATTCTTTTTGTTACCAATACCACCACTACTACCGGAAATACGACGTCCACTACATGGTTTTGGTGGTTTAGCAGCACGATATTTTTCGGCCAACATTTCATCTTTCATTTCCAAGGAGAAAAAGAATTTAAATTCTCATTAATTTTCAAACAATTTATTGGTTTACCTTGTCGTAATAATGAAGCCAATAAATCAATTGGAATATTATTATGATTAATCACATCAAATGGATTTGGTGATGATGGTTTTATCGCCGATGATGATGATGATGATGATAATTGTAATGATGATGATTGTAATGATGATGATCGAAGCTCGTTATTAATTGATTCTTGTGTAGTTTGTTGTTGTTGTGATACTGAATTTTGATGACGATGATGATATGCCATTAGTTTATTTAACATTGTTGCACCAGGTTTATGATTATTAACCAATACAACTCTTGCCATAACCATTGTTGATGATGCTGATAATGATGATAATGAATATAGGGCCAATATAAAAAGTAAACTATTCAATAGAAAAATTGTCAACAATATTTTTCCATCATCACCGATAATCATCCAATTATTTTTATTATTCGATGATGGTGATGACGATGATGATGAATGATACAAATGATGATGTTTCGATAATGATGATGATGATTTTGATAAAAATTCTTGTAAATTCTGATCACATTCTTGATTATAATGAAGATGACGACGATTCAATAATGACTTTGATGATGATGATGATGATGTGGATTTAAAATCACTGATTTGTTGTTGTTGTTGTTGGTGGTGGTGATTAGTGGTTATATGATGATAATGATAATCATCATCATTAGATGAAATGGCTTCAAAATCATCATCATCTTCATCACCACCACCACCAGCTACAACATTTGAGAACATATCGGAACAGATCGGAATATTATCAACAAGGACTATGGTCATATTCTGTGTGTTGATCGAATCAATTCAATAGTGATGGACGAATAATGATGATGATCAAATCGAATCGTTCGATCGAATGAAACAAAATTTTTTTTTGTTTTGTTGTTCAAAATTGATTTTCGTTTATCGATCCGGTGATGATGATAAACTTAAACGTAACGGTTCAGCAACACACACACACATACATACGATGGCGGTCGACGACTTTATTCTCCAATGGTTTTTGTGTGTGTCCGAAACAGAAATGTTAAAGACCCTTCTATTCTCACCTAGACAAACATGGATCAAAAAGGAAAGATGAAAAAACCCGTAAGAAACAAGTAAAGAAAAAAAAACGAAAACCTTCTTATTCTTGTATCATCATCATCATCATCGCCATAGACATATTGACTATCAAGCTGGTTTAATGGTCATAATCGTGTTTATGGGATGATGATAAAGATTGTTGTGTATGGGGTATACTGACCTTCAAACTTCTACGAAAACCATAAACAAACCACAAACGGGAAAGGTGTTCAAACAGGTGTTCATCAGTAGAGTAGTTGTGTGAATGCACACAGACACTTGACCGATAATGACCGACGATAAGATAGAAAAAGAACAAACAAACAAACAAAAACGACAAGTTGATTGAACATTAAATAAAAAACGGAATAATTCTTTTTCTTCTTCATGATGATTGTGATTGATTTTTTTTTTCGTTGTAAATCAATCGAATTGATTTTCCTATCATCATCATTGCATTAATCGATTAAGGCATTTAAAAACAAATTTTTTTTGTTGTCTTCAGGATGGTTGGTTATTAGGTTTCCACTCATTCATTCCTATGTGATGATGATTTAAATTCAAAAGGTCAAGATACTTTTGAGAATCGTCTTTTTCTTATTCTTCGTTGTCGTCGTCGTCGTCGTCGTCGTCTGTTCAACACTTTTTTTCATCATTAGGAAAAAAAGTCCATTTCATTAATTTTATTGCATAAAAAAAATTTTCTTCTTACTTTTTAGGCGCCCGGTAAGTCGGATAAGATTATGATTAAAACGGTAATTTCGTTTTTTGTTGTTGTTCGGATTTTTTGCAAAACAAAAAAAAATCTCATTCGAAAAATTTTGAGAAAAAAAAATTTGGCGACTATTTCGAACATGTGTGTCTGATATGAACTGGTTGTGTATGAATCGAATTTAATTGATGATGATGATGATGATGATGGTCAACAGTCAACAACCGATCAACTACTAACTGGATTTTGGATGAATTTTTTTTCTGGTTTGGTTTCAATTCCGCATTCCCGCTGTGAATGTGTTTGTGATTTCGAGTTTTTTTCTTCGTCTTCGTTTTTTTTTTGTATATTGACTCATCATCATCATCATCATCATGATCGAATAATTGAAAACAGTGGTCAACAACAAACAAGAATGAATGTGATAAATTTAGATTGTTTGATGGTTATCAATCAAGGACGACAATGATTTTTTTCCTTTTCTTCATTCAGCTATCAATCACTCAATTTGAATCGATCCATTTTTTTGGCTATTATTTTGCAATCTAAAAAAAAACACGATAAACATCATCAAATAGAAATCAGAATTCAATGAGAATTTGTCATTTTGTTTCTTAGAAATCGAAAGATTGCAAAAATCTAATTATCAATTTAGCTCTGTCGATATTCGGATATATTTGAAAAAACCACTTCAAGGCATATGTTCAACACCTGAGTGAGTGTGTCAAATGAAAATTTTCGATTTTTTAATTTTCTTTCATTTTTATTTTCAATGACTATTTTTAGCCAAACAAACAAACAAACACAATCAACATGTTTTCATCAAAAATTCACAGTTATCGTCAAGTTGTTCCAAGATCATCATAAATGACAATCATTCAACGAAAAAAAAAAAAATGGCCAGTCAGTCATATAACAACAATGTCCACTTATGTCCACCAAAAGCCATCATCAATCAAACTCATCAAGGATTAGGATAGATTTAGATAATCATCAATCATTTTATTATGATAAATAATCTCGAATAATTTTTTAATATGAAAAAGTTTTTGCACATGTGTGTGTATGTGTGAGTCGATTTTCGATTTGTCAAGGCTGTTTTTTTTTCGAAATGATGGCTCATAATATTTGTAATGAAAAATTTTCATATTTTAACCATCAATGACAATTGTTGAAAAACTGAATCCATAATCATCAAATACTCACACAATCTCTGCAATGATAATAATTAATTGTGATGATGACCACTCGATGATGGTGATGATGATATTCGTGGTAATACGAAAAAGAACATTCCAAAATATGTGGTGAAAAGCTATGAATAATGAAATGAAATGAAAAATTTCAAATTTAAGAAAATTTATCATTCATCATCGTATACGATAATAAATGTGTATACATACATTAAATATAAATTTATATGTTATCGATCCAAGCACCAAAATACATGGACCATATTTTGGTCCATTTTGTAAACGATCAAATAAATCAACCAATTTTAATTTCAATGATAATAATGACCAATCATTGAATGGAATATTAATTGATTGTAAAATAGATGGAAGATAAACACCGGTTTGATGCATTGCTTTTGTTTGTTTTGCAAGATCCAAAAATGATAATAATGTTGTCAATGCATGAATCGATAATATCAAATTAACAGTAGCCAGATCAAGCCAAATTAATTTATCCAACCAATAAACTGATAATCCAATCACATCAAATGGTACGCTCAATATAAGATAGAACAGTAATGCTTTACTCCATAATTCACCATATGAATTCATATAATCATTACAGATTTCACCATGTTCACGATAAATACGTGCTAATTGCAACCGTTGTGGCTTTGGTAATGATCGATATTTTCGTTTCATACGGTTATTTTTCATGTTACGACAATATTTAGCTAAATTTTGTAACATTCGATTAATCCGTAATATTAGGCTATAATTCAATAATGTACAGCCAGATGATAAAATGGCAAAAAATAATGCACATTGTATGATGACAATGATATTATGAACCAATATTATTGAATCGATCGCAAACAGAAGACGATACATGATGTTATAATGATGTTTATACGGTGGTGATGATTTTTACATTATAATCGATAATAATGAATAAACATGGTGGAACTATGGTCAATATTCATGAATCATCAATCAATTAATCATTCAACGCTGATTAAATCAATCAATAAAAAACTTACTCAAACAAAAATGTATCAAACATATGATTGGATCTACTAATGATAAAAATTTGATGACTTTCAATCGATCATCAGGCATAATTGTTTGTTTGATATCGATACGTTTTAATTTAGACCATTTATATGGATCTAATTCAATTGTTTCTTTCTCAATGATCATTTGATATTCAGTCGATAACATTGTCAATGATTTTCTTACGATATCCGGAAGGAATTGATATTTGCATAATTTATTCCAATTTTTATGGAATATTTGTCTTTTAATAGTAGCTATTTCATGCTGAGGTCGACAACATTGACGATATTGTTCCAGATTAATGATAAGATATTTATAAGGAGAACTAAATGTTGGTGAATCTGTATTACAGAAAAAGAATGTAATCTTACCGACGATACCTAGCAGTGTTATCATGAATATTAACATTAATGCCTGGAAAAAGAAACGTGGATTTGATACATAACGATAATAACAGAATGGATCCATACGCCAATATTGATGATGATCCACATCGTCATCATCATTGTGGCCATTACTCATGTTATAGCTGATAACACCGGATAACATTCGTATCACCCATATTGATAATGATAATATTTCACCACCATGTTTAATCTTATACCATTGTTGATGACGATATTCAATAATCTCTTTGAACTGGTAATAGAAAAAACTATCTATACGTAATAACATTCTCCGAATTCAGAATCGCTCAAAATGACAATCACAAACATATTCTCGATGTTTTTTCCTGTTATTACATTAAAAAAATATTAACCCTTGAAACATTCCGTTTTGTTCGGGCAATATTGACCCATTTTTGAATGTATTTTTTTCGGCGAGACAAACATATTTCGAAAGAAATTCATTAAAAATAATCAAAATTGTTTTTTTCTTTCTTCTTTTTTTTATTTCATTTTCGTTACGAATCGATCACATATAATATGAATGAAAACAACACGACCATTAAATAATCACAAGACAATGGTGAGATCGTCATCATCATCATCATTGAAAAAAATTTTCATACAATCTCTTGCGTTTTCTTCAAATCAATTTTTTCGATTTCGAGTATGTTTGTTCGTTCAATAATCAACACACAAATGACAGTCATTTGAATAAATGATGATGGTGATGATTAATGATCAAATCGGTGTATATATTAAATATTTATCAATTAACTCTAATCATCTGTTAGTAGATGGCGACACTCTTTTTGATGATAATGACGATGATCAAATTCGTGGTAATACGAAAAAAAATGTTCCAATATAAGTGGCGAAAAGCTATTTGAATGAAATGAAATGAATGGAAAAATTTTTGAAATTTATTTTCATCACAAAAATTTATCTTACATCTAATATAAATTGATGTGTAATGGATCCAAGTAACGATATTCGCGGACCATATTTTTTCCATATTTCAAACGATCATAAAGATCATCCATTTTTAATTTCAACGATAATGATGAATAATCATTAAATGGTAGCAGATCAATTGAATATAAAATGATTGGAAAGTAATCACCGGTTTGATGCATTGCTTTTGTTTGTTTTGCAAGATCTAGTAGTGAAAAAAATGTTATCAATGCATGAATGGATAATATCAAATTAACAGTAGCCAGATCGATCCAAATCAGATTTTCTAACCAATAAGCGGATAATCCAATAGCATCGAATGGTACACTCAATACCAAATAGAACAGTAATGCTTTACTCCATAATTCACGATATGAATTCATATAATCATTACAGATTTCACCATGTTCACGATAAATACGTGCTAATTGCTGCCGTTGTGGTAGTGGTAATAATCGATATTTTCGTTTCATATGGTTATTCTTCATGCTTCGACAATATTGAGCTAAATTTTGTAGCAATCGATTAATCCGTAATATTAGACTATAATTCAATAATGTACATCCAGATGATAAAATGACAAAAAATAATGCACATTGTATAACGACAATGATATTATGAACCAATATTATTGAATCAATCGCAAACAGAAGACGATACATGATGTTATAATGATGTTCATCGACGGCGGTGATGATTTTTACATTATAATCGATAATAATGAATAAAGCTGGTGGAACTGTGGTCAATTATTCATTAATCATATTAATCACATTCACAGCTAATTAAATCAATCAATGAAAAACTTACTCAAACAAATATGTACGAAACATATGATTGGATCGACAAATGATAAAAATTTAATGACTTTCAATCGATCATCAGGCATAATTGTTTGTTTGACATCGACCCGTTTTAATTTAGACCATTTATATGGATCTAATTCAATTGTTACTTTATCAATGATCATTCGATATTTTGTCAATAACAGAGTCAACATTTTTCGTACGATATTCGGTATGAATCGATTTTCACCTAATTTATTCCAATTTTTCTTGAATATTTGTCTTTTAATAGTAGCAATTTCATGCTGAGGTCGACGACATTGACGATATTGTTCCAGATTAATGATAAGATATTCATAAGGAGAACTAAATGTTGGTGAATCTGTACTACAGAAAAAGAAGGTAATCTTTCCGACGATACCCAACAATGTTATCATTAATATAAACATTAGTGCATGAAAAAAGAAACGTGGATTCGATACATAACGATAATAACAAAATGGATCCATACGCCAATATTGATTTTGATCCACATCGTCATCATCATTGTGGCCATTACTTATTTTATAGCTGATAACACCGGATAACATTCGTAGTACCCATATTGATAATGATAATATTTCACCACCATGTTTAATCTTATACCATCGATGATGACGACATTCAATAATCTCTTTGAATTGGTAATAGAAAAAACTATCTATACGTAATAACATTTTGTTGATTTCTTTGATTACAGAATATCTCTATATCAATCCCAAACACTCGACTACATACGATATGCAATTTTTCTTTGGTTTTTGTTTTGCCAATTAAAACAGGAAAACAAATTTCATTCCATAGAATTTGATATTCACCACAAAGTTCTACATCGTCTAATTGATATAATCAAAAGTTATGTTTCGAAACCCTTTACATATACACAAACAAGGAATGAATTAATTGTTTTATTACCACATAATTAACATGAATATATAAACAAATAAAAGAAATCATCAATTCGGATGAAAAAAAGTTTTTTTTTGCGTTAAATCAATTTTTTCGTTAACGATTTTTTTTTTCTTAAATCGAAACAAAATCAAATAATTCCAATAGCTTGTGAGTAGATGGCGCCACACTAAAGTCATTTTATAGCTGTGATTCTTGCAAAAAGAAACCTAATATTTGGCGTTTTTTCATTTTGAAGAATCCACTATATTCCAATGGCAATTGCCTTTAATTGTATTCCCATTTCCTATGTGGCATTTATCGTTGTTACATTGTTTTTTTTTTGAGCGAAAGGAAAAAAAAACGCGAAAAATTTTATTATAGTCGTGTAACTTTCTCTTTCATTCATTTCTTTCATCATTATAAATCAGTCTCTTCACTATTCGTTTTTTTTCTATCTCTTTTTCCAAGTAATTTTCATCATCATCATCATTTTTGTAGTTGATGAATTTCATTATGTTGTTTTTTTCCACAAAACTTACGTACAAACGTATATGTACCACATTGCATTTCAAACATCTCATCATCAACAATGAAATAGAAAAAAAACGAGGAAAAAAACAACAACAACAGCCATCTTTAGATCGACAAACAACCAATCAATTTAAATTCAATATATTCGATGACATTTCGTTAAAATAAATGTGACTGGTGTTTGTATGTGTGTGCGTTCGATTATATTATTATTAATGTCATCAATTTAATCAAGAAAAAAAATGTGAATTAAACAATTTGATTTCAACAGCAAATATTTGAACAACAAACAACAACAGCGAAACCAACAGGTAAGAGAATATATTCTTTTAGGTCACTAGATTTAAAAATGTTTGATCAATATTTACCGAAATCAAACACACATTACATGAATAGATCAGAAACAATAACAACAAACAAAAAATTCGGAAGCGGCACCATCGGTGGCGAAATTGTACCAAAAAAAATGTGAAAATCTTTTTTCGTTCGTTCGATATAACTGGTTTTTCATTCCTTTTCTATTCTTATATAATATCAAATTGTCAACAACAACAATAACAAAACAGTTTTTCTTCGTTTTTTGTTTATAAGCATCCGGTTTTTTTTCACATTTCTTTTTGTTGTTGTTGTTGTTGACGATTATATGATGATGATGATGATGATGATGATGATAATTTCATTTCTGTATGACCCATTCTTCAATCTATTATGTAGCAATTATGTTACGGGGAAAAAAAAGAAGATTTTGTCATTTTGTTTTGCCTGTGGTTGTTGTTTTTTTTGATGTTTTTGTTTAGAAAAAAAATGACCATTTACCTCGGTAAAGAAAGAAAGAAAGAAAGGAAAAAATTACCGGGAGATAAAATTAATGGACATTTTTTTCGGGAAAACTTTGTTGATTGTCCGTTGTTGTTGCCGATGGTTAGTTGGTTGGCTGGTTTCATGTGAACATTTTTGATTTTAAAAAATTTGTATATGTTTTTTTCTAATCTTAGAAAGTTTTCGTTGTTTGCTGTTGGCTATTTAATCAAATTATATAGATGATGATGATGATGGAAAAAAATGGAACACATCCGGTTTCACACTGATGATGATGATGATGATGATACAGAAATATGACCTAAAAAATGATTCAGAAAATTCTTCCTGTCATCGTTGTGTCATTCAATTTAATAATAGCTTTTCATTCATTGATTTATGAATTTTTTTTATGTGGTCAATTTGTCTATACCACACCTTTCTTTTCAGCTTTATAATATAGATTCACATCTCTTGATTATTATTATTATCGATCGATTGTTTATCCACCATTGTAACAAACGATTATGTAACAGCAACGATTATGATGATGATGATGATGATGACAACCACAAAATTATAATTTGACAATAGATGATTTGAAAAAACAAACGAAAAAAACTGATATATTTGTTTATATTCAAATCGTTGTTTTTCGTGGCCGTTGAACAAGGTCAAATGAAAACATGGTTGAAAATAGAAATTGATTGAGATTTGAAAAAAAAATTAATTAATTCATCAATCAATCTATCAATCCATCTTTTACATTTTACAGCTATAAAGAAATTCATAATTTTTTTTGTCTTTTCTTTTTGTTTTCATTGATGATGATGTCAATTGTCAATTGTTTTTTTTTATTCTTATGGATTCGGGGTACATTTGTTGTTGTTGTCGTTGTTTGATGTAAATGCTGGTGGTGGTCACAATGTAAATAAATAATGAATGATGATGATGTTAAGTGCGTACTTTTCAATCTAGCTGTAATCAATCAAACAAACAAAGGAAAAAAAATTTCTTGTCAATAAAAGTAGGGAAAAACCGGCGAAAAAAAATTTCAAATTTTTTTTTCACTAACCTGTTGTTTTGTTTTTTTTTTTTTGTAAAAAAAACGTTTAAATTCATCAATAATCGATTGACCATCATAGATAGTCGCCCATCCATCACAAACATTATCTATTAAATTAAATCAGATTAAAAATTATTTGTTGATGATCGTAAACAACACACACACAACGATTTTTGAATTAAAAAACTTATTTGTAACCGAAACGCTGAATGAACTTAACTTGTGTGTTATGTACTGACCTTCAAAATTATCTAAACGATGATGATGATGATGGTGAGATTGGAAAGAAAACGAAATGGAACGTACAAACAAACGAAGAGAAAAACATCCCGAAAAATTTTTGATGAACTTTGAAAGATAATAATTATATTACAATTATCATCAAACATAATTATGGATGATATTTGCAAGATTTTCGTATCATCACGAAATAGTCACACGAATTTGTTTGTTTTTTTTTCGAATGTTTGTGATCGGCTATATCGACACACACACACACACACACACCCATCTGTTGTTAGTTTTTCATTGAGCAAAAGTTTGTTGTCAAATGATGTGACAAATTTTTTTTTTGTTTCGAATAATTTTCTGCTGCTGTACATGTTAATTACATTGGATGAAAAATTCAATTTGAATTTGTCTATTGTGTAACATGATGATGATGATGATTGTGTGTTGATAGTTAATTGGCTCTGAAAAAAAGGTTCCAACAACAACAACAGGTTGATCCAAAAAAAAAGATGAAAATAAAAAATTAGCGCCCATCTTTCGCTTGTTATCATTATCATCGTTCAAGTTTTTTTTTTTTTTTTTTTGATTTTCGATGTGAAAATTCTGATGTGAAATTTCTCATTATTTTTTTTTTTTTTTGAATTCAAATCATTATACAGCAAATTAATTTGATGATGTAAAAATTTCCATGTTCCAGAAATGATCCAAAACAGAAATGAAATAAATTATCATTCTACAGGATCCAGGTGCTGCTGCTTCTGGTCATGTTGTATCATCTATGCATTTGGAAATCAACGTAGAAAAAAATATGGTTGTGACATTTTTGACCTTTGATAATGATGACATACACACACACACACACACATACGAAAAACCCACATATTTTCAGAATTTTTTGTTTTCACCGAATGACCTTTGTTTGACCTTGAGTTGAATTGTTTGTTTGTTGCTAATGTAACCCTCCTATATAATTAGCATACACACACACACATACACACACACGTGTTTGATGATGATGTTTGATGATGATGGTTCCGACTAATTCGTGCACGAAAATGATAATTTTATGTCTGTATGATTGCAACAAAAAAAAAAATTTATTGGTTTTTCAGCTGTGCAATGGGTAGATTCAAAAAAAAAAAAAAAAAAATTTGTTTCTGGTTTTCTCATTTTCACACATTGGAATAAAATTTACATATTTTTTTCGGCAATACACACAGACAAGACAAGATTCACACACATTTATGTTTTTTTTTTTTTTTTTTTGATTGCATTTGATCAATAATAAAATTTCATTGGTCATGATGATGATGATGATGATGATTGATTGATTTGAATCGAAACGAATCAATACGAATTAAACTGAAATGAACATTTACAACATGATTCTCACGAATTGATCAATTTACGAATGAATGATCCGTGATGGTCATCATCATCATCGTATCGTATCGTTGGATGTTGCTGTATAACAAATTAATTTTTTTTTTTTTTTTTTGAAAAACAAATGAAAATTATCATTGAATTTTTATTGTCCATTTCTGTTGTTGTTGTTGTTTTTTTTCGGTTGTCCATTGATGCATGACCAAACAACAACAACAACAAAATTGAAATTGAAATTGATATATACACACACACACCAGGTGTTGATGTTCCTGCAAAAAAATTTTCATCAACAACATCAACGACAACGACAACAAAATCATGATCATTCAATTCAATGTTTGTCCTTTGTTTGTTGTTTGATGATGGTTTATTCATAATTTCATGTTTAATTAATTAATTTATTTAAAACAAAACAAAACAAAACGAAAAAAAAAACTGACAAAAATAACACGTAGCTCGTGTTATTTTGTTTGTTTGTTTGTCTATGTGTGTAGGTGGATTTGTGTGATTTTTTATGTTTCTGGCCTGTGGTTGCCTTGTTTTTTGTTTTCATTTCATTTCATTTTTCATTGTTCAATTTTAAATTTTTCATTTTTTTTTGGAATTTTAAAATTCAAGGATTTCACGTCCTCACACACAGACCGCTATTTATAACCGGAACATTTCACTGTATCCGATTGATTGATTGATTGATTGGTTGATTAATTGATCCTGTGAAATGAAAACAAAAACGTTTAATGACCTCCAAGAGTCATTGAGAATTTTTTTTTTTTGTTGGTCACCCAAAATACTAAATTATCATGATGATTATGTAGAAAAAAAATTGGTATACAACAACATCATCGCTCAGACTTTTATCGAACCATGAACGTCTGGTTTTTGTTTTTTTTACAGAGATAGATAGATAGAGAGAGAACAAAAATGAAACAAAAATCGTAAAAAAATGGAAATTTTCCATTTACATAACCATAAATTTTTTTTTTTTTTTTTGAACAAGAATGATAAAATGAAATGAAATGGAAAACATTTTCTGTCGAGTCATTCATTTCATCAAATGGGTCCTAGTCTGCCGGGAAACCAGATTTTCTCTCTCTATTTGTGTGTATGTGACAATGGCAGTAGAATGTTTTTTTTTTTCAAGACCAACGACACCACAACCACACCAACACACATGTCATCATGTCACATCATCGCGTATTACATGTGTGTGTGATGGCTACCATGACGACCTTTCACCTTTGTTGTTGTTGTTGTTGATTTTCCATTCTCCATTCTGAATAGAAAAATAAAATTTGAATTTTTCTGGTCAATTTCAGGCAACACCCACAACCATCTACCTATCTAATCAAATTCACCAATCGACCAACCAACCAACCAACCAGCATTATTTTCGACTGCTGCTTCTACTTCTACGAATTTTATCATCATCACCACCTGCAATTATGTAAGAATTTTGGTTTATTCCACCAAAAAAGAACTTTGACATTCAAATCTTTGTCATTTTGTCATTTACACAACATGAAAGCCTAGAAAAACAACAACAACAACAATACAGAAGTCGATTTTATTTGTTTATTTGTTAAAAATTACTGACAAACCACCACCCCCCATAAAATACTGACCCGAATAATGGTAGTCATTTTTTAAATTTTCAAATAAATTTCTTCATTCATTCATTCATTCATCATTATCGATTACCAATCGTCGTCGGTTGTCATTTTTTTTTATAAATTTTGAGCTAGTGAAAGAGTGATAGAAATAGTGAGAGTAACATCCATTGGTAAGTGAAACTTTTCTTCGTTTTTTTCACACACACACACACGCACACAATAATTTCATCGTTGTTGTTGCCATCACGACTACGACGACGACGACGACGATAGGATTCAAGGCAAACCACCTGTTCAGTGTGTGTGTTTGTTGCACATTTGATTGGTTAAACCGATCCAATCATCAATTTTTGGTTTTTTGTTTTTTTTCCATTCCATTTCATTTGAATTTTTTTATTTTTCATTATCAGTTAGATTTATTTTTGTTGTTTCAACATTTCATTTCACAATAAACGTTCCATTTGATTGTTTTTTGTTTGTTTCATTACCATCATCATCATTGATAATTGTCAATGAGTGGTTCCAAGTGGAACATTTTTTTTTTGTTTGTGAGCTAATTTATTGATTAATTGATGGTCACGACATTTGTGTGTGTGTATGTGTGCGTGTGTCTGTTAAAAATTCGAACGATTCGTTTGTCTGATTTTATTTTCATTGACAATTTTTAGGAACAGCAACGTAAAAGTGAATTGAACCATAACAACAGCAAAAAAAACCGTTTGTTTCATCATCACTAATTTCGTTCCGGCTATACCATTACCTGTTGTTGATAATGATGATGATAACGTGTTAATGTTAATATCATCATCATCATCATCGTTGTTGTTTGTTGTTGAAATAATTGTTGTGGAACGTTGAAAAACAACATCATCGTTAATTATCAATCAATCAATTGATTGATTGATTGAATAAAGTCACGCGATCGATTTTTTCACCGGTTAACGATAAAAAGACAATGAACAACAAATTAACAACAACGACGAAAACGGCAACAACATCATTTGGTGTTGGTGGATCGAAATTTCCGTTAACATTTGCAAATGCTACTGCTGCTGGTCCATCATCTCGTTCTACTACCGCCACTACAATGATTATGAATAATGTTGGAACATCAACACCCAGTTTCAATAGTTTTCCAATCGGTGGTATTATAAATCCAATTTTTACCGATCCATTAGTTCAGATCGATGAAATTGAAGCAACAAATACGGAACGTGAATTGGAAACATTTCCATCACCACCGCCACCACTTTCATCGTTATCATATTTACCAAAAACAGCATCAGCAGCAGCAGCATCAAAACCAACAACAACGACAACAAAACCGGAAACAATTGATCGTACGGATTCAGCATCAAATGTTTCAGCATCTACTGTGATTACAAATACTAGTTCTACGGGTGGATTATTACCCGATTTAAATCGTTGTTCATCATCATCGAATCATCGAAGACATTCATTACAACAACAACAACAACATCAACATCAGCATCAGCAGCAGCAACATCAACATCAACAATACGATTGTCCAGATTGTCAACAATTTCATCATAATCATCATCGAATTTATGTTCAAAATCATCATCCACACCCTCATCATCAAAAGCATAATAAACGTCCCGTTTATTTGCCCACAACGTCATCAGGTTATGCCCCTTATCCACCACAATGGTATTATCTATTAGCAGCGGATACGAAAAAATTCCGTAAACATCGTCATACACATTATCGTCGTGATTGTCGCCAATGTAGAGAGATTGTTCGTTCGACATTTGAACAATATTATCTTCGTGCTGGTCAACAACCACAACCACAACCACATTTATTATCATCATCATCGACAACAACAATGGGTGAAAATTCATCACCAGATTCTATTGGATCAATTTCATTGGATCCTCATTATCATCAGCAACAGCAACCATATTCATCATCCGCATATCATTCACGTCCACCTCCATCGCCAACGTTTTTAGCTAACAATAGTCCAACACCATCACCATTAGGTTTCTATAGCCGGTATGATTTTGTTTTTGTTTTTGTTTTTATGGTCATTTTTATAGCATATTTTAATCAAAATTAAAATTAAAATTACAGATCCAGAGCTAGTTGTGGCCATTCATGTCTAAAATTTACCATTTTATTCTATTGTTGTATTTCTGTCATTATGGCCATTTGTTTTATCTGTTATCTGACACGAATGTTTGGCTTGATGGCACCATCTGGTGGAAATTTTATCGCTTATTATCCATCAAAAAATTATTCAATCATTGATGCTGGTGGAGATAATAATCATTTCATTTCATCAATAAATTCAACACCAACAAATGAATTGAATTTATCCGATAATGATGATGATAATAATAATATTTCTTCATCGATAATGATAACGGGCTCTAATGATGTTATGGATCCAGAATTGCCGGCAACAAGTTTATTGGAAACTATTCGTTTGGAAATGATTGGCCTAATAATCTCTTCGGCATTTATGATTATTTTCATACTTGGTTTAATAGGCGCATTTCTTGAATCAATTCTTTGTCTACGAATATTTGGTGCCATTCTTTCCTATCTATTTTTGTTGACATTTGGTTCAGCACTTTATATTGTCATCTTGTTGATCATATCACATGTTCAATTGAAATTGATTCTTTCAACCATTTCTTGTGCCGCTGTTGCCATCACCATTCATGGTCTGTTAGCCATAGCACCATTTGCATTTGCCGATTTAATTAGTGAAGTATGTGATATAATTGGAATTGAAAATTTAATTTCTCATTCATTTCTAACTTTTATATTTATCACATGACTAGGAAAGTAATGAAAAATTCACAGAAGCAGCTGCAGCAGCTACAGTTATGGCCAATTCAACATATTTCAAATATCCATCCGTTCGTTTCTTTTCACAATTACCAATTCATCATCATCGTCATCAATATAATAAAAGCGGTTATTTTGGTTTCACTAATCCTGCTACATCGTTTTCTTCATCATCTAATCGACCGAATACTAATACTAATATAATTTATCCAACATCATCAAGCCAACAAACATTTTATCGAGATACCCCTATTGAAAGTATACCAACATCTGATGAATCATTACCATTTACAACACCAACAAATAATAACAATCCAAGCAACATAAATCAAGGTCCAATTGATAATATATCATCAGAAGGATTAATACCACCATTAATGAACAATGTGAATGAACATCGAATCCAAAATAATTCATCAGGACAACAACAACAACAACAAACTGTACGATTCACTGATAATTGGATGTAGTGGTAGTGGTTTTCAATTAGTTAGTCTAAATATTTCAATGTGTAACAATAAAACAAAACAAAAAAATTTATTTATTTTTTTTTGATGAAATAAAATACATACATTTTTGACTTTTTCAACTTTTTTATTTTAAATAATTGAATAACAAAACATCAGCTGATATATAGAAAATTTATGTGACCACCAATTGTTAACAATGATGATAATTTATTTCAGAAATTTAATAAGTACAAAGTATATATGATTTTAAATTTAATGCTTATCGATTTTTGGATGAACAATTCTTCTGCATAGGTTTATTCTACATTATGAATGATTTACAATAATAATAATAATGATCACTGTCAATGTGGATGATGTTGAATGTTTGAACGTAGATAACGAACTATAAAAACACCAATCAATGCAAGTGTTGCAAATCCGATTCCGGCCACTTGTAACATTGCCCTATCCTGTGGTAGACATCGATGGATAATGCTAGAAATGTAAAAAAAAAAACAAAAAGAATCACAATTAGTAATGAATACAGAAATAATTCAGTAAATATAATATATACCCCATGTTACGAGCTATCCAAGAGTTGGCCGGTTTGACCAGTAACAGATGGACTAGCTTATTCAGATTTGGATAAGCGGCCATTGTCACCAGTTTTTCATACACTGCGAGCGTTCCATGTGCTGTAGCCATTGATGATTCGGATGTGTCGATTTCATTGACGGCCGAAAATTTATGCAACGGAGTTAGTTTGTTGGTCAGGCAAAACTCTTCCGGTTGCTGTGGATAATTCTGTTTTACTTGCGCCAGGTCTTTTTTTGAGGCAACCAACAGAACAGGAAGCTTGGTGTTGTGGAAGTTTTTCTGTTTTTATTCAATAATCACAAAAAAATGAGTAAAAAGAATTCCAAAATGGTAGCCAAACTTACCATGTAAGTCTTGGCAATCACTTGAAAAGGAAGAGCTGTCCGATTGATCGAACATCATACAACAAACATCACAGAACAATTCGGGCGCTTTGACTAATGTGTTCACGTTAACAACATCAATTTCACGAATCTGCAAAAGTAAAACATTCATTCATTGACTTGGTAATCGAATTCATTCATCAAATTACTTACGATTAGATATTTATTCTGTCCATAAACGGTGATTGTATTGATGACATAATCATTATATAGATTGTCCGACTTTTTCACTGATCGTTGACTAAGATTAGCAAACTTTTGCTGTTTGTTTATGAAACGACTCATGAAACAACTTTTACCAGCACCTTTAGGACCAACCAAATTACAGAGGAAAACATTACGAGCGGTCTGTTTCTCGTACGTATCCATTCGTCTGTCTTTGATTACTGTATTGAATGATTATTATTATTATATCGATTATTGATATAGAGCAATTAAAGAATGATGACCATTAATGGAAAACTTACTATGCAGTGCGGATATTTGGCTTTTCTCGCCTGATACAAACATATACCCAAATAGGCTGAGATATTTGAGCGTCTGTTTAAGATCGATAAATCCGGTCAACGTCCAAATGGAAAGAAATCCCTGTAACGTAATCCATCCACGTTCGTTTGTATGTACGATCTTGGTAAAGTCACATTGTAGCCACTTGGGAGGTTCATCGCAAATGGAAAACATGGCAGCTATCTCGCCAGGTGAAAGCGCACCATCGTTGTCTTTATCGTATTTGTGGAACAAATTTGTAAAAAATTGATAGCCTTTAGGTGATAGTTCGATAAAACATTCTGTCGGCAAAGTCAAGCTCGGATAAAGGTAATGGTCATCGAGGGTCACGCTGTTGTTGTAGCCAAATTTACGAAGCACAATCCAGATGAGTTCATGGCGGCCACGTTGAATGAAAAATGTGAGCAGGAACATAAAACCAGACAGTGTGATTCCATTTTCGGATACACCGTCCGGAATGATACTTTTCAGAATGTATTTGACATCATCAAGCGTCTGACTTAACAGATACGAATCAAAACAATAAGTTTGAAAATTGTTCAATTCAAGATCATTAAGGACGCCATCATTGTCCAGATCACAAATGGTGAATATCCGTTTCAGGGCAATTTTACAATTATCAGATAGCTTTGTTCATTTTGGGTTTTTGAAAAATTAATCATCAATCAATCAGTGAGAACTATAGAACTTACATCTCGTTCTTCTGGGTAATAGATTGGTGTGACCGGATATAGTACTGTCTTCTGAGCGTAATAGAAAATCTCTGATAGATTGTCCAGATTTTTGGCTGAACACTGTAATTTAGTTTGTAAATCAAAAAAAAATCGCAACAAAAAAAACCAAAAACAAACCTCGACACAGATTTCAATTTCTTTATATTGGTTCATAAGTGGCAACACTGTATCTATTGAACTGTATTCGACTAGATCGGATTTGTTGCCCACCAGAATGACCGGTACGTTGTGATTTTCTCCCAAATTTTGATGGATGAGTGGCAACCAATATGTGGATATCTTATCAATGGTCATTTCGTTATCGATTGCATACACAATACAAATAACGCTTGCACGACGAAGTTCTTCATACAATTCTTTTTCCGATTGCTCTTGTGCGGAATAATCGACGATTACGGTCGGTATGTTGACCGGTGTAACTTCAGCCGGAATGGTGATCTCTTCAAATTTGGCTGGTACTTCTTCATCGAATTCTTCGAACACGAGCGAATAAATCATCGATGTTTTGCCCACCTCACCTGTAATTGAATGAAAACAACAACAACAATACATCAATCCAAAAAACATTAGTATGTAATGAACTTACGTTCACCGACGAGTAGGATACGGACGGTCGGGTCATTTGCATGCGACTGTTCGTTCATCATGTGTATTGATTGGATGTCAAAAGCATTGGTAATTTGTAAAATGATAATTTAATTGTTGATGATAAAAATCACAAAAAAAAAATTTTCCCAAGTACAAAACGAAATATAAGCAAACGAATTGGTGTGTGTGGCTCACACTTTATACACAGAATCCAGAACGTGCTGAACAGAAGGCTAAACTTGTATGCTCAATTTATACGATCCAAGTTATTTTTTTTTACTGATGTGCGAAAATTTTTTATTTCAGGTAATACAAGCTCATATTATTGCAAATTGATCGAATGAACTACGGATATGGTTCATGTTTTTAAATAAATTTTAATTCATCATTCTCTTTATAATCTTCTAAACTTGCTCTTGTGTTATTGTTGTTGTGATAAAATTGTCTATTCATTATTCTATCGATATATCGGCTAAAACAATCAATCTGTCGTTCACTTTTTTATCAAATGTAATCAATACACGCGTATACAAAAAGAAAATGAAATAATCTGCTACGTGTTGCTGTTGTATTAATGTCTTTTTTTTGCAATCAAATCAATCAAATGATAAAATATTAATAAATACAAGCGACATAGAATAGTAGATAGAAATAAAAAAAAAGAACATGGAGTGTGTGTGTGTGAGGGGGGTTAGGCAAAAAAAAAAAATATCACAGCGATGAATGAATGAATAAATGAAAAAATTTAGTGTGTTAAGGGGTGTGTGTCATTCATAAATGGTGATGATTAAAAGTATACGGGTAGGGTAGTAATAGTAATAATAAAATGAAAATGAAAGCGAATTTTTTTTTTTTTTTTTTTGATTCAAATTTGATTTGAAATAGAGAGAGAGAAGAAAAAGACTCAATTTTTAAAAAAACCGGTAAAATTGTTAATTCATAATTGAATTGATGATTGATGTTTTCTGGGTAATGCACAAATTACAAAAATTTTTTTTTTTTTTTTAGTTTTTGAAAATCTGAGAAATTCAATTGAACAAAGCTGTATTCTGTGTGTGTGTGTGTGTGGTTTGTGTGATTTTTTTTTACTACACAAGTTTTCTGTGTGTTTTCGAGTGATGTGATGATTTAATTTGAGAAAAAAAAACGATTCATAAGTTACATTTATACACACAACATAAATGATAAAAAATTATCATCATCATAATCAATCTAAATTTACAATTTTTCTAAATCTTCAAGTGTCAAAGCATTTTGTAATGGTAATGGTGGTAATTCTATTCGATTGCCATTTGGATTATTTGTATTATTATTTCCAATGTTCATAAGATGATTATCGTTGGTCATCGGATGATGATGATGATGATTATTATTAACAGGATTTGACACTTTAAATACATTGAATATATCATTTGGATTCACTATTGTACCTGATGATGATGACGATTTTGAACTGGGCATTTCTGATGATTGTTGTTTGATCGATGAATTATTTGTAATGTTCAATTGTTGCATCAATAGATTTGTCATTTCACTTAGATCTAGGATTTTTTAATAATAAAAAAAAACAAAATCAATTAAAAAAAATTATAAACTAATTATTAATAACTAACTTTTTGGTGTATTATTATCACTATTATTAATTGAATGAGATGATTTTTGTTGTTGTTGCTGTGATTGAATGCTACCCCCAATACCTGGTTCGGTTGTTGAAATTTTTTGCTGCAAATTTGTTTTAGCTTTATTAGCTTGATTTTCATGATCTTTGAGTTTTCGAAACACTGATGTTGGTGTAAATTTTGAATTTTTGAGCATTTTATGCGTCATTGAATTATTATCTTCGCATTGATTAACATCTGGTCGTGATTCATTATTCAACATCATAGCATGAAGATTCATTGGTGGATTTCGAATATTAGTAGTATGACCATGTGGTGTAGGAATGATTCGAAATAGGTTTGATGCCGCTGGATTTGAATGTTGTGGTTGTCCATGATGATCAAGATTCATAAAATGTTTTTCAACAGCAACTCCAGCACCTGGTGCCCTCAATGATGGATGTATCATCATACGTGGAAAACCGCCCATCATGAATGGTGTTTGAGGATGTGTAGGAAATTGCATTCGATTCATTGGCGCCATTGGATTCAATTGATTTAAAGGCATTGTAGCGGATGCGGGATGTAAAGCTGGATGTCCAACGGAAAATAAAGGACGTACACCGGTCGAATGATTAAGAGGAGGAGGCATAACAAATGGAAAACCATCCAATGATGGATGATGCATCGGTGGCGGTGGTGGTTGTTGTTGTGGCTGTGGCTGCAACGATCTTCGTTTTAGTATATCCAATTCTGAAATTTCATGATTCAGTTGATTGTTTGTGGCCGATGATTGATTTTCGGCAACAATTGTTGGTGAATTATGACGAAATGATTTATCAAACATTGCATGTAATGATGTTGAATCAAATGATGATGATAATGACTTGTTATTTTCATCATCAATCATAATAGGCAAATTTGTTGGTGTTTGAGATGGCATTGTGGTTGTTGTCGGTGGTGATTGTGGTGTAGCTAAAAATTTCAACTTTGACATAATGGCTAAATCTTCAGCTGATAATTCATTTTTCATTGGTTTTGGTGTTTGTATCGATGATGATGATGATGATGATGATGACGATGAACCTGTAGTATTATTACTATTCAACAACGATGCTTCCAATTCACTTACATTAACAGCTTTAGACAATTGGATTTGATTAGTTGGCATTTGTGGTAATGTTTGCTGTAATTGAATGATATCGATATTTTTCATTTGAAATAAATCCATTAATGAAATATTTGAATCATTCATAGCGATAGTCGATGATGATGATGTTGATGATAATTTTCGTTCATTATTCCGATCATCATCATTACCATCACGACTATTGTTGGCCATTTTACTTTTAAACCATCGTGCTGAACGGCTAGAATTCATGCCGAAAATCTGTGACAGATCATTATCCAATATCGATATATCCGATGAATCGAGTAACGAACTAAAATCATCTTTTGAAATATCACTAAATAAAAATGATGACGATGATGATTCACCTTTATGAGTTTTTTCATCCAATGATTTTATCATCAATTCCTCATCATTTTCTTCTTCGATTAAATCCCCATCATCACCATTATAATCATCATCATCATCGTCATCAAAACCTTTGAGATCGATAAAATCTGTCATTGATTTTGGTCCATCAGAAAACCATTCTGGTTCTGGTTCATTTTTTGAATTATAATTATCATTCATACGTCCATTATCATAACGATGATTTCTATGATGATGATGATGTGATGATGAACCATCATTACGTCGACCACCACCAGTGCGATGATTGCCACTACCACCACCATCACGAATCATTTTACGAAAATTTGGACTAAAGCGATCGGCGGTACGCCAACTTTGTTGCTGTTGTCCACCAGATGAATGATTATTATATTTACTATAACGATGATAGGTTTTTATCGCATTTTCATTATTATTGCTACTGATATTATTATTTGTATTGCTCATTCCTGATGAATGATTATTATTGTTATTATATGACGAACGATTAGACGTTGATCCACCAGTGGATCGATTATTATCCATTAAAAAATCAATCAAATCATTATTATGACGATCCTTTTTCTGAAACGATAGAATAATTTCTTCATCTAATTCGGGATTTTTCCTATTTTTTTGTTTCGTCATAAATTAAATTGATTCAATTTTTTTCAATGCAAAAAAGACTTACAATCGAGCATGGAATTCTGTTTTTGTCATTTTTGATGTTGGATGCTGCGATAAGGCCAACAATTCATCCTGAAAATCAATTGAATTAGAAAATTGTGATGAAAATCATCGGAACAAAAAACAAACTCACCCTATTGTATTTATAAAATTTTGGTGCAACTTTTTCAAATTTTTTCAATTTTCTTTCAGCTAATCGGCTAAAAGCTGAATATATGATGAATAAATGATTAATTTTTAAATTAAATTGGTCATTTGAAATAAACAAAAAAAAACTCACCACGAGATGTTTGATCGTTTTCGAAAAAATCATTAAAATTTTTTACAGATATTTTATCATTAACAGTGTTCATTATGGTGATCTTTTTTCGTTCAAATGATGAAAACAAAACACAAAAAAAACGACAGCAATTAATTTATCACCGTTATATCGTTCGTGTCTTGAGAGAAAAAAAAATTTTCATCATTAGTACAACACATGGATGGACAAATAACAACAGAACAAACATACCCAAATATATCTTTATTATCAACGACAACCGAATCCAGGGAGAGAAAAAAACGTTCGATTCTAAATTAACAAAAAAAAATGACTCAATCAGAAGAGAAATGTGTGTAAATCGCAGTTGCTTTTGTTAAAAAACCAATCGATTCAATTGTTTTTTTTTGGTGCACCAGTCTATAAACAATTAATGATGATGATGATGATGATAATGATAATCACGGGATTCACAGGGTGTGTGTAAAATGTTTAAATTTTTTTGTTTGTTTGTTTGATACAATCTTCTTCTTTAACAGCGACAGTTTTGTTTCGTCGTTGTTGTTTGTCTTTTTTTTTTTTTTTTTGCTTACAATTTCACGAATTTTTTTCGGTTTATTTAGTTAGTATTTTTGTATAGTAAGATGAATAGCGAGTAAATCAATGATGATGATGATGAAAAGAAAATGACGAATAAAGATGAGGAGGAGGAAACGATAACGTCGTATGAGCATAATAATGCATATTGATGATGATGATGATTCAATTGAAGGTGGAGGAGGGTGAGAAGATGAAATGCAAATGATGATTTTGTATATTCATTCATAAAGAATGTTACATCATTTTTAAAATTTTTTTTCTTTCAAAAGTTTGGTTATGATTAGAATGGAAAAAAAAATATCAAATTACTCATTTGATGATAAAGACTGTTGTTGTTGTTGTTTCCTTTTGCTCTTTTTTTCTCTTCTAGATTTTGATAAGGGTGTGGTAATTTCCCAGAAATAAATAAAATAGATCCTGAATGATGGAAAAAAAAACTGTATAGTCAATCAATCAATGGTAATGTGATTTACTAATTAATTAATTTTTTTTTTTTTTTATTCCAAATAATCAAATTTCATCACAACTTGGAACCCGTTAACCGAATTTGGAATTTTCACCCAAATAAAGAGGTCAAATCATTAAAATTATCGAGATTTTTATCTTTACTTGATTGAAGATCAGAATTATTTTGACTATCAGAAGTTTTATTCGAATCTTTCATTACTTTGAATCGAAAGATTCTCTCATGAATCGCCTCAATTCAATAATCAACATTGTCAATTTTGTCTTTGACAATAATACAAAAATACAAAACAAAAATGATGAAAACCATGTCAATGAACCACTGAGCAAACTCGGCGAAAAAAAAATTTTGTTTTCTTTTTTTTCACCTATTTTTAAATTTCACAATCGAAATAGTTTTTATGTGTTTTTATATGTTTTGTATATACACCAGAAAAATGTTCGAAAAAATCAACAATCGACAATTCACTAATTGAATACACAACCAAAACATATATGATGTATTTAATTTAGTCTCAAGATAATTAATAAAAAAAAATAATAATTATAATCAATTGTATTGTATACAAAGTGTGTTCAGATTTTTTAAGCCATAATAAAGGATTTTCAGAATTATTTGAGCCAATTTTCAGATTTTCAGACTTTTCGCACTACCAGGGAAATGGTTTTTGTTTGATGCAAAAAGATTGACCATTTTTATGATGCAACGCGACCAGTAGGATTCGAACCTACGCCTCCAATGGAGAATGGATCACTACCAGTTCCAGAAATTTCAGAAAAATTCTAATTTCAGAAAATTAGTTTTTCAGAAAACTCCAATTTCTAGTCCATCGCTTTAACCACTCAGCCATAGTCGCAATCACTATCATAGCAGCACTAGCATATCAAACAGAATCGATCAAATACATCATCATCGAAAAATGATAAATCGACCTTTAATCGTGATTGCTAACAAGTGATCATCAATAAATAATTCTTGCAACTGAAAGTTTGTGTACGTCATTTGCCCATATGTGGGGCTTAACCGCCTTAATTCTTAGTCGGTTATTAATTACAAGGGTATTTAAGAAAAATACAAAACCAAAAATAGTACAGAAGGAAGGAAACAATTATTGCATAATTAAACTAGAAAATAAATAAAATTAATGTAAACCAAAAACAATGGCAAAGCTTCATCTTGGAGCCACGCCGACACATCAACATTATTAAATTTGGCATTAATCATGAATCGGGATCTTTCCAAATTGAAAGCAGGACACTCGAGCAACAAGTGAAACGAGGACTGCATCGATGATAAACAAAAAGTTTGTGTACGCTATTTGCCCATATGTGGGGCTTAACCGGTTTAATTCTCAGTCGATTATTAATGATCCGTGGAGAAATGAAGCGATATTTTCATCAACAGCGATTGTGGCGCAATCGGTTAGCGCGTCCGGCTGTTAACCGGAAGGTTGATGGTTCGATCCCATCCAGTCGCGTTTATTTTTTTTTTTTTTTTGAAGTTACAATTGTGTCAAAGGTCGCGCGAATAAACAAAACGAAATTTATATTTTTCTTTTTCAAAGTTACGATTGTATTCTTTTCAAATTATCAAAAAAGTTGATGGTTCGATCCCATCCAGTAGCGATTTTTTTTTTTTAAATTTATGTTACAATTGTTATCTTTTCAATCATCAAAAACAAGGTGACAATACCAGTGTTGTTGTTGTTGTTTTTTTGGGTTCAAAGGTTTTTCTCCTCATCTTATCTTTGATGGAAAACAATAAAGTGGAACAAACAAAGAAGAACAATCATTTCGATGGAATGTGATTAATTAACTTTCAAGATGGTTATGCCAAGATGATATATATAAAACGCACTAAATGTCTTTTTTTTATCAATAATCATGATGATGATGATGGTGATGGTGATTATTATCCATCTATTATCTCGTGGTTGATTATAATCGAGGCTATCAATCTATCTATATTGATAGTAATAAAAATCGAACGATTTATTCATCATCATCATTATTATAACGTATTTTAGTGGATAAAACCAAGAAAGTAATGGATTCGAATGTTATTATTGAAAAGTCTGATGGAAAAAAACAACAACATCGTGGTGGATTCTCACTTATAACGGCAATATTTTTTATTATCGGTGAATTAGCTGGTGGTGGTCTACTTACATTACCGCATGCCATTTCATTAGCAAGTAAGTTTTTTTTTGTGGCTGTTTGAAATTTTTTTTTCTTAAACTTTTTTCACAGGTTGGTTCGGCATACCAATCATATTTTTCGCTGCAATATGTGCCACTATATCGGGTTTTTATCTGGCTAAATCATGGATGATATTGGAAGATCGTTATCCAGAATTTCGCCAAGGTTTGACACGCAAACCATTTGCAACAATTGGTTCATATGCATATGGCCCTTATATGGGTGCATTTGTATCGATATTGATGAATGTAACGAATACCTGTGCAACAACCGTATTCATGTTATTCACAAGTGATCTGTTATCACAATTAACTAGATCATTCATCGGTTATAACATCTGTCAATGGATACCGATTACAAGCGTTTTATTTTTGGTGCCAATACTTTTTGGATCACCAATCGATTTTTGGCCAATCGCTTATATGGCTACATTATCGACGACAATTGGATCGATTTTATTGATCATATCGTTAGCTATACAAGTACAACGTCATGGTTTCATTCATGAATATCGGATACAGAATTTCGAAAGTTTTGCCAGTTGTTTTGGTATTGCATTCTATGCATTTGGTGGTGCAGCAGCATTTCCAAGTTTTCAGAATGATATGCGTGATAAAAATCAATTTAGTAAGGCCGTTATTTTTGGTTTCATTGGTCTTTTGACGCTTTACATTCCGGTGGCTTCATTTGGTTATGCAGCGTTCGGCATGAATGCTGCAACAAACATTCTGAATAATTTTGAATCCGATAATTTACTCAACATTTTCATCATAATTGTTCGTTGCTGTTTTCTCGTTCATTTCAGCGCTGTCATACCGATCACAATCAATCCGGTTTTCTTAGATTTAGAAGAATTAATTCGTATACCAAAAGGTAAATTTGATTATTTTGAATTAAAATGAATATTATCTATAATAATTCCGATACTATTCCGATACTATCGATATATTATAATGAAATTGAATAGAATTCACATGGAAACGATTATTATTCCGGACATTAATGTTACTGTTAATGACATTTTTGGGTGCAACATTTCCAAATTTTGGTCAAATATTAGAATTGATTGGCGGTACAACATTAACGATAATGTCATTTATATTGCCACCAATGTTTTATATGAAATTATGTGATAACTATGAAGAAAAAAACGATGAATATAATTATTCGTTATGGCTAAAAATTGTATTCATTTTATTGATTATAACCGGCACTAGTGGTGGTATTGCATCCACATATGGAACACTGTCACGTTGGGAACCATTACAATCAGCTTGTTATATTGCTGGTAGCCAAAATCGTACGAACAATTGAATTGAATCTGTGATTTTTTTTTTTTCATTCAAATTTTATTTATTGATTCAATTTGGCAATTATTTCAATAATCAATCAATCAATCAATTACATTCATTTAATTCATCGACATTGATCACGATTTTCAAATTGTCGAATTGTATTTTCAATCCAATCAAGATAATAAGAAACTTGTGTAAACACTGTGTTTGGTATACGACCATTATTACAGATACCAGGACCGAATGAAACAAGGCCAAATTGTACATATTGATTACCTTGACGAATAATTAATGGTCCACCAGAATCACCTTGACATGGTGCACTGTTCTCAACACCTTGACAGACCATTGAATTGGCAATATTCACCGGATATTGATATCGACGACATTCACTAAATACAAAATACAACAAAAATTGATCGAAATTAATAAATGAATAGAAAAAAAATCAAAATCTGACAAACCTATCTGAAATGACATTAATATCTGTATATTGTAATGTACGTGCCAATACACCACGATCACGTGTTAATCCCCAACCAGCAACACGTGCCGCACCACGATAATCAAATGGTGGTGAACGTTTCGGTGGTAAACAAATTGCATTGATATTTCCACCTTTTTGATATGTTAATCGTAATGGATTATTTTTCGGCAATCGTATCAATGCAATGTCATTGGTGAATTGACCACGTACGCCACGCCAACCAGGATGTTTGAATGCACAATCAGCATTACGTGAAATACGTCGTGAGTCTCCATGACCACCACGAATCAAACTACCGGCAACAACTTCAACAGCTTGTGCTGAATATGATCCGGTTTGTTCACTGGTAACACAATGTGCAGCAGTTAGAATCCATCGTGGACTAATAATCGAACCACCGCAAACCATGTCACCATCTCGGGTGGAAATACGCAAAAAAACTTGCCATGGAAATTGGCCCGGTGATGCTGGCCGTCCATTTACGATACGATCGATAGAGAAAAATCTTGTACGACCACAATCTGGTACTGAAATTGAAATCGGTTCATTTGTATTATTCGTTGATGATGATGGTGGAAATTGTTCATCTGGAATATCATCATCAATTTCTTGTTCAATAGGATCAGGTGCTTCCGTAGTTGTTGTTGTAGTAGTAGTGGATCGACTTTTAATAAATCGTTTCAGACGTAATGGTCGTGTACCAAATTCATCATCATTAGCCAAAACGCATGTGATCAATAGAATACAATTTATCAACAGAAATGATGATGATGATGATGATTTACAAATAGCAGCCATCGTGTTTTTTTTTTTTTTTTTGTTCAAACATTGACATTCAAATGAAATGGTGAATGTGATTTTTATACCCATTCATGATTCTTCAAAATTATCATTGATAGACGCGACTAAAACGAGAAAGAAAGGATTCACTCGTTCATTCATTTAGCTAAGGAATTTTATCGTCTTCATCTTTTTTTTCTGGTTATTGGCTACACATTCTTTTCATTCTTCATTCTTCATATTTACCATTTTGGTATGATATGATTGAACGAAATGTAAATAGATGAATGAATGATCAACCCTAATAAAAAAAAACGAAAGTTTTTTTTTTATTTCTTTACATATCGCTGTCAATTCATTCGATTACCAGATTGTGTGCGTGTAGGATTGATGGAACGGTGGCGGTCATTCACTTGATTTCACTTTTACTTCACCAAAAAAATTCACTTTCGATATAATCTTTTTTCATGCAATCGAAAAATTTTTTTTTGGTCGATTCGGTGTACACACAGACACAAATCAAAATGTCAATTTGAATTGTAAAAAAAAAAAAAATTTTTGATGGCAAATTGCAAATTGATTTGTAAAATTTGATAACCAAAAAAACAAGAAAACAAAAATTGGTTCGAATGGGGTTCATCATCATTTTGTTTTGACATTCGAACAAATCTAATCTGTATAAGGGAATTATGAAATATGAAAAAAAAGATGACAGCCCAATGATTTTATCATCATCATGGTCATTCATCCTATGAATGGTCCATTTACATGTGTTTTCTTTTTTTACATTTGATCCTATGATTCCGATGTAATACATACATACATACATTATCATTAATGTGCGAAACGCATGCTGATGCTGACATGTTTTATTACCTCTTTATCATCATCATCATCATTGATTGATTGATTGATTAGGATGATAAGAATTTTATTTTTTTTTTTTTTTTGAAAAAAACATATTCATTTTTCATACATCTAGATTAAGTTGTAATAATTTTTTTTTCTTTCTAAAAATCAAAAAAAAACCATAAAAAATATAAACATTAAACATTCTCATCATCATCATTTTTTTTTTTTGACCAAAAAAAGAAAAAAACATAATTATTTAGATAAATATAGAATTAACAAACGCCCAGAAAAAAAACAAATTTCCAAATAATCCATATAACCGAAATGATAAAAAAAACCATTCATCATCTTTGGTCATCATCATCATCGTTGTCTTGTTGTTGTTTATCATTGTCACCTCTTTCTTGTTTTTCTTCTTCTTCTTCAACATCAGCTTCTTCATCTAAATCTTCATCTTCAATTTCAGCCACTGGAAATCGCAGGATGGCCGCTATGCCCGTAAATTGATCCAATTCTGTGTGAATTTATAGAAAAATTTTAAATTTTGAATGGAAAATTATTTCCAATACTTACGTTCACCTGATACATGAAGGCTAGAGAATATTCGTACATCACCACCCAATTCACGAACTTTATCCACAATTTCGATATATTTTCGCCGGATCGTAACGTCTTTATAGCGAAATAAACGATCTGATATTAATAAAGTTTCCACGGCTTGTGCTTCGATTGCACGTTCAACGTGGCGACGGCCATAGAAAGCACGTGATGAATCTGTCATCAGCATACGTTGAAAATCTTGTAATATTTTCACTTCTTTTGCTGCTTTTGTGTCGGCCAATCGATTTTGTAATAATGGATCAGCCAGAATTTCTTTTAGCGAATGTTTAAAACCCGATGATGAATGACAAAGAATGAATTTATTTCGATTATCCAATATTGTTTTATTATCATTCTTTGTGGAATATTCCATTAGATATTGAAAAAATTGATCTTTCACAAAACCAGGACTTGCAATTAGACAACATTTGACAACTGTCACAAAAAAAATCAGCGATTGATTAATCAATTGATTGATTTTCATTCACAAAACATACCATCAAAATTAACATGCCTTATGATTGCCTGAATAATTTGATCATAAAATTTTTGCATCGCTTTCTCGTGTTGATCACAATGTCCACGACGTTTACGTGGAATATGTACATCAATTTTCGATCGTACCAATGTCATTGAATCGGTTATCAGACAAACATGTGCAATACCTTCATTCATAACGATTGCCGCTAGATCTGCATTTTTCATCGGATCACATGCTATTTCCATTCTTTCCATTGAATATGAATCCCATTCTTCTTTCCATTGGGTAAATTTACGATTCAATTCAATATCGATAGTATGATATTGACCAAGTTTAACATATTGATTTTCTGCCACATTTTTCCCTTTTACACGCAACATACAAGCATCAAAATCATAATCAATTGATTCAATTTGGATTGTTAATGTTGTACGAATTTTATTCGCACCAGTTGAACCAGTAGCCGATTCAGTGATTACTTTTCTTAATGTACTAGCACGTATACGATCACCTTCTTGTAGTATATTATATAAATGCCACATATCTTCTTCTTCTTCCGGTATCAATACAACATATCTATTGTGGAAAAAAAACAAACAAAATTTGAAAATTTTTCATTTTTTAATAAATCAATCTTTTATTAACAAACAAATGTGAAAAATGCCAAAAAAAAAATATTCAGAATTACACATAACAAACTAAATTGAATCTAATCATGTAAAATAAAATAATCTCTATGGCCACGTTTTCTCGATGACAGCAACTCCAGCATAACTACGTCCAATACTCATCTCGGATGATAACAATGACCATGAATTTGATTTTGGATCATAAACTTCTACGGATTTCAAATTCGTTTGACCATCTTCTCCACCGACAACGTAAAGCAAACCATCATTTGATACGACTACTGCATTACGTCTAGCGTATATCATATCAGCACATTGTGACCATTGATTGGTGGTAGGATCATAACATTCAACACTTTTACGTATCGCTGGGCCATCATGTCCACCAATTGCATAGATTTTTTCATATAACACTTCAACACCAGCACCACTACGACGTTGTGACATATCCGGGATTCTTTTCCAATGATCTATTTCAGGATTATAACATTCAACCGATGAAAGACATTGACGACTTGAACCATCATAACCACCGACAGCATATAAAAGACCATTTAATGTAACAACAGCAACAGATGATCGACGTGTTGTCATCGGTTCAATAAAACGCCATGAACGTGTAATTGGATTATAAACTTCAGCTGATTGCAGGCCTAATGTTCCATCGAAACCACCGACAGCATAGATAAGACCATTAAGAACACAGGCACCTAATGTTGAACGTTTCACCTCGAGACTTGCACATTGTGTCCATTTATTGGATTTTGGATCAAACATATCCACGGAACGTATACGACATTGACCATTAAAACCACCGATAGCATAGATAAGACCATGATGTACAACGATACCGGAACGACAACGTCTTGATGGCAATTCACAAATGAATTCATTCCATTTATTTGTTGAGAAATCAAAATATTCACATTGACAAATAGCTTTTGGCGCTTGGCCACCAATGACAATTAAACATTGTTGCCGTGTTCTTGATATCCGTTCCCGGAAACGTGCATTTGTCAAATCAAATACTTTTGGTATATTTTTCAATAAATTTGATGATAAATTTTTATTATTCCATGATGACGTAGATGATGATGATAATAATGGGTAATTTTTCAATTTACCATCATCATCATTATCGACAATTTCATCATTCATTGAATCATTACATTGCTGTACGGTAGTAGAAGTCAATAGTAATGAATTAATGTCATAAGAATTTTTCATTAAATGATATTTCAATGCTTCGATAAGTAAATCTTTTGATGCTGGTTCATTTTTAACCAATGGATATTCATTTTCAATATTGATCAATTCTTCTTGATTAAATCTTGGAAATCGGATATGTTCAATTAGCTGCGAAAGATATTGTCGTCGTTCATTATAATCAAACATTATCCAATTAATAACAGCGGCAAGTACAATATGTTCACCTTCATCACCGGTATCAAGATAATCCGAAGAGATAATTTCCACCACACGTTCCGTAGATAATTGTATAAATTCATCATTTTGAAATATTTGTACAAAATTTTGTAAAATGAATGCGAATGTAAAATCTTTTAAATCTTTGCAGCCCATAATTTCAGCAAATGAATATATGCCAATTGCGTTTGATGTTTGTAATTTGGAACGTAAAAATTCACAACAAATCTTGATGATATCTTTACAATTGAGCATTGTTGCTGCTGATAATAACATCTGGACATTTGTTTCATTGATATTCACAATGCCAAGATAGCAATATTTAATTATTTCATTCAAACTATTTCCATCCAGATTTTTTATCGATATCTGATATTGATTTTGTTCAATAAAATTTACATTATATGACGTAGATGCTGATGCTGTTGTCGATGTCGATGATGATGATGATGATATGTTATTGATTCTTGAATCAGCATGATCATCAATAATACAATTAGTGGATTCAGTTGAAAAATCTTGTCCAATAAACATTGTTGAAAAATAATGCATCGATGATGATAATATGGCGCGATGTGCATAAATATGGCAACCATCGTCCGTTACTAGACATACATCACATAATTTTGGACGCATACGATACATTTGTGCTAAATTATTCGAACTATTCCATAATAGTCCTGTAATTGAATTATTATTAAATGATGATGATGATGATGATGATGTTTCAACAACCATTGGCGACAAAGATGATGATGTTCCAATGATCATTGATTGTTGTTGTTGATGTTTTTGATGATATTCATCAAAAATATCGTTTTCTTCTTCAATATCCATGATTTGATTAGAAAAACAAAGGCACCGGATAGAATTTGTTTATTTAGGCAGACGAAAATCTGATCTGATGATGATTTAATCAATCAGTAGCAATAACAAACAAACAAACAAACAAACAATGATGATGATGATGATTAGATTTGTTTTTTTAAGAAAACAAAACAAAACAATGAACAAAAAAAAATAGGTTCAATGCTCAATGCGCATGATCAATACGATTGTTTTTTTTTTTTTCTGTGTTTTGTTGTTGTTGTCGAACGAATATCGAATGGAATTTTTTTTCGTTGTCGATATATAAATGAAACAGGAAATGAAACAAAAAAAAAATTTTTTATGACACAACAAGTGATGATTCTAGAAGTAACCATCAAGAACGTCTATGGAAAGAATATAATCACGAAAGAGTAAGTGGAGAAAAAAAAGGAGAGACTTGAAAAACATGCACAAATATTGTGTTTGTTCCAAAAAAAAGAAATGAAATGAAATGAAACGCAGTTGTGTTTCTGTCCTAATAACCACTAACCACTACGATCAACAATTGTGGCCATGTTTGACATTGAGGATTTGGATTCGCGTTTGTTGTGAACCACCACCACCACGACCAACATAATCATCAACAACAAATTTTGTTGTTGATTAAAGGAAAAAAACTTGACACTCAAAATTTTGTCTCTTTTCAAAAAACAAACAAACACCCACACACGATTTTGTTTTTGATTCAAAATCACAAAAACAAAACAGGAAGAGACCGAGTGAGAAAAACAAGTTTTTTTTATCTCTCTCAGTGGCACATGATAATTGGAACATTTCATTTTTGGTAATTAGAAAATTTTGACTTTGACTTTGTGAATGAAAAAAAAAAAAATTGGAACAAGATATTTCATAATCGAAAGAGAAAGAGTTTCGATCATGAAATTGAAATGAATCGGAACAAAAAATTCAACACAAACTTACCCTTTATGAGTTTTTGGATCAATATCTCGTCGTACAAGTTTCATTTTTGTTTCAAGTCAATGATGATTAATGAGGAGAAAATTTTAAAAATTTTAAAAATTCAATTTTTTCACTCGAATGAATATTGGCCACATCACACACTGCACAGTGTTTTGGAACGAAAAAGAAAAACAATGTGGATTAAGAAGAGAGGAGTATGATGGTAACAATATTTATGAATATTTTTTTTTTTTTTTTTGTATTCGAATTTTTCATTTTCAACAATTTCCGATAGATGTCGTTACTATTGATACGGGGTGGTGTTAATATGATGATTGCTTCGTGGCTTATAACGCTCAGTGCCCGTGCCCGTTTCTCTGTTGATGAGCAATCTGATCAAATGTTGCATGCTGTGTTTCAATTCATTCGATTTTTTTTTGTCTGTGTTTGTGTGTGTTGTTTGCAAATCGGTTTTTTTCTGGTTATTTTGGTTTCCTTTTTTGAAAAAAAAATTCCGGTCAACCGCCTACACACAACACTTTTTGTCAAAATCTTTAAATTCTTGTCCATCAATTGATTCTTTAGTTTTTCAAATTTTTTTTTCATTTGTTTAGATCCGGCTTTTTTCATTGTGTGTGTGTGTGTGTGTGTGTGTATTTTGTTATTGTTGACACATCATTGCTCCTGTTGCTCAAATTTTTTTTCTTTTCTGTCTTTCGTTTCGAAATCCAAATCGATAATATAACCAGAGAGAGAGATAGAGAAACAAAAACTATCGGCTATATACAATACACACACACAGACACGCACCAAAAAATAAAATAAACGAAGCAGTATGAGCAATAATAAATAAAAAATAGCGGCTTCGACACGGCTATTACCACAAATGCACCACCCACCACCACCATCACCATCACCATCATCATAAAGATATTTTTCCTGATGATCATCATTGTTTTTGTATACAAGACGCCTTAAATTGTTTTAAATTAATTAATCTGACGATTGTTTTTTTACTAATTATTATAGTAATTGTATATGTTCAATAAAAGTAAGTAAATTGTTTGATTTTCTATTTTGACCTCAAATAACATCATCATCATCATCAATGATATTTTGATTTCATAGATTTACATATGGACCATTTGATAAATTGATCCATCATCATCATCATAATCATCATCAGTAACAAAACAATTTCCACTATCTTTAACTGAATGACATGACAATTATCATCAATCATCATCATCATCAAATAATAAAAATTTTTTAAAGATATATATCTTATATGATCATCTAACCTAGGGAGTAAAAACCAACCAACAACACGTATTCTTAAAAAAGATTGTTTAATCATCTGGGCTCACCACCACCCAGCATTAATCATTGTTGGCCCAATCATCATCATCTTCATCATAATCTCTAGAAACAAGAAAACAATAAATTCAAGCCAAACATTTTTTTTTTTTTTTTTTGGAGATTAAATCAACAACATCCTTGTTGTAGTAGTACACGGGAATTTTGTTCTTTCTTTCTGTCTGTGTGTGTGTGTATTTGTGTCTATGTTTTTGTTGAATTTGATCCAATTGAATCACCATAGTTGATGATAATAATCTGCCAGATCCTGTGTTCAAATACGAGAATTATTGTTAAGTTTTTTTCTTGATTTGCTTTGTTTTTATTTTTGTTGTTGTTGTTTTCTTCGTTTTTTATTTTGTGCATTTGTGTGTGTGTGTGATCTGATTCAATTCGGGTTTATATAGTGTGTATGTTACAGTATCTGGTGGTTTATTCTATCGATAACCAAAAAAAATCATCATCATAATAATGCAAGCCATCAAATGTGTTGTCGTCGGTGATGGGTAAGTGAATGATCCAAATATTCCAATTTCGTTTGATGATAATTTTTTTTTTTTCGTGGATATAAAGTGCCGTCGGTAAAACCTGTCTATTAATCAGCTATACTACCAATGCATTTCCTGGTGAATATATACCCACTGTGTAAGTTTTTTTTTGTGTATTGAAAAATTCTACATTTTTTCCCCTTTTTTAGATTCGATAATTATTCAGCCAATGTTATGGTGGATGGTAAACCAATCAATCTAGGCCTTTGGGATACAGCCGGCCAAGAAGATTATGATCGTTTACGGCCATTATCATATCCACAAACGGTATGATTTTTTTTATTATTAAACTAAATTATCATTACGTATCATCAAAGTGCAAATGAAATTGATTTGAAATTTTTTTGTTTGTTTTTGGCTTATAAAATTTTTATTATTATATTCAAATCACTTGATTAGGATGTATTTTTAATTTGTTTTTCGCTTGTAAATCCAGCTTCATTTGAAAATGTTCGAGCCAAGGTAAGCTAATGTTGTCCTATTGTTGCTGTTGTGGTTGTTTAACTTTTTTTTTTTTTTATTCTTCTTCACCAGTGGTATCCTGAAGTGAGCCATCACTGCCCAAATACGCCAATCATTCTTGTTGGCACGAAATTAGATCTAAGAGATGATCCACGTACAAATGAAAAGCTAAAAGAACGTAAATTAGCACCAATAACATATCCACAAGGTTTAGGTATGGCAAAAGAAATTGGTGCCGTAAAATATTTGGAATGTTCAGCATTAACACAGAAAGGTCTAAAAAATGTGTTTGATGAATCAATAAGAGCTGTACTATGTCCACAACCGAAACCAAAACGTAATAGGCATCGTTGTAATATTCTTTGAACAAAAAAAAAAAAATAATCGACGAATAAACAAAAACTACGACAGCAGCGACAAAACAACATGAAGACAAAGCAAAGCTCATTTCATTCAAACAAAAAATACAAACATTCGAATTTTCAATCAAGAGCAAAAACTCCATCCAAACAAAACAGCCACATTTATTTATCACATAAACAACAAAAGCCAAAAAAACATACACACACACACACACACACACAAAGAATATTTTACATGTGAATAATTTATGAATTGATATTATGATTGATTGATTTTATTAATTAATATTACACCTATATATGTCCTATATATATATACTGATGATTTTTATCTATTTTTCAATTCTTTTTTTTCATTTGCCCATCATCAAAATAATAACAAAAAGCACGTGTTATGATAAAATGACCAAATGACCAACAATCATATGTTGCACGCGCAAGCACCTGATTTTGAAGATTGTGTAAAATCATTTTTTTGTTTGCAATAATCAATTGCCATTTGATGCTTGCGAAAACAAAATGAGATTCAGTTTTTTCTTTTGGAATAAATTTTTTTTATTATTATTATTGAATTTGTATTTCTATATAGATTAATTAATAAATCATTTCATCATCATTCGATGTTTTTTTTTTTTCTAATCCATAAGCAATGAGATTGTTGGTTTCGTTTTAAATCTACCAATGATATTTAGCCTGTTTATGATGGCGTAAATTTTTCGGATAATTCAACATGTAGAAAAAGATTGATGACATGGTGATCACTTGGAAAAAGAAACGAACCGGCGATGCATATCGTGGTTCAACAAAACGATGTGTGAAACGATAATATGCCCGACCCATTGCTTGCCACATTGCAAACGGATGTACATTACGACGATTCAACCAGCTAACCATTTCATTCACTTTAACCTCGGATAATGGTGTATCGCCTATTCGATTCGATATTTGAAATCATTAATTTGAGTTTGTTTTTGCATGAACAAAAAAAAACTTACGTGGACCATAATAACGTGTGGGAACATATGGGCCATGAATGGCACGATTATATTCAGCTGGATAATTACCAAAATATGGTGATAATCGATTGGCCATTATTACAATTGATAATGTTACCCAAAAAAAATTAAACTTTCAAATTGATTGATGAAAACCCAAAAACTCGACAACACACTCACTGAAAACAACAACCAACTTGTGAATCAAACGTTTTGGGCACACACACAAAAGGTTATGGTGCATTCATATAAAACGTTACGTTTTTTTTGTTTGTTTTTTAAACTTTTCCTTTGGAATTTAGATGGCGGGCAAACAAACTAGCAACAACAACAAAAATCCGATTCAATTCATCAATCAATCAATCAATCAATTGATCGATCGATTGAACGATCAACAAAACAATTTAAATTAAACGATAATCACCATCAATAGCCATTAGTCTGTTGTTGTTGTTTTTTTGGGGCCAAATAAATAGTCCAGTTTTTCTTATTTTTACACAAGACAAAAAAAACTGATGAATTTTAAAATCAAAAGAAATAATAAAATGAACGATGATGATGAAGGATATTTTTATCACATCACATCAACATTTCAAGCAATGATAATAATAATGATGATGAAAAACAAGGGTAATTTGTTTTTTGTCGATGTTTTCTCTCTTGATTTGTTTGATCATTACAATTGATTGACTAAATGGCCATATTACCATTGAATTTGTTCAATATATAATGAAGATGAAAGAAAAAACGGTAGCATCATCAATTGTATTTGATGATTTTTAACAACAACGATGACCATGATGATGATGATGATAATGATCATGGGTACCATTATCACTAATGGGGGGGAAGGGCAAATTTAAATTCAAACAAAACGAAACGAAATACACACGAATATATATCATCATCATCAACATCAACATCGTCATTCGAATATCACGACGGTAATCGAAAAAATGAATGAGAGAGAGAGAGAGAAAAAAAAATCGAGACCAACCTGACCGATGATCTGTGTGATCTGACTGATGAAAGTTATCCAAGTAATGAATAGGTTCTCGTTTTTTTTTGTTGTTGTTGCTGCTGTTCTGAATGAATGAATGAAAATTGGCAATCTCATTTGATACGATTTTTATGAATTGATCATGATCATGATCATGTTGTTGTTGTTGTTTCATTGAAAAAAAAAAATGAAAAATGATCCAGTTTAGGTTGAACTAGATTTTTTGTTTTTTATTTCGTGAGTTTTTTTTTCATTCATTCATCAAACATAAATAATGATGATATGATACAATTGGTGAAAGCTCAGTTACCACTTCATCATGATCATGATGAAACTTTCACATCGCATCATTTGTTTGGCCAAAAAAAATGATTTTTTTTCTCTTTCCGGTTTAATTGGTGGCCATTACCATTCGGATATTGTATGGATGAATGGATGGATCAATCATTTTTTTTTGTTTGTTATCATTGCAATATAATAATCATTTGGCCATTTTTGTTTTTCAACGCTACTGATTTTTTCTTTTTTCTCATCATCATCATCATCATTATCCGTATACGAAAAAAAAAAAATAATCATGATCAAACCAGATGGATCAACAAGTTGGCTTAGTTTTTTTTTACGATTTCAATAACACACACACCCGGGTAAGTGACTATTTTCGGATCCAATCTTTTTTACAACAGCAACAACAACAACAACAACACGAAAGGAGATTCGAGTTCATCATAAAGTATGTGTGTGTGTGTGTTATCGTCAAAGTTGGTATAAATGACCAATGGACGGTTATCGGTGAAAAAAAAAAAAAATTCTCTTTTTATTTTGCATTCAACCTCATTAGAAATTAGAAACTGAAACATCGTGAAATACATACACACAGGTATTAATTATTTATATATTGCATAACATTCCATGGTGAAGTAGTAGTAGCAGCAATGCATGTGTTCGACCCAATTTTTTTTTTTTTTTTGTTTCTTTTGTTTTGACCCGATCAGGTCAACTTATTGGTGGTGGTTTTTTTTCTATTGATCGATACAAATGTTGATCGAGGTGAGAAGAAATTGATTTACCGGTTTTTTTCTCCTTTCCACTTCCTATTTACATTTACATTTACATTTATTTGTCAACAAAGGACAATCCAAGATAATCCAATTCAATCTCGAATGTGAATGATGATGATGATCATCATCATAATTCATTCGTAATCATCAGTGATTATCTAATTTTGAGTCTGTTTTGTCAAACAAAAAAAAAAAAAGGAAGAAAATTTCAATTTCAACCTGCCAATATAATACAAAAAAAGGTGGTGGCGGCGCCACCTTAATCCTTTTTTTCTTTTTCTTCTTATCCTCATACACACACACACAGACACACCAGTCATTCATTTATTGTTCCGGATTTGCATGTTTCTTATGTGATCATTATAAAACGATGATGATTATGATGGATGGATCTATGGATCTATGGATCTATGGATGTTGTTGTTGTTTGTTTGTTTGTTTGTCTGTTTGTTTGTTCGGTGTGATTATAATGATGATCCAATGATAATGGAAAATCAAAATTTGAAATTTGAATATCAACATATTATATATCCACATGCAAAAACATTGTTCCAGGTGGAAAGAATTATTCAATTTTTATAATGTAAATTACAGAAGATATATGTTAATGAAAAAAATGTTCGTCTTCATTACAACAACAAAAAAATTCCTCACACCGGAAATGATGATGGAACAAAAGAACAGTTTTTTTATTTCTATGTGGCTGCATTGATTGCGTGATTTATTATTTTTTCGTTAAAAAATGAAAAAAAATTTTCATTTTCTGCATAATTTATCATTTTCTTCCATTTTCAACATGTTTTGTTCATATGCAAATAATTCATTTTCCGTTATCATTAAGAGATCCGCGCCCGTTTCGTTATTTTGTTTCATTTTTTTTTTGTTATTGAATTTTGGAATCTGTATCGATCACAAATTGACAGATTTGACAACAACAACAGCAACGATCGATCGATGATTAATTCATCCGCCGTCGTCATTGTTGTTGTTGTTGACGGATTTGAGAAAAAGAATCCAGAAAAAAAAAAAAAATCTGCGAGAGAAATTTTTTTTGATTTAGTGGATTTGATGACAATCATAAATCGTCGTAGCAGCAGTGGCATTCATCTTCACCACACACACACACATATGTACCAAGTGGTTAAGTGCGATGGGAACAAGAGATAAACGAAAAATTCGTATCTTTAATCCCATCTCATCATGGATTTTGTTTTTAAATTTTTTTTTCTCATCGATGAAAAAATGAAATGACCTTTCCATCTTTGGTGGACAAAATAATGGTCCATCATTCATCAAACACACACACACACACACACTGTGGTGAATTTTGGATTTCAAGTTGGTGGACAATTTTGAATTGAACAAAACTTTTTTTTTGCGGCTACTGGTTCTGTTGTTGTTGTTGTTGTTGTTGTTGTTGTTGTTGTTGTTGTCACAAATTGACAAATTGTTGTCGTGATTTATGTGTCATTTATTTGTGTGTGTTTGGCTACGCCCAAAACAAAACAAAACAGAAAAAAAAATTTAAATTCAGAAAAAACGAGATTTTTTTTCCTTTCATTGACCATTTTGATTTGATCTTTTTTTTTCTTCATTTTGATACCTGAATCTATTTTTAAGATAAAAAAAAGAAAGAAATGTGTCTATGCGTTTGAATGAATGTCATTATCATGTTAAGGTTTTTGTTTTTTGTTTTTGTTTTGGTTCATGCCAAAAAACAAAAAACAAACACCATATATTGACAACTTGTCGATCTTTGTGTTTTTTTTTCTTTGTTTACAGTATTCAAGTATCGTTCATCTCCGATGAAACAATCAAAAGATTAGAAAAGGTGTGTGTAGTACATGATAATAATGTTGATAATGATGATGATGGCCATGGTAATGATAATGAGCATCGAAATAAACAAACGAAGAAAAAAAAACAAAACATTCGAATGTGCCAAAATTTGAAAAAATTTTTTGATTTGATTGAATAATTGCGTAATTGCAATGTGGCCAGCCAAAACCAAAACAAAAACAATGATTTCGGGCAATTTCTAATTTGATTTTTTTTTTTTTTTGGTTCCAACAAAAATTGATGTTTTGTGATCAACCAAAGAGAGAGAAATGGCCAAAGGTCATTATCATTGGATAATAAAACAGCCGAGAAACAAGGTTTTTTTTCGCCAGAAATTTCATAAAATTCAATACAACAACAACAACGAAAAAAGACAAACAAACGAATAGAGTAGATACAAATCGAAATAATTTATTCGATTTGTGTGTTTGTGTGTGTGAGTGTGTGATGGATATTTTTAGCCAAATTGATAGATTGACTATCTGTCTGTCCATCCATCTATCTATCTATCTATAGCACGAACACACTGACACTGGAGAGATAAACATGAAAATAAGTAACTAGCTTAGCTTTTTTTGTTGTTGTTGTTGTTGTTTTGGCTGTTTTTTTCAAGATTGATGCAATTCGATTCGATTCGATTTGATTTGATTTTGATTTTTTGGGCTGTTTGTTTGTTTGTTTGTTTGTGTGTTCGATTCCATGATGATCAATTATCTGATTATGAATTGAAATCTCATCTTGGTTGGTTTGTTTGGTTTGTCAATGTTCATGTTTTTTTTTTTTTTGAAATTCCACATTGAACACAAAAATATCACATTTCCGTTGTTGTCTTTTGTCATCATCATCATTGTGACCTTTGCATTGAAAAAAAACTGATGAAAATCAACTGATGATCATTATCGGTCAATTTGAATTCGTTTCAATTCAAATCAATTCAATAATGATGATGATGATGATGACAACAATGATTTACAAATACAAATGAATGAATAAAAAACCGACACTCGCACACAATTGAATATCAATTTCAATCAATATCATCAATTGTCATTGGTTTATTTTTGTAATGAAAAAAAATAATAATAACCACTAAATGGGTGCCCGAAAAAAAAATAGTCGATAAATAGTTGACTATGGTGTGGTTGTCTGTGTCTGTGTGTGTGTGTATGTTTATTATTATCATTATCACCGACAATATTAACCATAATCATCAATTGACACATTTTTTCTTCAAACTTTGGTATATCTCCTTAGATATGATGATCAAACAAGAAGGTGAATGTGAGTGAGTGAGAGAAAGAGGTTTCATATC